GATACAGACATCGGGTACACGAGCAGCACCATAATAGATGAAACAGCAACAAATGCTAGCCTCTATCAGAATGGAAACAACAGTAAAGATCTGTTGGGGGGGATGGTCGTCCGTCATCTGGATTTCCAATTGCTAATAGATGGCACGCTCGAGACACCTCTAATCTTGCCACACCCCCAGCTTAGAGGGCAAGGGATTGAAAGGACATGCCAAGCGAAATTCCGACAAAGGGCAAAAGGCTGGCGATAATGTCACCAATACTTGGCTGTTTGGCTGCTGCAGAGGCAGAGGTAGTGACAAGGAAACTGGCGAGCTATCCTATGACACGGAATCGTGCCAAGAGAGATCCTGTAACCCGCACACTGACAGAGCATATAATTTTACACTTCTTCTCAGTCATCGTAAAGGGTCTCCCGCCATCTTTATATGGTAATGGTATGCGGAATATCAACTAATTTGTCGCCGGGAGGGGGGAAGTGTTTGGGAGCGATGTGAAGCACAGCACAGAGAATGGATATAGGGCATGTTAACATGGAAAGCTGCCATTCAGCCAGATGAGCTCGCTGTTCCCCACCTGCACCGGTGTTTACAAAGCGGCAATGGAAAGTTATTTATGGCGAGATTCCATCTCAAGGGTCTTCAAAATCGCGAATGTGCCTCTTTTTGTTGTGTACTGTCATTTCACCATGATGTTTTCATTTGCAGGCTGTGTGATTGAAAGCGCAATAGGACGACTTGGCATAGTTTTGCACGGTTTGGCAGTGTTCATAATACATAGTGGGAATGGTGTTATAATGCTGTACATTCAGGTACGACATCGTTTGGCTGTTGATTGCTTCATCCTATCAAGGAGTGCTATGTTAATTGGGACCAAAAGATACAGCAGCATTTTTAAAAAGTGAATGAAGATGGCCTAAACTTTACCCACTGGCAGAACATGGTTTGCAAGGTGTTGTTGCTTCTTGAGATTGATTCTGGTATGGTAGGTATGAGATGGAAAGAAAGTCGAGCTCGTCTGGGGCGTTGACGCTGATAACTCAAAGGCTCTGCCTGAAATATGTAAATACCATTTGGTCATCACCTCTTGGTGAAGTGGTTAGGTTGGTTTGGCACAACGGAGACAATCTCTGGCTGATGCCCAAATTTTCAAATTCAGATTCTGCGACAGGGTGGTTAAGTAGCCATACTGTCATCTGGTATTGTACAGACCAATATTGGCTCCATGAGTTGCATTACAGGATTCATGGGCCAAAAGGCCAGGAAACAATAATTCGCAAGAATTATTGTGGCCTTCGGTTTTCCTAGGTCAGTTCATGAGCCAAAACTTTCTATCATCAAGCATTGCTGTTATGCGAATAAGCCAGCATGAATCAACCAGAGCAACATATTGGCATCCAAGATTGCTTTAGCAAATGCACAAATACGCAGTAAACCACCATGAAACGTGACGTCTTGGAAGGATCAAAGAATGAAGGGCATGGTTCACCACCGCCCTCATGACAGTGGCCTCCATGGTTCAAAATCCGGAACTTTGGCTTTGGCGCGGGGCACCGCGCAACCCAAGCCCCACCCAAACCACATGCGACTTTACTCCACCTGTTTTCTTGTGCTGGCCGCGTATTCGAGGAACTTGCTCCTGACGGAAGTTTCCGCAGAAATCCGGACCACAAACCATGTCTCGTCTGCGATCGGCTGCAGCGACGCTCGTATTTGTCACCAACCCAACCAACTAGCGCAGAACCAGAAATTTTAGAGGGCGATCTTTGCGTCGGAGAATGGTGGCTGGTTCTGGACAGGGAATTCAGGGGCGAATTAGCAGCAGCGCCCTTGGAGGTCACCATTCGGCCGCATTAGCTTACTGGCTCCAAAGCTAACGTGGGGCCTGGGGGCCCTTGGCGAAACCGGGTCCCATTTTCGTTTGTTGTTGGATCCCTTCTAGAGCCAATAATAATCACAATAATGCAAGGATAACCTTCGTCCTTCTCAATTTCTCACCTCCGAAAAGGAACCACGGCATTCCAAGGGCGAGTCAAGAAAACAACATGGAGTAATCTGGCTTTGCCAATCCAACAGTGCTTGGGGTCGGTTTGTTTCTCCTCTTCGAAAGTTTGAACGGACAGTGGCTGGATCCCCCACTTTGGATGTTCAAACCTCAGCGAGAATCACGACCTTGGTCCTCATAAAACCAAAATCTGAAATCACCTGTCTCGTTATTATTCCGAACAAATCATATCACAGAAAAATACTTTTATGTCAACATAATTTTGGGGATGAAAGTGTGATGAGACGTTGCGTTGCATTATCCCGCCGAAATAGTAAATTTCTGCGAGTTAGCGTTGGAGGACCATAAACGCATGGACTTCGGAGTGGGATGGCAAAATTGTCCCTCGCAATAGTGAATTTTCGCTCCTGGATTTTATCCACGCCAGCAGCTTCCCCTCCGAGAACACTTGGTTCTGATAGGACTTCCGGCGTTACTCCATATATATAAGTTGGAATCAGCAAGGGCATGTCCGTTTTGTGCATGCCCACAACATGCCCCAAGCTTACATGTTACACTGGTTGCTTCCAGCACATTGGCTCATTGAATTGTGAATCCTGCGATGTCTATCAGCATACGAAGCTCTTTTTGAATGGTACTCGCACGAGCTCAATGACTGATATAATACATTTGCCTCAACCCCCAGCATATTTGGGGGGACGCTAGGGTTCGTTGTTTGGCCATCTGAAATTTGAAAATCCGCCAATGGCCCTTGGGCATTACTGTTTGTGGACTGAAGCATTCAGTTTCCCAGGTTTCTTAATATTTATTCGCTCCTCCAATTCTTTGAAGGCCTGTAACCTGGGTGAGTAAATATTGGTCCCGCTTTTGAGTGAAAAAGACGGGTTTAGACGGGGAGAGAGTGACGTCGATTAGGAGCAGAAATGGATAATCCTCTGTTCCTTGACCTGTTAGAATGGTTCTCCTTTGCTTTTATGCTGCAGGTTCGGTTCTTTGCACAATGATAGATGTTGAACCCCCCCTTTTTTTCAAGGCTGTCATCGGTTTCTTAAAAAAGGGTATGGAGTACACTGGTGGGTTTTTGGCCTCAAATGCCACCTCCCATGGCCGGCAAATCGTTCACAATGGAATGGAGGCGCAATATTGCCTTTTCCCGTGGATTCGATTGAGCGTTCAAGCCAAGTTGAAACTTGAACATGTTATTCCTTGAAACAAAATTGTGTAACCAACTCATATATGGACTGCTCTGAAATTGTTCGTGTTTCTGGAGGTCGCTTGGAATGCGCTTCCAGCGGGAATGACGGATACGAGAGCATCCTATCCTGGTTAGAGTTGGAAATCTGTTGAAGGAATTTGCGAGTCAACGAACAGATTGAAGTATTTCGATTTGTACTGCGTATCACTCATGTACTCAATTTCATATGTGGACTCGATGGAGGGTAAGTTCCTGCAGGCAGCCAGGACAGTGACCTGGACACCAATGGTCGATCACCTTTTCCCTGACATAATTGTTGCCGCTGGCTGGCAGTCCGTACATCCACAATGGCTCGCAGAAGAGGATGACAGGCAGCTCGGATCAGGCCGATCTTTTCAATCCAGACTGGGCTAGCTACAGCTAAACTTCAGTCTTTGAGTTTGTGCTCTATGCACGGAGCATGAAGTGACGGCATCTCGTCAGCTTCTTGTGGGGTAAAACTTGGGTCAGCCTCAGCATCTCAGTCAGCATCCCAATATTCGCCAGCGAAAGTATCAAATCCTCCAGCTCGCCGCTTCGTTTTCGCCTTTCGCTCCCGAAGCATGACCTACGCTACGTAATCTTGAATGTATTGAAGGTTCGACTTCTCTGCTTGCGACCAAGAAAAATGAAGATAAGCAAGTGCTTCCTGCGGCAGCCAGCCATTTTGCGCTTCATTTTATTTTCCTTTTTTGGGGCTGCGTCATTTGTTAGTGTCCTCAGCGCAACTTCAAAACCCCCCACGGGCTGATATGAGACGTACTTTTTGTAGACCTCGAAGATGATAAGAGCCTTTTTACTTCCGCTCCCACTCCTGGCATCGAAAGTGCACTGGATGCGGTGACGTACGCAGAGTATATAATCCCACGGCCCAGGGTAGGTAGCAAATTACGAAATAGCCGACCTCACAATGTGCCTCATGGTTCAGTAGTAATTGGAGAGTCACCTCCCTCATCTCCGGCGGGTCCTGGCGGGAAGTTTTGATCCGCCTGGAGACTACCTCACCTGGAAAATGGTTGGCCTGCGCTGCGAGGATCCCACGTTCAAGAATGTGATTTTTCAGGTGTCCTTGCATCAAGCAACCGAACGAAGCATTCGACACAAAGGAGACACTATTCTTCTCCGCCCTTTCAGACATCCCGCGGACGGCAAGTGGGCAAAAAGTGATCATATCCCACCAGAGCGAATTGACAGCAATTATCTTCCAGCTTGTGCTGAGGGCGAGGTTAGCTAACTAAAAATATTGCAAGCGGAAACTTAAGGTCTATCTTGGCAAATTTTGGATGGGAGAGGATTCCACAAGGGGCGCAGTCCAAGAGTTCGTTTCCAACCGCTTGACTTACATCCTAATAACATGCCGCGTTGACCACCAACGCCAGCTTTGGGATGGCGGTGCACTAATAAAGTATGAAGGCTCACCTTTATCCAAAATAATGGCCTAACCCCTTTTTTCACCTTCGCCCTTCTCGCTGAGAATCGGGGCAACAGAAGAACAGAAATGGAACATATTTTCACAACAGGAAGTGAGTCATATACGTCTATTCTTGCTGCAAAGAACTTGAGTATGCAATTTTTGATCAGGCAATCTTTCGTTCTCTCTGAGTCTGGTCTTTGTGGGAGTCTGGGCTCTTCCACGGCGCACACGCCATGGCGCATTCCCCGTATTAATAAAAGGTGGCGTTCATTTTGAGTTCTCACCACTCAATTTTGGCAGCTCAGAGATGCAGTCTGTCAAAGAAACCAATCCATCGGGAGTGAAAGCTCTCTCTTGTGATTCCGTACGGGACTTTTGGATGGGACAACTCCGGGAAACGATATTGGGTTTAAGGAGGTGATTCATTTTTTCACTCCTTCGTTGACAGCTACATGAAAGACCAAGAATATTAAATATACTTGATGCCCAACCCAGGACTAACTCTGTCTACAACACAATCAAAGTCAGCAATTATTGCTTATATAGATCCATTTGAAGAGTATGCTAGCTGCTACGCATGTAGTTACTTGCTTGCTTCGTGTTTTCTATTACCATGCTCTGATGATGCAAGAACCTTTGAATATTTATGTATCTCTTCATCACTTAAGATCCAGCATCTCATCGCAGCTGTTCGCGGCTTCAAGGTCGGAGTTGCCCTGCTTGTCGTTATTTTATGCTTCATGATGACATTATGCAGGACTTTCAGCAAAGCAGGTAGGGGCCCGAATACTTGCAGTGTTACAGATTAGACTGGTTACAATCAATGCTATGGCTGTTTGAAAAGTTTCTTTCGAATTAAAAAGGCCGGGCTGATCTGCACCCTGCTCTTAAGACCAGGTATATTTCCAACCACGAAATGGAGATGTTTCTGGAGGATTTGCAAAAGACTTGATCAAAAGAATCGGGCTCGTGTGCGGGGTGTTGCAGCATTCTGGGAACATGATGAAATAGCAGGATATACGCAGTGTGCACTCCTATGAGGTACATACATATCCCATGTCCAACCATCTGGTGAATAAAATTCAGGAGATCTTTTGTATCAAAGTGAGGTTTCAGTTCTTGATGATCCTCCTTTTTTCCGTTTTGCATTGACTATTTATCTGAATATTTTGTCACCACAACTGCCACGGGACTAAATGCTCTTTAGCTATAACTACTCGTAGTGATAGACATGCACTGAATCGTCCTGCAGGACTCGAGCCTGCATTTTTGGGGGTTTGATTGATCCTCTTCCTGCAGCTGCATTGGTGAGATGATCATCGCCTCCTTAGTTGAGAGTTTTAGCGCCACAGTTTTAAGAAGGCCAGACAGTGATTTTGTGATGTATATAATACAAATGCCGATACTTCTGCTTCCCAGGCGCTGTGATCATTGAAAATGCTCATTGCCCATTCTGTTTGCTTTGTTATTTCTTGACACATGTAGAGAAACGATTCGCAACCTTTTCTCGAAGGCGGGGAGAAATATGATAAACTCTTTTTCAGACGCAAGCAAGCCACAAATACGCCCAGAATACTTCGGCTTGTTGGGTGGATTTAAGTTTCGGGACCATCGTTGTGCCAAACAACCTTTGGCCTTCATTAGTTTGTCAACGATTTTGGTTTTGGAATTTTTCCATTTCCCTGATCGTCCAAATTACACTGGATTGCAAAGCATTATTTCTCACTGGGACATCGTTGGTAGCCATGTGTGGCTTCCTGATCAATTGCGCGTGGGAGGCTGTTCGGCGGCTGGACCTTGGTGAGAAAGAATGCAACATATGCCATGCAGGAGGGACAGCTTGAGCTTATCATGCCAGGAGCAAAAATGCATCACGCAGCGCACCTGGAGTTCAGGGATCCTATTGACCTCCGGTGATAACGGGCCAGCGAGTGGGCCGTGATGTGCGGCGTCAGCCAGTAACACCGTCAGTCGAGTGGTTGTCGCCAAAGCGCCATGCGTCTCGGGCTGGGCAGAGACTGGATAACCAAGCCGCTTGGCATCGTCAACTCAACAACGGCTTGGCACAGCTAAATCCTCGTCCCCGAAAGCTTCAACCATGCAGAGTAAGTCCGGGGACAAGGGGATGTCCTCGTTTGGGGTAGGCGTATTCCGAAGCGTGAAAGGTTCTTTGGAAATTTCCATCCTAACCACACAGAAAAGGAGAACCTTGTGGAGTGGGGAGGAAGAGCTCACAGAGTGACTTTTAGAGGACAGAGGGGAAAATTCAGCTAGCTTGGGTTCCAGCAGCGTTCTGCAGCCTCAAACTTGTGACGACAGTACACATGAAGCTTGATAACCCGATACCATCAACTGCGTGTGCACCAAATTGATACAGTCTTCCTCCCTGCGACGTTGGAAGAGCATGGATCATTCCTGGACCTCTCAACACCCATGGCAACCTGCAGGGCATCTCTCGTAGCGAAGTCATCACGACTTCGAGGGTGTCCTAGTCCTGGCCAGCCAAAGCTTTAAAGTTAGTTGGCATCGTCAAGTCACTGGGGCGAGGGAGAACGTGCTGGAACCAAGGGAAGTGTGGCACAATTGAGGAGCGCTCGCTGGCTTAGCTAGCGCAGAGATATTCTTGGGACGGGATTCGGGAGAGCAAGCCATCTTGCCGCAATCACCGTCGAGTCTCGTTCAGGGGGATCCTGGAGCAGAATCAGACCAGGATCAAAGCCAAGCTGCCGCCGTTCTCCCCAAACGCGCTACCAGCAACGTTGGAACGGCTAAGCTTGAACTTGTAGACTAAATATGTAACCTATTTCTCCGGTTCAGTCTGAGCTCCGGCTGCCGTGATTTTTGGCCTGCTCCACAGCTCCTTTGCGCAGGCTTCTCCCTCGCATCGCCAGACACTCTTTGCTTCCTCCTCCTTTCTTCCTTTCTCCCCAATTCTGGTGAATCCGGATATTTTTTGCCTTCCTTTCTTCTCTGTCAATGACTGTGCTGTGGAGGGCTTTTCTTTCTTATGCATATACTCCGTAACGACCACCCCCTTTTTCCGTTGCTGTTTTGGTGCCGATCCCCGTTTTCCTGGGAGAAAACCTGATTCATTGATCCGCCACCTTGAAGGAAATAGCCAGGTTTGCTGTCTGGCAACCTGCTCCCTTCAAAGATTTTTGTGAGCTGTTGCGGGCATTCATCGTGTTGACATAGAGTGTTGTTGGCCCTCCCGACGTTTACCCTTTTGGGACATCTTCTACCTGTTCGTCAACAACAAGGCCTGGATATTGCCATAATTTGTCTGCGTCTGGCCATTGACTGGACGGATAAAAAATCAATATATCGGCACCTGGGAGATCTAGGCATTTTGAACAACGATTCGGGCCGCAATATCCTTTGCCACCCCGAAATCGACTGACTCCAAGTCCTAGCCGTTTGCCGTTACGTCCCTCACATCGCTAAACTGTTCTATCACACATCGTTTTTTTTCATATCCTCCAATTATCATCGCGAAAGGATATCTGTTCAAGTAAACAAGTAATTATTTTTGTCGAAAAATTAATACAATCTACAGAACTAACATAATGCCAGCAGGCTGCTATCCGTTGAATACGAACGTATCCCCTTCGCGCAAACTACCAACCAGCTGTTCGGTATACGGACGATGTGTGATTGGTTCCATGCGCAAATAGTATAGAGCTCTTGTCACCAAGGTGTCTAAGATCTGAAAGCATTAAAATTTCGGTGCATCATCGATGGATATTCTTGATGACCATGTTGCCCCCCTTAACGTTCTGAAAGGCAAGGTTCACGCACCAAGTCAGAACGAGCCTCTTCCTCACGGCATTATTTCGAGCAATATGTTTTCTACACTGCCATCGCAAATGCGTGTGACGCCCCCTCTGACGCCACATAGCTCTCTGGAGGATATTGTTGAGAGGAGTAGTCATGAAATCTCTATTTTCCACAATTACCTCCGGGCTTTTTATCCCTTTAAACCAAATGCAGGGGTTTCTTCCTCCACTGTTACTCTGCCTTTGGACCAAGGGGATATAATTCTAGTGCACTCAATTCACACTAATGGCTGGGCTGATGGTACTTTGCTGGAAACTGGTGCTCGTGGCTGGCTGCCGACAAACTATTGCGAGGCATATGACCAAGTACCAATGCGACCATTACTTAAATCGTTAACAGATTTTTGGGATACTATCCGTGGGGGTTCAGCTTCCACTCTTCATCAATTTACCAACCAGGATTATATGAGGGGACTCATAGCGGGTGTGCGATTTCTGCTGGTTAGTAACCTTACTTTTGATCATCTCAGCTCCAACTAACCAAATCGGCCAGGAAAAATCTGAATGCTTGACACGGGATTGCCATTTAGTCCAGAAGTTTGATGCTTTGCGGAGAAACAGAAAAGCACTCCTTTCAGATCTTTCCTCCTTGGTGAAACTAGCCAAGAGGTTGCAGGATGTTGCTACTGGTGGGCAATTCGATGGATCGCTAGACGCGATCTTCGACCAGATGCTGTTCAAAGCTTTCAAAATAATTACCCGAGGTGTACGCTTCTTAGACGTATGGAATGAAGAGATTGGCCTGAGCAGAGTCATTACCGAGTTGGATGTTCCATGTATAAGCCCTGCTCACGATATATACGATGTTCCTTTAACTCCACCTGTGGACGCGTCGTTCTCTCCTGGGCCAATCCTGGAATCCACTGCTTCTTCTGCTTTATCCTTTAATATAGTCGAGACCACCACTCCTCTAGATCAGGGAGACTGCTCGAACGATACTCATGGAGAACTGTACAACGCCCATAATCCTCCCAGGCCGCAATCCGTTCAACCTAAGAGGATATCTATTTCTCATCGTATATCTTACAACGGATCATCTTCAGCACATAATCCTAAGCTTGCCTCCACACTCCTTACCTCGGCCTACGATGAATTTCTTGGCGTACTTGGTTCCTTTATTGGTCTCCATCTTCAATCTCGTTCGTCAACCGAACTGCTTCTCACCACTCAGAAAGCAACGCAATCCTGTCGAACTTTGCTCACGATAGTGGGAACGATATGCGAGCGTGATATTCATCGTTCGGACCTCCTGGAACAATCTAAAAATACGTTATATGATCGGATTACCGAGCTTGTCCATGCAACTCGGGATGTGTTTCGGCCAGCGCATGCAACCGATGATGAAGTTGTGTTTATGCCAGATGAGGGGAAGAGGTTAGTTGATGCTGCCACTGGCTGTGTCAGGGGAGCTGGCGACTGTGTTGCGAAGGCAAGATATGTATTTGAGCAGAGTGGTGACTTTGAACTGGAAAGTATCGGTCTTGGTATAACTGGCTTGGACACAGACAACCACGAAAGCCTTACCGACAATCGGTACATTGATGATTCAGAAGTGCGGAATGCAGATGACCAACTGGAAAACGTGCACGATAGCAATCAGGTCTCCATGCGGTCTCCCCTACCACCTATTTTGATACCAACCAAGCAACTGCCTTTCACCCCGGATCTGTCGGATGGTGCTACCCCATCCTCTGAATACACTAACACAATGGCTGAAACCCCTACCTCGGTCCTCGACGAACAACTGGATCTAAATCTTTCTTCATACCACCATATAGCAGATACCCATGCTCCCTCTGAACAATGTGATACCTTCGGTGCCTACCATGCTACTTCCCCGGAAGATGACCATTCCTCAAATATGTGCCATGCGGAAACCACAGCAGATTTGTCAAGTACTTACGTAAACAGTATTCGAGATTCGGAGGCGAGTACTGTTTCCCAGGCCTCCACTCGTGTTAATAGTCCCGATTTCAACAAACCATTCCCTCCCGTGGTTGCTCAGAGCAGCTTTCAAGGTTTTCAATCACCTCTAATCGAAGAAGGTGACGAGGGCGAGAATCTGTTGGAAAAGACTTATGCACAGGAGCTCATGTTCAAGGATGGTCAGGTAATCGGAGGGAGCCTCCGAGCTCTCATTGAAAAATTGACTGCCCATCAATCCACCCCAGATGCGCTGTTTGTGTCCACCTTTTACCTCACTTTCCGACACTTTGCTACTCCTACGGATTTTGCTGAGGCGCTGATGGACCGCTATGATTATATTGGGGACAATACCGAAGCCGCTGGACCCGTCCGTCTTCGAGTTTACAATATCTTTAAAGGCTGGTTAGAATCGCATTGGCGCCATGACTGTGATGACGTCGCTCTGCCATCAATCCTGAAGTTTGCTCGGACAACATTAACGCGCACCTTATCCTCAGCAGCGACACGCCTGGAGGACCTTGCGGAGAAAGTATCCACGCTACACGGCCCAGTGGTTCCGCGACTTGTGTCTTCGATGGGCAAAACTAATACGGCTGTTGGCCAGTACGTTAGCCCTGACGTTCCTCTTCCAACACCAATCATATCTAAGAGCCAACTGAACCTATTGAAACAATGGAGGGGTGGAGGTCAGTCTATTACCATACTCGACTTTGATGCCCTGGAACTAGCACGGCAGTTCACGCTCAAGGAATCTAGAATATTTTGCTCTATTCTACCAGAGGAGCTGCTAGGCACCGAGTGGATGAAAAAATCTGGATCTCTTGCAGTCAACGTCCGAGCTATGTCGACCTTGTCAACAGACCTGGCTAATCTTGTGGCTGATTGTATTTTACAACAAGAGGAGCCCAAAAAGAGAGCTGTTGTCGTAAAGCAATGGGTCAAGGTCGCTTCCAAATGCTTGGAATTGAATAATTATGACTCTCTAATGGCGATTATCTGTTCCCTTAATTCCTCTACTATTTCCCGGCTAAGACGCACTTGGGAACTAGTGTCACACAAGACGAAGATTTTGCTGGAACAATTGAGGGAAATTGTGGATGTTTCCAGAAATTATGCTGTTCTTCGACAACGATTACAGGGCCACGTTCCTCCATGCCTACCGTTTGTCGGAACCTACTTAACCGACCTGACCTTCGTGGACCACGGAAATCAAGACACACGAGCTCTACCGACTGGTGATGGAAGCAAATTAGTCATCAATTTTGATAAGCATATGAAAACAGCGAAGATCATTAGTGAACTCCAGCGTTTCCAGATACCATACCGACTCGCTGAGGTCCCCGAGCTACAGACCTGGATACAGGATCAGCTCATTCGCGTCCGTTCTGCAGGAGAGAAAAGTTTTCAGAATTACTATCGACGTTCCCTGGCCTTGGAACCCAGAGAGCAATCTCTCCAGCGCAGCAGCGCCCGAGAGACCAACTCAGCTTTGGCTCGTGAAACCCCCAAGGAGAAATTCGATTTCCTTTCGTGGACTCACAGCTCCAAATCTAAGACGGTCACTTCTCAGGGCTGATATTTTTGGCTTGAAAGGGGTTTCAGCTATGTTCGCTTCCAAACACCCTCTGATTTAATGTGCTACGACTTGACGACCATGATATTCTGTTATCTTCAAATTTTATCCGCATTCGCCTATATATTGTTTGCTGGACTTCTTCTTTAATGTGTACAAAACTTTTCTTCCCATTTTCTACTTTTTGAGATATCCCTTTGACGCAACAAAGCCGTCTATTTTTTGGTGGGGTGGCCAACCTTTTGGTTTTCTTTCTTTCTTTCTTTTTTTTTTCCATATCACTATAAAAGCTGGGAGAAACGATGTACAATTTCGACTTGGGAAAAAGGAAATATTCAACAGGAAAGACAAGAGAAGAAACTAGCATGCGAGTGCCTCTTGATTTTACTTTTCATTTTTGTATTTGGAAGGATATCTATCACGGCCATGGGCAAGAAGAAGAAGAGTTTCTTTTCTTATTAACCTGCGGTCGGGCTCTTTTTCCTAAAAATTTGGAATCAATCCTCTCATCTTGTTTTCCTTTTTCTTTTCTCTCTTTTTGCTCCTTGGCTCTCGGAACTGGGATTAAATGGCCTATATGGAACTGGAGTTAACATATCACGTCCAATTTGCGTGGACGATTGGATATACGCATTCATCAATTTTGCCACCAGACATAAGCATGTTAGTTCATGTTAAGTTGGTTAGTTAGTTAACTAGTTAGTTGTATGTTATGTAATTCAATGATTTTTGTAGATAGATTTTTCCCATGCTCATTGAAACTTGTGCTCGATTTAAAGTCCCTGATGCACGGACATGGGTCGAGCAATGAGGTGCTGCTCTGCACTTTCTCCGTGTAAATGAAGACAGTCCTAGGATCTAGCCTAGAATGCCTGTTGATTCTCAAAACAGGATGCTAGCAAGAAAACACAGAGGATGGCCTGGGTCGAATTTCCGCCGATGTTAAACGGAGTGCAAAGACAAACAAGCAGAGGTAGACGGATGGATATATTTGTGGCCGTGGATGTCCTTTGCCCACCAACTTCCTTCCCACCCTGTCCATCTGCGGCTTTTATCGCTGTATTTCAGCTTGGGATTCGTCGCAAGGATATCACTTCCCATGTCACGCCTTGACAAAGAGAGTTCGGCCATACTATCTTGCGCTCAATAATGTTTGCAATGATCCCAGGCCACGCATCCAATGGATCATGTTGTTTGCTGGACTACCGAATGAAGAGTCGCACATTTGGCTGGAGTCACTTTTCACAAGGGATGGGTCATGCGTGCGCATCGATTCAGTCAATGGCCCAGCTAGGGAGTGCGACGTCGCACCATCGTTCTCTTGCCAAGCTCACCGTACTATTTGACTTTTTATGCCAGTGCAAGAAACAGTCGAAGTACTCTGTAACTCCTGGGAACGCAATCGCCCCACCCATGAATGGGCGAAAAAGCATGGGCGCCGTCGCAACTCTTGAGACCCCGGCCAGTTGGGCTTCGGTGCAGATGCGAGTGGCTCAAAACAGCAGCCGGGTTGAGAGTGTGGAAATGCTATTGGCCATGGCGCGTACTAGAGATGCTGCCGGAGAGATCCTCTGTGACACTTCGAAGTGTTTTTCCTCGATCGGAGCAAGGGCGAATGAAGAGAATCTACGAGAATTCAAACTCTTCGAATATTTAGTGTCGTCCCACTCGTTGATTTTCGTCCTGGAAACCGTGCGTGTGTGCGCTGCTAACTGTTAAAATGTTTCCCTGTCTCAACATGCATACTTCACCAGAGAAGCGGCTGGGGCATTGAGGCTCGAATTTGGAGCCACCATGGAGGCCTGTTATTCGACTCCCGTACACGTCTTTATGTATGAGGCCGAGAATCGCAAGAAGCGACAAGGGTATTGTGCAGAGTGCCCATTGCAGAATCCCTGCGTAATGCTTTGATACACCAGAACACCAAATGAGAGCTGTCCCTTCGACACCCGGTCTCTCCGCGTTGCATTCTTTCTGCCGGGAGAGAAAAGCAGTAGAATGCAGTTTTGGAGCATTATCATCATATATATAGATATATATATATATATATATATCCATATCCACCCTTTTTCTACCCCATTCGTTCTCTTCTTCCCTATACCCTAGGATTTGTGGCCAGGATCAATGAGATGAAAATATCAAATGACATCACGGAGCAATAACCATATAGTTCCATGCGACCTCCGATCTTCCTTGATAACCCCATCGAGTGTGTCATTTGGCCTCATATTGCTCTTCCTCCTGTCCGCTGCGCTAGGCACATCAGCGTCATACAAGTCCTATACAGGCTTCTTAAGCTCGGCCTACCCGTTTCCTGTGAATTTGAGAGTGGCCGCAAGCGGTGCTTTCTGCACCCAGATTGGTGAAGAATGTGATCGAGTGCTCTGTTGTCGAAACCTTAGGTGCGAGTATCTTCTTGTATGAGCCTCCAATCCCAATACCTCACCACTTTAGATATCATATTTGGCACTTTGCTGAAAGAACTGCCTGCACAGTCGCATGGGTTTCAATGTGTCGAGAAAATCGGTTGAAGCAGGAAAAAAAAAATAGGCAGATATTTTGAACGTGGACGAATGAATAAGGACACGCAACGCGAATATTTTAGATGCTACACATATGGGCATTAGAGCCTATGATGCTGGAAGGAAAAATTGGATTTACGTCGTCAATAACCTTGTTTTTACGGAAGCAAGCTATCCAGATGGACAGCTTAGCAAAAGCCGGAATGTGGATATCAGGGCTCATACAAAATCTCCTATTTGAGCTCCGAAAAGATGTTTGTTTCTCTAACAATAAAAATACAAAACTATAGACCAGGGTATAATGAGAAAGCCGATTGCCCAAAAATCTACAAAAGAATGAAGTCCAAAATAAATATATGTTTTATGTAACATTAGGTTTCCATACCTTAAAGGCTTCCATGAAGGGCAAATCCATGCTAGTTGCCGGAGCTTTACCAACAATGTTTCCAAAATAGGATATAAAATTAAGCCCTGAATGGGTTTCGGCTAGGGAGGTTTGGTCGGATGACGAACTAGAACCCAAGCTCACAATCGGAATCATGGATGGGCGTCCATGAGCGCACTGAAATGGAAAAGCGCAGAGCGCAAGCTTAGAGATCAGATTTTGGCATTCAGCCGGACTTAGAATATCGTTGAACATGATAGAGCTTCTGCAAGCGCGTGAGTTGAGCAGGTCAACAATAGCCTTGGGACAGTCACTAATCCGCTCTAGCCAAGATTGACGCGCAATGGTAGGTGATGCCTCGCCTTGTGAATTTTCGGAATTACCTGCTTCTGGATTACCGGATGAAAGCGTCTGGGAGAAAGACGTCTGGTCTCTTCTTTCATGATCTTTCCGGTCCCAAATTTCGCCGCGTAGAAGGTCTATGGCAAGTTGAGGTTCTAGTCTACAGCGTTCGGCAATAAGGGCTGGAAGCTTGTCAACCGTAACCGTGAGATAATTTCTTTCGCTACTAGACAATGAATAGTAGCAACCCCAGGATTCGAAGTAGCCGGAATGGGACTTGAGCAATTCACCTTCTTGGGGTGATACCTGGAATGAAATTGGCTTCGGCAAAGATGCTGTATTTACTCGACCTCGACAGAATGACGACGAGTCTGGTGTCGCAGTTGTGGTATCGCAGAGCTCGTCGAAAAGTTGCTCAACCCGGCATCTTTCATCGGCTGCATGTTGGTCGACAAGGACCAAGTTTTGCTGGCTATAGTCGTTATTTTCCTTGCAGAAAGCTGGCAGTTTCAAAAGCAAAAATTTATTGTCCACTTGAGCTATCAGTTGTGCTTTCTGCAGCCCTTCTTTCGTCAACCGCCCGCTGAACCTAGAGGTAGATGGCATGAACCCAAAATCTCCCGCTCCTGATAGGAGATGTTTGTTTGAGACCCCGGGATGCAGACCTGGAACTTCAAACGCCGTTGCGACTGGGTGCTCAGATCGTCGGAACGTTGGGTTCTCCCATTCCTTAAGAAGTGATTCAATCCACAAATTCGGACGTGACGCCGAGCTTCTTGGACAGCTGTGGCGATCAAGGCCCCCTGCCGTTTGAATACCATTTGCCCCTCGCATCGATGCAAGCGGCTGTTTTGGGTTAGAAATAGTCTGGCCCGTCCTGTTGTTGATTAATATTTCCTTCTTCGTGATAGGATCTATCCAGTGTAAAACATCGTCCTTCAACTCATCAATTTTTTCTGTTTCGAGGCTTTCTAAGCCTGGATTTCCAGCTCCATCTTGACTGGCGGACTTCCTGTAATGATCACCATTCATTAGGCTATCTAAAGGTTCACCAGGCTGGACACCAGAGGGTGAAGGCGTTGCGGGAGAGGAGTACGAGTCCCCTCTATCACGCTCAGTTTGGCTTTTCATGGCAAAATTCGAGATTGAAGCCGCTTCTCCGCGGGACAAACCAGAGCATATCTCGTCAAATCCGCCTTCGCGACCACTTTTAATCCGTGACCAGCTTCCGAAGTCCTTGGTTTTAGGACGGAGCATATGGCTTGTCGAGTGGACAAATACGGGAAGCTTGATTCGGGTGTCAAAGAGTTCTTCGGTGTTCCCGCTATCAGCGGACGCAAGGGGTGAAGCCAACGCTGGTGCAGCACTCCTGGGGCGTTTTACAACTTGATGTTCTACTGGACTTGTGGGAGATTGCGGCTGGTGACTTCGTTTGGCACCTGCTCCTGACCGGGGTAGAAAATGATACTCTTCTAGAAACTTTTGTATCATGGCCACCAACACATCCAAAACCGATTGGAGAGTCTTGCCGGTTTCGAGAGAACCATCCATCCTATCGATAGCTTTGCCGCGCTCTTCTAGGTCTATTCGAATACAAAACATTGGCCATTTGTTAATACTTTTGCCCATATACCGACCTCTTCCGCTTGGTGCCTTTTTATTACTTGCTCTGTCATCGCCTTGCAGATGAAGCCCTTCTAGCCCATCCGTGATAACGGGTGAACCATCAACAATCCCAAACCTCGAAAGGGAGAATAGCCGATTAACTTCATTATATAGGACGTTTGCATTCGATTGGGGAAAAATCGGATTTATTCCAAAGGAGATGAACTGGACTTGTTTTGTTGGAACAGGTTGAAGAGATATTGCAGATTGAACCTCAATTCCCGAAGTGCGAGCAGATGCAGTAACCCACGATTGAAAATCCCTTGCCATGACATAGCCAGCCTGCATCAGAATTGGACAAATTCGAACCAGGTCAAGCGTCCCAGAGGAATTATCAAACGGCGGGTCGCTTGCTCGAATAACAAGTTTTTTTGTTTTCGTTGAGTCGGACACCACAAGTTTCACGCGTTTCTGGAAGGCGAGAAGCATAGCTGTAAGGATGTGCTTCAAGGCATCCCATTCTCTATCTAGGTCCTGACTCGTTCTCAGAGAGAGCGCCCGATGTTTAACACGGACGGGAAGATTCCCGAATAGGTCAGTAACTGTAACTCTAGTTCCATGGTCACGCGAATTGATCTCATGTTGCAATGGGGCCGGCGTCAGTATCGAAATCGCCTTTGCGTGGTGATACATCACAGTATTTGTCGTTGACGTAGATTCGTGGCGAGAGGTTATAGTAACCAAAGCAAGTGACACGAGAGAGGCAAGAAACACGCCTTTCCGGCCATACACCTCATGCTGGCTGTTGAATTTGGAGGAATCTGCACACCTTTGTTAGTGCAAGAGGTACGTAGAAGGCCTCATTGTGATGAACCACGCACGATGTAGTTTGGCAAGATTGCTGCCTTCCAGGAACTCAGCGGGCAATATTCCGTGCCCATCGTCTTCCACGACACAGCCACCTTTTGGGAAGTCTACATTGATAGAAACAGTTTTGGCGCCAGCATCTAACGAATTCTTCAGAAGCTCCAAGACCACTCCATTGAGGTGTGATATGGCTATCGAGGATGTCAATTGGGCGATGACCTCAGGGGGCAAAGGTTGGATGGACGGAGTTCCCGAGTCCATGGCAGACAATCACTATGTATGGCTGTAGAATGACCAAGTTTCTGATGGGGTCTTGGTTCACTCTGGCCCGCCGTTTCTAAGCAGGTATCCGGAGTCAGGATATAGACTCCGAAACGTGGAGTCTTCCTCTCTTTCCTCAGAGTAGAGCCGGAATCACGGAGTTGCAGCAGGGGAAGCCGCATTGTCGTCCGGGGGTGTATTTCCCATAGTTCAGCAAAGCGCACTACGCTGGGAGGACAAATTTTCCCAGGACAATAAGCTGGAAGCTCCGGGCGAAGTTCCAGGCAGTATGCACTGGATTCGTCGATATTCAGCCGTCGGTCGTTGCTTTAAATGTCATGTGACATACGACGTGACAAATAGTACGGATTGATCTGTGGCGGCGTGGTTCAAAAAAGAAACAGGCTCAAGAGCTCCCTTATTCAGTAGCATGCCTGTTGCATAAACCAAGAGAGCCCATCTCACAGAAAAATAGAACAGTTCTCTCTCAGACTATCTACAGGATTTTGATAGTAGAATAGAATAGTATGTTGAAGCAGATGTGAGGACTTTTGGCAGGAGATTCTAGTGGCTGAGCATACTAGCTTCCCAGACACGTGGCGCATAAAGCGAATCAGCCGTAAATTACGTTAACGCAGATGAGGTAAGACCTGGTCATGACGACTTCGACCTGCAACACCAGCAGCATCCGCGTCCATAGGACCAACAATATACGACGTCCCCGATACTTGGGCGTGGGGGGATTCCCGGCATAGATTCACAGAAGAGAGCTTAGAGACTACCTATCCTCTTTCGTTTGGTGTCAGCCAGGTACTAGTAGGTATCAGGCAGGTGGATTCTTTGCCTCGAGATTATCATACTGCGAGGCGCCCCTTGTCTCGATATTCAGTTCCCTCGCGATTACCGCTGGGTTGCTTGGGTTGCGGATTGCGAGCGTTGAGGCGCACTATTCACCTCGACCAGATGGCTTCGACTGAAGTATCCTCGCGGCCACATGGTAGGTTTTGATTGCTCGTCATCCGTCAGTTACTTTTTAAGTTATTATTCTATCGCTTTTTGCTCACAAGTTATTCAAGATCGACATGGCCGTCGCCGCCCCTTCGCAAATTGGATGAAGCGCCTCGCCAGCCTCAAGAACTCGTCTGGATCTTCTTATCCTAGCTCATCGAACAAATATCATGGTTCCCCCAGTGCGCTGAAGGGCAAAAAGGGCAACAATCTCAAAAACAACCCATATCCACTGTCAGGGAATGTTAACAATATGGATAATGGTCACCTATCTTTCTCTGAACCTACCAGCGACCGACCCAACCATCTTTCCCGTTCAGAACCTTCGTTTTCCGAACCTTGTATGGAGCAACGTGCTTCGACTCTGGGCACGAAATCTGCTGCTCCTACTCTCTCCACAAATGCGGACACTACTATGTCAGATGCTGCCAATTCTAAGGCTGGTACAATGGCAACTACGGGCTGGGCAGTGGGGTCACAAGGCGGAGGCGAAGGGAGTACATTTTCCTCGCCCGCACCCTCCGTTCGATCACTTACCACAACGCTTACGACCGTCCAATCCGCCGCCCCATCAAACCAAGTCCATGGAGCGATTTTTGGACACAACGCTTCTTACAGTGCCAACCAGCAAACCAATCTTCAGTTTAGCCATCAATTTCCTATGTCACCCGTTACAGCAGTGCCTTCTCATCTTGCTCCCCATCCAACAACATACAATTCTGCAACGGCAAATAACCTTCTGACGGATAATGCATCTGTTTTGACACTGGCATCATCCTCCAAACGCCACCGTCGCAATTCCCTCGATACCAACGCTTCTGTTCGTGCTTTGGCTCCATCTTCGATATTCAGTGGCAGCCGTGAGAGTTTACCTTTAAGCGTTCTAAGTGGCAATATGGGTAATATAGGTGTCCCTGGAGGAGAGCCATCCAATTCACCAATCCCCAACGCGCCGGGAGCGTTGAACCGTCCTGGTCTATCCGGTACTGAACGGGGTAGTGTATATTCATATTCCGGACCTACCTCGGGAGAGCGGACTAGCTATCAACCTGGAAGGTCACAGCTGGGTGATACAGGCAGCGTTACAAGCGGCCATAATTCACACCACCAGAGGAATGGTAGCGCAGCTGGAAGTGTTGGAGGCAATACAATGAGCTACATTTCTATGTCCACTGCGACAGGGCGAGCAAATCGACGAAGTTCTGGATGGGGAGAGGTCCCCAGCGCCAACGATAGCGAGAATGAAGGAGATGAGCCTAACGGAGAGACATCCGCGAACGGCAAAGCGAAGGCCAATTAGTAGAACGTTTGCGTTTTCTGTCCTGCAATTCATTAACGACCTTTCCCTCACCGAAGCTAACTTATGTCCTAACGAACGTGTTTGTTATACCCATACTCCTGTGGTTCTCCCACTCCCCCATCCCTATTTCTGTGCACCGCTATTTACCCTCCGAATTATGCCGCTTCAACCCGGTTATCCCTTTCACTCTATTGTTTGATACTTACCCCGCCTACCATTTTTTGTTCTTTGCGTCTGGTTCGTTTTTTGTACAGTATGTTTGTTTACCTTGCATCTTCGTCGTTGTTAACTCGTTCCCTTTTTCTTACGTAAACTTTATGTTACGCTCTTTGATTTTGTGTTCTTGATGCTATACCCCGATTCCTTGCCCTGCTTGTTTCTTGGTCGTCGTTTTATTTCCCTGGAGAAGCACCTACTTTCTTTCGTCTTTCAATTCTACACTGTGTACGTATCGACCGAACTTGCCCTTTTCTGTACAGTTGTCGGATCTTGAAGCTCGTGCTTCATGCGCAAAGTTTGTTTTGAACCCCCCCCCCCCCCCCCCCCGCGATCCAAGCAACCAGAATTCAGATAATGATAAAGCTAAGATGTGAGCTCGTTACGCAATTGCTAGATGAAATTACTGCTACTAGTTTCTTTTTTCCATTTTCCATAAGCGTCTTTGGGTGGAGATGTTGGCCCTTCTACTGGTCAAACTCAGCAATGAGCGTACAGTTCTAGTCGTTGACCCTTCTCACCCGCCACTTATATCGCCGAGTTCTCACCCGCTCTATGCACCACTTGGTAAACAGCCACAGAAGACCTACTTACTATCTCTGCTAGTTGACAGGGAGACTCGAAGGTATCTAATAAGTTTTTTTAGTCAAATTATGTTTAAGAGAGGGTGACGGGGGTTTGAAATATAAGAAATTCAATCACATAACATTGATTTCTTTCTACAAGTAGAATATTCGGATTATTATTTTATAATAACTATAGTTAATATAGGCATTTACATTGAACTCATTCAGATGGCCATTGAACGGGGTCAGCGGAGCCATTCATTTTTGTTTAATCGTCATTCGATTTGATTGCAGTCCATTTCTCGATGTGATTTTAAAAGAGACTTGAAATATTAATATTCAACTGTTGGCATCCCTACGCTCGCTAGAATGCCACGTGACCACACCAATTGAAGCTATGCTACGCCTGCTAGATAGTTACAATGAACCAACCTTCCACCTCCATCATCATCAGCTAAGTTTTCATTTATTAACTAGCTTCTTTAGAATAGGGGATTTTACTCTGCTGTATTATTACAGTGGTTTAAAAGCACCAACACCCAACATACCAAAAATTTTTCAGAGAAAACCTCTATAAAATACGGTTCTACCCATATCGTTGTTTCAAGTAGGACCTCTGCATGCACCCTTTCCCCTTTGGACTCAGTTGGCCGTATGGACTGAGTCTTTTCATGAGTTGCTATTTGAATTCTGTGCTTCTCCTTGTGTACATGCACGCCTCCATGCCGGGACGCTAAACAAATACATACATACTTAGTTGTGTTGAACTGGACGAACTCGCAACTTCTCATTATAAAATAGGACCTCTTCCTACTTATTGCGTCTTCCCTCTTCTACCCTTCGACCGGGACAGTGATGTTTATTTCATCCTCAGGATCAACATGATCTTGTTGTAAGTGTTGGTTTAAAAGATTTCAAACGTCAATATGACTGACAACATGGCCCTTTCAGTGATACCCTCATTTTCCACGCGCATCCGTAGGATGTCTCGATCTTCCTCGGATTCCAGTGCACTTTCCAAGACGGCAAAGTTCGAGACGAAACGGCTTTCTGGTCCGAACTGCTGGGCCTGCAATACCTGCTCGCCACATATTTGTCGTGTTGTTGCCCAGGAAGATATTCAGGTGGACTTTATCCCTCTTCCGTCTGCTACCAGAATGTGCTGATAAGTCTCTCTGTAGGCAGAATTACGGGAACAGGCTGGATTGTTCAACTTCTCATACAAATCTGTTGAAAACTCGATCCCCTTGTCCCCATCTTGTCACGCTGAATTTGATCGCTCCATTGACCCCGGCTATGTATATTTTCCCCACCGACATAAGCTATTTTATTGAGTTTGAGTTGAGGGATCGTGAGCGGTGTCGCCCAAGCGGCCGAGGCTGGTTCTCCTGTCCAGCGCCAAGTACCGACAGCGAGCGACTACAAAAATTTTCAACAACAAAATGGAATCATATCTTCGGATACAGTCGGGGGGTTGTATAGACGCATGTTCTTAAACGATTATCTCCACGGCAGTCTATTGTTACTAGACTTCCTCCGTTCTTTCGTCACATCAAAAGTCTAGCATGGCAATCCCGTGGCTCCATTTAGGCGAGCAATGGCTGCCCTTGGAAGTCCAAGCTTCAATGTCGTAGATGCGGGAATTCGGCGGCAATTAACACAGATGTTTGACTTATACTTTGGCGATGAGTCGGCCACCCCAATTGATCAACATCTTCGAGACATCTACAAGTTAGATTTGCAACCGGCAAGCAAGAGACCGCGAGATGAGGAAGACGATTCAGCAGGGGACCTGCACAAACGACTGAAGGAGAAGACCATTTTGGCTGGTGTGAAAACTGGGGGGCCAACAGGCTCCGGGACAAAGTTTCAGGCACGTCAGGAACAATTTATTCTGGGACCGAGCACGACGGCTAGTGAAGTTATACAGCGCTATGCTTCTGTTTTGGCAGCTTCTAGCTCCTTTCTGGATGAATGATGCCTGTGTTCTGGTGGTGTTATTATTGTTACTGAGTTAACATGTTAGTTTTGATTTCAAATGTCCACTTTTAGCCCCTGTGGTCGCAGTATGTATGCTAGTTCAAAATCACACTCATTATGCAGCACTGAATTCATTCGTAAAATGTGTACGGGTTTATCTTCTGCATTTAATACTTCACACCCGGCTGACCGTGTGATCATGTGTGAGATTGGAACTAAACTTTTATTTAGTCTCAGGTTTTAACATATTGATTCATGGTGAGATTGTTTGTTGTAACCATCCAGCAGGCGCAGCACACACCCTCTGTTGCCGTGCTTCAACTATTTTTTTCTCTATAACTTAATCCTTTTTATGTAAAGTTTTTATAGCTAAAGATTCAGTTTCTTTCTCATATTTTTACAATTTAATTAATATTACAAATTTCAAATACTAAAAGGAACTTAGTATTAAAAAAGGGTGGCTCAACAAGCCGGGCAGACAAAACAAGAAAAGGTATGTCTAGAAAATAGAAGAGGAGAAACACATAGAAACACGCAAGGACCCGATCTGAATATGAAAATATGCCATCCATTCCAATAACGGGTGGGCTTTAAATAAACCAAGAAATGTCAACAGTGTTACGGGGGAGGAAAAGTGGAATGGCAGAGTTTGGTGGTGGGTGGTCATAGGCAAAAATAGAGACCTCCAGTTCATCAAATCTTCTAAGTGAAAAACAATGAGACAGTCATATACAGATATAGATGGTTTAAAAATGGATATTTCAGCGGAAGGGAGTCATAGATATTCGAGAGCAACAACAATGACGCAGCGGAAACAAAGTTCAAACGCAGACTATGACAACAGGGAGGGTATTGGGACATCAAAAATCTGGTAATGAATGTGGCACAAAAAGCGACGAATGAGGGATAATAGGGGAAATAGAAAACTGAAGAGGATCGCAAAATAAATGAATAAATGCACAAAACGGCCGGTCGCTCTTAAAAGTTGTCGTCCTTGAACTAGGGCGGCGAACCACCGTTGTCATTTGGAAGCCTAGGGACCGGCTTTCTCCTCGCGTTATTTGTGGTTTTAGAGATTCGAGGCGCTCCTTGAATCATGCGCGGCTCTTTCATGTAGTTCGGGTCCAACTTGGCAGGAGCTATTGGCAAAGTGTTAGCCAAAAAATACATTCTATACAACCAAGATAAAAGGGGCGTATATACTTAGGGGATCGGAATGAACCCCATAATGTATTGTCTATCAATGAAAAATAAAATAAAATAAAAAAGGGAAAGGAAGGTTGGTATTAACCTCTTGCAACAGTGGTTTTCCAGTCATTTGAGTGGTTGGTCTGATGCCGGCTACTGGGTATAGATGTTGCGCTTGCTGAGCGCCAGAGATGATCCGACGTATCCGATAAAAAGTTGGTTGTCATGCGACCCGAGAAGATCGATGTCCGACCGCGGTTGCGCTTTGATAGTATAATCTCATCGAAAAGTGTAATTCGGGGATCTCTAGATGAAAGAGATGACTGTTCCCGCTCGCGGATAAACTCGTTAAACCCTGAAAAATGTTAAGATTGTCAATTTAAGTTAATCAGTTACGCCCTTTAGGAAGGGAACGGTCTGAATATTAAATGAGGGCGGGTGGCTGGTGATAAACATACCCTGTGTTTGTTGCAGTATAGTCATGTATTCCGCGTGTTCATGTGGCAAACTTTTGAGAAATGCATCCATGTTGAAAGTGTAATGCATACCAGCCTTTTTCTTATCTCCAGTTGCAGGCCTGAGAAACTTCTTATACGTGTATAGTAGACTGGCGAAGCACCGAACAAATGCGGCACGGACCTGTTCAGCGCTGAACGCAACTGGGCATACGAGAGTGATCAGGGAAGCACAACGAGTGTGGACAATTGTGGCACAACCTGAACACTTGTACATGCCTTCCTCAGCCTTCTCGTCACATATTGAACAGGGAACTTTGTTGGCATCCCATTGCTGCAGTTGAAGACTGTGTCCCTCTATCAGAGTGGTGCCCACAGGGTTACGTAGGGGTTGTTGGGACGAGTTCGGCATGATAGTCGACGCGGCCACAGTAGATTGGGCATAGATGGATGGTGCGTAAACAGATGTTCCGGTGTCAGTATTTACGGTCGATACAGATAAATTAGAGACATGGCTGAGGAATGGAGCGCTAGGTCGCCTGGGTATTCCATGCTTTCTGTCACCGAAGGATGAACTTCTGCGGGAAGAGGCATCGAAATGGCCGGACCTTTTCTCCCGCAACGATGATTGAAGGGCAAATCCTGAATCGTTGCGAGATATGGGTGTGGGAGGTAGGGGTGGAAATTTACTCGAGGTCGGAGAAGAATCGCCTGAAGCTTTCGGGGAGGGCGGAGTGCCAGCCTTCGATGTCACACCTGTTGTTGGGCGGTCATAACCCCTAGAAAAGGCAACATCATTCCGGGAGTTTAGAAAGACATTAAAAATTGGTGGGGCTGGGGAGGTGGAGGGATCCTGGCCGAACGCGGTGGAATTGACGCTGACATATTTGGAGAGTTGAGTAGGTGGCGCCCTGGGCGAAAATATCGATTGGTTTTCGCCAGGGAAGGAGTCGAATGGATAGGTTTCAATTGCATAGGCCGGGGCCCCAGGATGGACCCCATATCTATGATGGAGAGGTGCAGCCAATTGAAGGAGTGACTGTAGTTTACGGCGATGATGGCGAGGTAATGGCGTAGGTCGTGCTGTGCTTTCAATCTCATTTTGGTCGAGGTCTACGAGAACGAAGTCATCGGAAGGAAGCTCCGCCTTGTCATACCTCCGCTCAATCCCCACAATATACGGACAAGGTGCTTCAAGTGCTTGGATAAGCCGAGCAGGAAGGATAGGGATAAATACGCCTGTCCATTGGAATGGAAATAGAAGATCAACGAGAGCTTTGCTAGCCAGATACAACATGGCCGCATGAGATGATAGAAGAATAATACGGGATTCAGCAAGGACGTACTATAATTTAGTTAAGCAAAGAATTTAGAATAATTGGTTTTGCAAGAAGGTTCTGCTAAAAACTTACTTCAAACAATATGATTATATTCGAGATTGAAAGTGCGCGAAAGAGTGCATACAAATCAGTCTGTGCCTTTGTTAGCCAAATCCTCGAACGGAGTGGGGGATATCACGCCACATACATTTCGAGAGCCAGGTAATTCATTGATTGCTTCCTTTCGGGCAAAAAGGCGCAGCTCCCGCACTGATATCTCAACTTGAGTTTTGGAAAATAACGGGCTAAAAGCTTCGGTGCAGAGGTTCACAACATAACGCTCTAAGGGCTGCCATCTGCCTACCCTAGGGGAGCTAGCGGGGACCCGTTGGACAGCACCGTCAGTCATGGGAACGACGACGGCCCGCAACCATTCTTTCCAGAAACTGGTCATTGATCCATCCTTTCCTAAAATCCCGTATGCTCTTGGAATCCAAAATCCTGTATCCCCATCCGTAAGACCGTCGATTTTGGTCGCAGCACCCAGTCGAACTGGGCGGAGGAGGTCAGCCATAAGTCCAATCTTTTCCTCCACCGAACTTATATCATCTTCAAGCTGATCTCTAGAGGCGGAACCTGAAGGGACCGAAGGTAGTTGAGAAAGTAGCCTGGATAGCTTCGCTCGTTCCAAGGCGAGTCGTTCGCCGAGACTGGCAGCTAACTCCCGCTCCTCGTCCGTCATGTTATCTCGCCTCCATTCCTCACACCGTTTTTCCAGTTCCTCAGCAGTTTTGTGGTGGAGGGGAATCCAAATCGTCACACAGACGCCATATAGCTTCGATCCATCTCCAGACGTCATTGCGAATCCGTGCCAAGTGGAGCGAGGTCTCTGATCAGAGGACACGATATTGATATCGTTAGGGAATGCGAACATTGGAACGTAATCTGGGAAATTTCCTCTCTGTTTAGTCTCATCTATAACTCCTTTCGGCGGGTATCTGTCGAGAAGGACGGGTTCGAATTTCCGCTTCAGTGGGTGCATATTAGGAGATACATCGAGCGGTTGAGGTACTGGGATTACTGAGTTGTAATTACTCAACCGCCTAGAGGTCCGAATAGAAGCTGTAGTAATTTCAATTAGTTAGCAGAAGTCAGTTGAAGTGAGAAATGTCAAGAGAGACAGCGCGCATGACAGTATATAAGTGCAGCACTCACCTTGACGTGCAAGAGATGGCTGTCTTTTCATGCTGTTCATGTCTCTAAAGGACATATGTCTCCGAACACTACCAATGCTCGACTTCAGTGGATTGACCTCCTCTGCCACAATCTTCTGTGTCTTAGGTCGTGGTTTTGGCCGGTTACTGGACACCACGGCACCAGCACTGAGTGACAGGTCAGACAAAAATGAGTCCCTCTCAGCAGCAAACTTTATCAACGCTTTATCAAAGTCACCGTCGCTCAGAAACGACAGTCCATTCGGCGACTGGGAGCCCTTGATAGTCATGCTGCTCCGATTGCTTGGTGTCTCCGCTGATCCCATCGATCGATAGGACAACCTCGTCTCGTCGGATGGTTTTGGTAGCAATTGGTAAGAATTCCGCTTCGAGGACGGTTGAGAGGGCCCAGAGCGCGGGTGGGCAGCCTCCTCTGCATCCGCATCTTCCTGAATTGTATCCGTCACCGGCATTGATTGAGTATGGTTGGCATGGTACTCCTCCCCTAGTTTTGAGAAAATGTCCAAGATCTCCGGCCCATCGACACCGGCAATCCAGAAGAAGTCGGCAAGGGGGCTCGGTGGTGACTCAGCAGAAGGTGTTGGAGCCATGATTCGTGTGGTTGGGAGTCGTTTAGAATGATCCTCCTCGCCCGTTATCGTTGATGTGATTTTTCTCAAGATAACTATACCGTTATTAGAGCACCGTTAGACAGATCGACCCCCGCACCCCGATATCATAGCCTTTCAAGTTTCCAACAGTATAACTGATCTGGCGTTATTTGAGGTCAATTACTAAAGACGCAAAAGAATGGAAATCTCATGGCGAGATGAACAGACGAGGAGGGGAAATCCAGGAGGGTGAGAGCAACAGAGGGTTGGTCTCTCCTTGGTGCTCCGGGTGAGCGAGTTGTCGCTGTGTTTGGTTTTCTGCCGCAGGTCGGATCAGCCCCCATTAAAAAATCAATGCCCGCCATCGGTTGGAGGACTGGGTGTCCCGCGAACTAACTTCTGCGCCAGGCGCACTAGCATCTCTCTGCTGCTGGGATTATGGCTGTCGTCTGTCGTTGTTAAAAAAAGAAAAGAAAACTCAAGAGGGAAAGCAAAAAGCAGGGGCTTTTGCTTCCATTTTTGTCATGGTTTTGGTTTGTTAAAACATCCTTTCCCACCCTTGACTACTAGGAATATTGCTTATCCTGCGCTTACACTCCTTGCACGTATTATAGCTGGTATAAAATGGGACACCGTTGGCTACGTATGGAAATTGAGCTGCTCCAGAACCTGTCCCGCAATCCACAGTTGACATGCTACTCTTCATAACGAATAAGTTCAAGTTGATATAAAAGGAGAACCGGACACCAATTTCCTGGGTGGCTCCCAGCTTGCATTTTCCTTGCTTGGTCGGACCTGGGCTTACGAGTAGCTTATGTCGTATATTTCAGTTTGCCTGCAAGGACAAGGTGACCATAGTTATCATCAGCCGTTAGACTCTACAGCTACAGGACTTCCCGAGGCCACCAATGATTGAGAACACAGCAGAAGGTTGAGACAATTGTTTGGCCAGTGGCCCAGCGCGAAAGCTTCCAACCAAATACTGCGAAATGCTACTAGTAGGTTTGACTTGGCCAAAGCTGGTTCACCATATTCCACCGGGTTTAATGTTGCAGAAAGAGAGCTGTGGCATGAAAAACCACGGATAATAATAACATCAAACTAGAAAAAATTAGTCCCTTCGGCCAGATCTAAAGGTCGACTTCCTTGCCTTGGCCTGAGGACTGGTGAAACAACTCCAGATAGCTCTGAGCTAGCGTTTAACTATCAGATTCCGCAAGGGACTGTCGTATTCGATGCTGCCATTTTTGGTCGTTGCCCTGGATGATGAAGCAGGACAAGTCAGAGCGGACTCCTGGGTCCCAAGGCAGCCTGATTGCGAGCTGATGCACGGGTGAAGACAGAAAACATAGATTCAAACAAGAGGGGGTAAATATATATGCCAGCTACTTGTTCACATGCAACATCTATCATTACTGTTGATGAGTGGCGCCGATGGGATGAGCAACTGATTCCCGCATTTGCTAGGCCGATCTGTGGAGAGAACCTGGCTACTCCTCGCGTCCTCGGCTGTTCCAAATCAAAGGAAGCAAGTAATCCCACTCAGTTAGGAAACAATGGATCTTGATGTTTTGATGTCATGCATAGAGATGTGCCCCAGCACCTCGTAACGAAGCCGTCAGCTCCACTTGTCTGCTGCTGAAGAGTTGGGATTTTATTATCTGCCAATCCAACAAAATTCAACAAACTAAGCGGTTAATTCTCGAAGATGCAAGCCGTGCTCTGTTCTCTATCTCCTTTCCCTTCTCAGTCAAGCAGAAATCAGAAGATGCAAACGCAGGATTGTTGGTATGAATATAGTTACAGGAGCCGTGAACTCAATCAGCAACGCAAACCTTCGGATAATTCAGGGGCAACGCCATCAGAGGAGATCTCTTGCGCTAAAACCTTGGCCATCGAACACCATTATGCACAAAATGTGCAGGTTTAGATCCCATGATTCCTTCTCAGCCGAAGCTGACAAGAACATTATCAATGCCAACTAGCCCTCGATGCAATTAGAAATGACAATAAACAAACAGACCGACCTACAACTGTATTTGTCTTTGGGACCGGTCACAACCATCGATGGCTGTATGGGTAGAGATGGTTCTGCTAGCAAGTCAATGCAGGTTCCTGAGAACCTGTAGCGGCGTGCCATACCTGCCACATATCGATAAGAATCATCCTGATTTATTTTCCCCCTTCGTGTCAGTTTCCGAGCTCCTATCCACAGTTGCAAAGTGCCTCAAGACAATATTCTACGAGTGGCGCAACCCGTGGCTTGAAGATCATCGAACCATGAAAATTCAGATGTTTCGAAACAACAATGAAAATAGAAACATCTCCTATCACGAAAGCAACCCTCAATCAACCCACACCCGGTAAAATAAATACTGAAAAAGTATTTACCATTTCAGTCGCCAAACACGCGTCTATTCAGAGAAAATGCCGTATCTGCAGCACAACGTTGACTAGCCAACAGCAAAGTGCCCACGAGTGCGGAATAGCAGCCCTAACCTCCGTAATACTGCAACAACATCGAACATGACGTTGCAAGACATGCATGCGCCTCACTGGCGGCTCTTGTTGATTCCTGTTTTTCTCCCTCAGTTGTTTGTCTGTGCGCATCGCTCCACTTGATTTCAACCCCTTTTTGTCCGGGCCATTGCTCAGGCCACTGTTCCGCTGCTATATATAGATCTTCTTGGTCCGGCGTTTGGCTTTCTCATCTCAAAGATAAAAATAATAAGACATGGCGTTTTAGTGTCCGTGTCCACACTGCGCTTATCAGACCCGCCGTGTACCTGCATGACTTGGTGGGGTCGCTTATCCAGAGGTCAAGTTACATCAGTTGGACTGCTAACTGCCAGGCTATTTTCTCACGCCGCCCTATCACAGTTACAAGGGAGGGGTTATATCTCCAGTGAGCAGAACCGGCGAGCTGGGGCTTCACTGAGCATGGACTGTACATTCTCATCTTTTATTTTTTCTTTATCTTATTTTTCGCCAAATAATTTCGAGATATTAACTGAATCTAGATCCTCCCATGCGAGCTGGTCTTTCAGCTCCCCACTTTTAAGTTCCGCTCTCGCTTCCCCCTTGCTGCGTTTGCAATATTATCTGCTATCTTACCCCTACCTATCTTGAATATAACATCTGTCTCAGATACCAGAGGAAGGAAGGCTGTTCCGGCTTCATACTAGCTTGCATGGGCAAAACATCATTGACTTGGGCTCTTGTTCAACTTCAATTCTACTCTTGATGTGCGGTTCGCTTCACCCAAGTTTCATGGAAGAAAAATAGAAAAGAATTACATATCCCCTCTTTACACAAGCCAGAGGAGTCACCAAGAAGAAAAAAATAAAAATAAAAAAAAAAATCCCCAAAATGGAGAAAACATCGCGTGGAAAGTTTACCAGGACCCTTCTCCATCAAGGGGGCGATGGTGCTCCGGTTCTGGAGCACAAGGATTTCGGAAATTTGACCATATCAAGGCATCCTCTGGGCACCATGGGTGCATGTACAGTGTAGCGACAAATTATCCTACCGCCATCCTAGGGATCCCAGCGCACGCACAAGATGCACTAACCTCGTCATCCGAATTGGCGTCTGGTTGCGGCAAATTTTTCAACTTTCCCTTCGCGACCACATATATAATGGTCATCTATCAGCGAAGGTAGGGAGGAAGGGATTATCGAATATGCGATTGGCTATACCATGGAGAGGCCCCAAAGCTGGCCCGCCTGTGTCTCTCTGCCACTTGGGATGAGGCCCACAAAATCCAAGGCAACTAGATAGACGACTTTGATGAAATGGTGTTATCGAAGGAGGAGAGTGAATGTCCTGAGCCAGGCCATTGCAATGAGAGAGAGGGACATGGTCAGTAACTGTACACAGTAGAAGTCGACTTCCTGAGAAATCCTAAAATTAGCTTAATTAGAGGACAAAACCTCTACAATGGAATGGCATGGGCTATGCGGTTGGGCTTGTGCAAATTGAAAATTTGACATCTCGTAAGAGGCTAGCTCTTATTGCATGGGCCTTTTTTTTTTTTTTTTTTTTTGGCGGTGTGGGTCTAATAATGGGAAAAGATTGGATTATTGTTCTTATTAATAGCTTGACGGCCAGTCACTCGGCATGCCGAGCTCGGGACATTCGGGGATAATGCGTCGTATAAATCTACGTTAACATGTCCCTACTATCTACTCCGTAGCACATTTAATTTATCCCAAGCCCCAACTGAGAGATCGACATATACGAACCAGCCGGCCATAAAATTAGTCAATTCTATGACATTACCGCCTCTTTGTCATAAGATTCCCAGTAGTTAGAAACCCTCTATCCCCCATGCTGCCTCTCCATTCGATAGATAGCTGTCCAAGAATAGTCCGACCATCTCGATTCATATCCTTTTGCAAACCTTCAAGGCCCTCCTGCTGTCCGTGTTCTTGTTCCACCAAGAATGCAACCTGGAGGACATCACGAGGTTTTAGCATGGGTGGGGCCGTTTTCAGGGAATCGGATCGTTCAAAGTCCCAATTTAGCGACCTGGACTTGAAAGGTGGTTTTGGGTTGAGTGTGGTAGACTTAAAAGAAAAAAAAAACACATGAACTATTAGCTGGTAATTTTAATCATGCGTGATTGCAGATAAACGGTGGGGGAGGAGGGGACACAATCGCAGAAAATAATATGAAGTTTGCAAACAGAACATACTCCAAGAGATATCGCTCCATCCCCGACGTTCTCCAGTTGAGCCTCAAGCGCGTATCTCAGTAATCGCGCCTTTCCATAGGGGCCAAGCGCTCGATTATCCACTTCGAGCGGTGTCAGTTCCGTCGCCTTTGTCCGCACACTTAAACACGGCTGTGCAATGAATTGGTAGAGCTTCCGGAACGTGCGTACCCGTCCGCTTGCCGCCTGTACGGCACCAACGCCGGAACCAGGAGAGGTTTCTTGACCTTGTGGCGCCAGAGTGGTTTCGGTATAACTAACGCTGACTGCAAGAACATGATTCCCTTCTTCCTTTAAATCGAAACGGACTATCTTCTGCAGCGATTGAGACTTTGCTAGCCCGCCAGACCCCGAATCTTCTCCTGGCGGGGAAAGCTCCAAAGAAACGATTTGAGATGGCGTCTGCATTTCCGCTACTATGCGAACAGAGCTGACAACCCGGTTTTCGATATCAAGCGGGAGTTCATTGTTTGCACATAATGAGCAAGAGAATGTTTCCCCCACGTATGCAGATCCAAATGCCGGTGGAAGGGTAACCTGTCAACGAAATATTAGAGAGTTGAAGGCCCTTCAGAGAAGAGAAGGAGACTTGGCGGTCGACAAGCTCACATTTGGGCTGAGAATGAATTGGCTGTCAGAGCTATCGGAAGGGTAACTGAGCGACGCTTTAAGAGGAGGGACACTTTCGTTTTCACTCGGGAGCGGATATTGGTATGATAGGGAGGGTCGTGAAAGTCTGGTTTTGGTCGGACGGAGAAGATGGAACAAATATATAAACATCAAGAGATAAAAACGGGGAAGCTGGTTTTTTGGAGCTGGGAATGGGACCGGAAGAAAGGCTCACCGTAAAACTGGATTTTATGATATCAGCCAGTAATTGCGCAAACTCGACGAGCATGGACCGCCACCAGTATTCATACCTTTTAATGAAACTGAATGGGGCTCCTTGGCCACTTCAGCCCCGGCGAGCAGGCGAGGACGAGCCATATGGAGGACTCATGTAGTAGGAGTTTCAGGAATTTGGTATGGAATTTCCAACAAACTTAGTATCTCACACAGATTCATTCAATAAGCCTTCATAATACAATAAAGTAATAAGGATTGAGCACAAGTTGTAAGATGTAGGTTTATTCTAAGCTCTGGAGCTTCAAACGATTCATTGGCTCCGGGGGGAGAAACGATGTTCCGCCAGGTCTTATCACCAGTTCGATTTTATTCCCCACTGACCAAATTGCCGACGTTGCAAATATCCATTCTAGGTTTGTTTTATGCACTCGAGGAATATTGAATGGAAAATGGAGACCCGATGGGAAAAGTTAATAATTTCCCTTCTCTCTTTATATACATAATTCGTTTCCACTCTCGATAAGGAGTTATGTCCTAGTAGTTACAAAACCTTGATGCGGACTAGGAGCGTTAAAAAATACTAGTACTAGTAATAAACAGATGAAAATAAAAGAAGAATGGCTATATACATGATGAGGGAAAAGGGCGGGGCAGAAGACGTGAATTCGAAGAAGGGGTTTGTAAAGCCGCGATGGGATAGCAGGGCCAAGACAGAATCTTCCCTCACAAAACGGAGACAACGGCTGAGGGGTTCCTGGTGAATCATACTAGTAGTAGTAATGATGATGAAACCTCCCCGCGCTCTAGAACCGCGCAATAACCTTCTCCTGCGTATCCGACATGGCCCACTTGCTGGAATTCTCCTTGCTCAGAACACTCTTCGCCTGCTCGGCAGTGAAACCCTTTGCTACAACTGCCGGGTTGTACCCCAGCCCATTAATCCTCCCAACAACCTCATCGGGAACGGGGACCGCCTCCTTGCCGTCCGCACGCTTGTAGACAGTAACCACCACTGCACCCCCGAGTCCTAGGTTATGCTGCAACGCCGCATCCGTTCCTTTCACCATGCGGTTATTCGCCCAGCCACGTAGATGCCACACGAGCTCCGCACACTGCGCCACGCCCGTCGCACCTAGCGGGTGGCCCTTGGAAATCAACCCGCCAGACGGGTTAATCACCATCTTGCCACCGTAGGTGATATCGCCCCGGCGAACCATCTCATGAGCCTTACCGGGCTCCGATAGTTCCAGGGCGTCGATGGTTGTCATTTCGTTGGCTGAGAAGCAGTCATGAAGCTCGCAGACCTTGATGGACCTGACATCCACGCCGGCCTCGGCGAGGGCAGAGCGGGCTGCCTTCCGCGCCATGTCGAAGCCCATGAGGCTGATGGAGCTGGTGTCGTAGACGGAGGGGGTGTCGGTGGCAAGGGTCTGGCCGGCGATGAGGATGGCCTGATCCTTGAGGTGTGGGCGGGCGTCGAGGAAGGCTTGGGAGACAATGACGGCGGCTGCACCACCATCGGAGGTTGGGCAGCATTGGAGTTTTGTGAGCGGGTAGAAGATCATGGGGGAGTTGGAGATTTGCTCGAGGGTGTATTCCTGTTGGAATTGGGAGTAGGGGTTTCGTTTGGAGTGCTCGTGGTTAATGCGGCCTATTTCCGCGAAGTCTTCAGCTTTAGCGCCGTATCTGGGTCGCGTTGGTTTATGTTAGTATCTCGCGGGCTTTGTATCATCAGGAGGGAGGAGGCTGGAAGGAGTAGACTCACTTCTCCATATACTCTAGACCAGCATTTCCGAACATCTGCGCCGCACCAGGGGCATTTGTGACACCGCGGGTCTCCGCCATCATCTCACCAAAGAGACCAGTGGGGTTGGCGCGATCATTGAAGTTCGCCTGGAGACTGCCCGGGTTCATCTTCTCAAAGCCCACGACGAGCACGCAGTCCGCAGCGCCATGCCCAACCATCGTCCGGGCCATGGCAAGGCCCGTCGAGCCGGTGGAGCAGTTGTTGTTGACGTTGTAGATGGGAATGCTGGTGAGGCCGAACTGGTAGAAGACACGCTGGCCACACGTGGAATCTCCGTAGCAATAGCAGGCCACGCCCTGGTCGACATCATCGTAAGTGATCTGGGCATCCAGCATAGCCTTGACACCGGCCTCGAAGCCCAGCTCATGATAGTCGACTTTCCCGCGCGGTTTGATGAACTTCGTCATGCCCACGCCCAGGACGTAGGTCGGACCGATTTGTTTTTTGGCCATTTTGCTATATTTTTATACGAATAAAATGATGCAAATGACAAATGATGTATGTTATAGTTATTATTATTAAGCTAGCATATTTGCCGAGTTAGCCAGGAGTCTCCCTTGAGTTGAAGAGTTGGACGCTGGTTACTTACGGGTCGAGATTTCTTGCTGAAGAGATGAAATCAAGGACCGTAGATTCAATGAAACAGATCATTTCAAAAAGCAAAGCAACCAGTGCGGACAAGAGCATGCGGTGGGTATTTATGTCCCCGGGCAGCTAGGTGCTCGGGATAGCCCTCGCCTGGTGGAGCTGAGAGAGCTGTTGCGGGGAGCCGCAACCGCCCTTTGCTGATTCCTCGGTGCCTCGGATCAGAGCCAGGGCGCCTTGCCGGAGAGGGTTTAGTCCCTTTCATGATGATTGATATCGGCTCTTGACGACTCATCATGGTCTGTATCTATGAACAGCATTTGTCATACTAGAAGTTATTAGGAGTTACCTGCCTGCAGTCCTGGATAATTGGCCAGATCTTCCCACAGCTGCATCTTCTGATGATGTGTGGAGGAACGTCTCCTTTGTATCGAATGCGAAACAGTAGCACCGACGCCCACAGTATAAGGAATTGATACTCAGAAAAAGAGAAGAGTCTCATGCCATGAAAGGCATGGAATCTACTCGACTTTTGACCATGTAATTCCCGATGCTTTCTGCTGTAATGGCAAATTACGTATTGTAGATATAGCCTTCCACTCCACTTGCTATTCAAGGCATCACCAGCCTTTTGCGGTCGTGGTGAATCGCTTCTGCTTTAAATTCAATAATACATTTTATTGAAAGTATCTGGAGCGAAGATGTAGCCAGTGCAAGGGCCCCTTATATACACTATTACTTTATCATATAGTGGTGTGAGTCGTATGAGATGTGTTCGGACAAGATTTAGCAAACCTTTCAAAACCTTTAAAGCACTTGATACCAATATCGACCATTCACGAACTGCTGTCCATGGCTGTGGGGTACAGAGTTCTGTCGCAATATAGTCAGTGGTTTATTCATCCTCTCTTGTTTGAGTATAGTTACTAGTATCGATGAATTGGTGGTGGCAACCCTTGAATTTCTTATATGAAGCCAATAAACAGCTCCTCTAGTGGCAAGGAACATGCACATTCAAGATCAAGATGACAGGTTTGATGTTATTGTTCTTATCACCGAACATACTGGTTTTGCTAGCATTTATATCTGGGGATTCATGGAACATGCCTCTTTCTTGTCCTGCTTCTTTCTCCCTTTTTGCCCCTGGTGCGATAATAATTCTAAATCTCCTGCTCGGTTATTCAGCATTTCACATGAAGACATCACATCCCATTCATACACCCTCTTTGAGTCATTCGTGAATTCCAGTTAGCCCTGTTTCCATATTGGATGATAGGCCTCCCCTCCTCAACCTTCACCCCTAGTCCCTTTCCCCTTTTCCCCCTTACCTCGTATCAACCTCTTGATGCTGCTGGCATAGCATGACAGCGCCTCTCTGAAGCATTTGATTCGGCGGAGCCAAGAGAAGCAAATCTTGAGGGGCTGAGACGGGATGGCAATCCTGATTCCCTGCAATGACGTTAGCCCATGGTTAGCCCATGGTTAGCCTGGGAAGGCTGCAGGGTTATTTCTTTGAAAACCACTGTCCCACCGGACTGTGCAGTTTGATGCTTCAACCGGTCGCGTGCTTCGGCTCCTGCTTGTCTAATAACCCACGCTTTAGAAGTGAACGGTGTCGATGAACGGCACCAATAATATTTTGGTCGTAGGAATTCTTAAGATCAAGGCCGTTTGGCATTGTGTTCCCAGAAGTTGGGGTAGCTTTGGAGTAGTAGATAGAGCATGCAGTACAGGCGGAGATTAGCCCCCCCAATGATATACACCATATGTTTCCAGGGATAGTGACAGGGAAACGGAAGTTGGCAGACGAGAGAGCATGTGCTAACAGTACGTGCATCCATAGCAGAAGCGAAACACACGTCCAACGGCAAGAGTGGTAACGGCCCAGCCAACCAGGACGAGGTTCAGCGGGCGGGATGACTCAGCAAACTGCCAACAGCCACTCACAGCCACTCAACCCAGAGCCACACCACTAGCACATAAATGGAAATAGTGCAAGGTATTAAGCAAGTAAGTGGCGTATATGTGTGCGATATGATTGGCTATTGCCGGGCTAGAGGTCCAGGCCCAATGCGCACTAGCCGGATTGGGGCTAGGGTGCTCCATCCCCCGTCAACCAAGCTGGCTGTCTGGTGGAAGGAATCCCACTTCCACTTCCATTTCCACTTCCTCTCCCTTCTCATTCCTATACTCACCTCCTTGTTGTCTTTGTCGGAACACCCCTCTGCTGGCCGGGGTGGCTGCTTGGGAAAGGAGCGTGTCTATTGTCGTTCTCAAAACTGCCCACTGGTCTCCCCAGACTTCCCAGATCCGCTCTGTGATGCGGGCAGATCCCGTTCCTTACTTCCCCCACTAATGGTTACCTTATCTACCTACCTCTCTACCCGTCTACAGGTACCCCTCCCTCGCCAACGCCATAACCTCGTATGTATATTCTTTTCTAAACCTCTCCATTTGCTTCCTGACTCGATGTCTCTGCGGAATCTCTTCCATTGACTGAATTGTCGTGCTCAGATTCCACCTTCGCCATCTCTGCTCTCTGACCTCCAGGAACAACCCTCCGCCAGCCATTAGAGCTTCTACTTACGCCTAGGTATATACCGTATATATCTCGATTATTTCTGGTAATCGAATTCGGGGATATCCTTCTTCACGTTCCGGAGCCGATTCCACCTCTGCCTCCGTTGCATTCTTGGGAGATTGGACACTGTTTGCCCAACCAAGAGCTGGTCGCCAGTACCCTCAATGGACAGTTGTGGGACGCTGAGAGGTCTGCTCACTTCTTTTGCTGAGAGGCCACTTTGCGTTCCATCGGATTCCCCAGTCCATGACCCTGAAATGGTCAGCTGCGACTAGAACAAAATTCGGCGACGACGACAGACACAACATTTACATACACAAAGGAGCGAATCAGAATGATGCCATCACTACAACAACAGCAGCAGCAGCAACAGCAGCAACAGCAACAACAACAGCAGCAGCAGCAGCAACAAAATCAACAACGCCAGAAGAGCATCAACAATGCCACCATCACCTCAGCCCCTGGTATCGCCTCTTCGTCATCGCAGTTGTCTTCGTCTCTGCCTTCTTCGTCCTCCCCATCTGCATCTGCACCTACAGCTCGCCACTCCTTACCCTCTTCTATTGCCGTAGCCTCGTCCTCAACTTCACACGCTGCTATGCCCCGTGGCTTTTGGAATATGGACGAACCTACGAGAAACCGATTGTTGAAGCAGTACCGTACGCAGGCTGCCTCTGCGGCGTCGACGCTCTTTGCAACGCTTTCTGTGGTATGATTGCTAATCTCGTGTGTTTCTTGCGAATAAACTTTGCGTCATGGAAAAGGTCATCACTTCGATAAATTGACTCCCTCTTGTGTTTTCTAGACGCCGCTGGAAAACCTTAAAACTCGCATGCAAACGTCAGTATTTCGGACCCCCTTAGACTGTCCTTGCTTCCTTTTTTACTCTTCCTTTTTTTTTTTCTAGTACATTTAGTACTATGCCGAAATCTAACTACTTGTTATCTCATATTCTTTAGACATGATTTTCGAGGCCTAACCGACTGTGCCCGCTATATATGGCGCACGGAGGGCTTTAGAGGATATACTGCAGGTTTGTTTGTCCACCTTGTATTGTAGCCATAGAATTTGAATAAATTTGTTGGTTTCCCAAAGGAAGAAACTAAATGCTTTCTTCGCAAATGCTACACACAGGAGCTTTACCGCCCATGGTCAGCGTTACGTTTGTCCGCGTTACAAACTTTTCGGTGTACCAAAAGGCCAAATACGCGATCTCCGATGCCTTTGAGAGAACCACCGGAGAAGCGCCGCTGGTGCTGTATAATACACCAGGAAGCCTCCCCACATTCTCCACTGTGACTTGTTTTACAATAGCTGGAATGGTTGCTGGACTTGCCGCCACGCCTCTTGCATGTAAGCACTCTCAAGTTTGTTTTTTTTTTAGCTCTTTTTTTATACAATGTAAGCCACTACCCGCATTCTAAACACTGTCCCCTCCACAGGTCCCTTCGAACTAGCCAAGAACGTTGTTCAAACTTCCGTCCTCATGGCCAACAGATCGCACGCCATAGCTGGGACGGCCACTAACCACCACACGTCCCTCCGCAACATGCCCCGCCTAGGCACCATTGACGCCATAAAACAAATCGTCTCCCGACATGGCTACCGCGGCCTGTATACGGGAGTCCGCCTGCACGCACTGCGCGACACGATCGGCACTGGCCTCTATTTTGGCATCTACGAGACGGCTAAACAGCTCATCTCGACATTTCTGGGGGACCACCAATCGCCCTTTGGTGCGCCGATGGCCGCAGGGGCGTTATCGGGGATTATCCCTTGGATATGCGTGAGTAGATTCTATCTCTTGTGTTTTATATTAAACTAGACTACTAATCTCTTCATCTTTATCTGTATCTAGACATACACTTTAGACACCAAAAAGACACGGGCGCAGAGTATTCTGCTGGGCAAGTCCAAGGAGATCGGCGAGGCCTCAATGGCTGCGGCGCGCTCGTCGATGTACAAGGGTATGTCGGTCTCGATTGCACGCACCGCGTTTCAGAATATGATCCTCCTATCGACTTTTGAGTATCTGAAGGTTCGGATTAATGAACTTGAGGCGTGAGGCAGGCTTTTTGATTTTTGTAAATTTTTTTGGGATCGTATGTGTGTCTGAATTGGACAGACATACACAGACATACTGGCATACGAGCGTGCAAAAACCCAATAAAGGGAAAATAAAATGAGGGGATGAGAGACGAGATGGATGGACATATATCCTTTTTTTTTTTTTTTTTTTAAATTTTGAATCTTTACCTCTTTCTTATGATTACATATTTTTGTTCTGACATTACTTTTTTCGATATATTTTCGTATTTTTTTGATCTGTTTGCGATTAGCAGGAAGCAACTTGGGCATCGCCGCATCCACCTTCTCCATTTCCGCCATTCTTTTGCTGCTTTTGTTTCTTCCATCTTTGAAAGAAAAGCCTTGACGGAACATGCGCTCACTTACTTTCCTGCTACCTGCCTCTTCTCCTTCTTCTCCTGTCTTACTTTACTCATTCATGGTGTTCCGGGTGTGCTTTAAGGTTCCAAATGGCTCTTGATGGTATGGTAGGAACAAGTTTTTGTCTTCCTGCTCTGCTTCTGATCTGATGTTACTACTTTGCCTCTTCTTTACTTCTCACTTTTACATGTTTTACATGTCATTTTCCCCATCTCTATCTTTTCGTAAATTTCTTTTTGACTCTACCTTTATATACATACTACCCTCAGGCTCCTCTAGTAGCTTTGTGATACAGCCTTTTGCATTTTCTTTTTGTATCGAGCGCACTCTGTTCTGAATCGTTCTATTGTGGTGCTGATGCCGGTGCTGGTACCGGTGCAGGTTATCATTCATTGTATGTACTGTACAATACATACTTTGACCATATATATGAGTATACAAAATTACAATATATCGAATAGTAGTCTGGGGCATCTGTTGTGAGCTTGTATATTCCATGATAAGTTATAATAATTGCTAGTAACTAGCTAACTAAAGGTTCAAGCTCCTCGGTTTGTTACGTCATTAGTCACTGGAATTTAGTTGGGTTTGTTTAGGCTGAGATAGTTCTCGTCGAAGTTGAACATCCAACACCAGCTTCGGACAACGCGGGGTCCCCAGCAATAAATAGACAACCGCCCACTCATACAATTACCTCCCATTGCGGATGAGTTTGCAAATGAATTTGCACCAGGCTAAGAGGAATAAGATAATTATATCATGGCGTCGTAAGTCCCCTCCCCCTCGCTTGGTGTTGAAAATACTTCTTCCCCGCTCCCCGCTGCCAGCGCCTCTTCCCCCCTTCCCACTCCCAATCAGTGAAAACTCCGCTAAACAGAAGTAAACAGAAACATCCTCCTCATCCCTCTCCGCCGCAGCCACCCCATCTCCCTCTCCACGGCCATGAAGCAGTATATCTCGAACAAATACGACCAACGGCCCGAGATGTTCGCTGAGGACCTGCTGATTATCGAAAGGCTGCGCATGGATGCGATAAACGTCCAGGAACCACATATTAGTGGCATCAGCCGGCTAGTGACATACGCAGCGCAGTTGAAGTGGCTGGGGGGGAAGTTCCCTATTGACGTATGACTGTTTTTTGTTTATCTACATACTGTGGCTGCTTTTTGGGAAGGATATTTTTTTTGTTTTATTCCCTTTACTGATGACACCATTCATTCATGCGCAATGTGTAGGTTGGCGTGGAGTTTTCATGGTATCCGGCTCTAGGGTTTAATACGTCGAGGCCTAGTGAGTTTTCTTTCATGTTTTCTTTCTCTATATATGTATCCCCTAGATACCAGTACAAGGCGCTTCGTGCTAACATCCGCAAACCAACCCCAATAATAGTCTCCCAAAACAATCTCCGCTTCGAGCTTGCGAATATCCTCTTCAACCTCGCAGCTCTCTACTCCCAGCTCGCTGCCTCCCTAAACAGCACAAACCCTGACAACCTGAAAACCGCCTGTAAATACCTCTGCCACGCCGCCGGCGTCCTCGTCCACCTCCGCACAGATATCCTGCCAGATCTCCGCTCCTCCCGGCCAGAGGATATGGACGAAATGACCCTGCGCAGCCTCGAAGAGCTTCTCCTTGCTCAAGCACAGGAATGCTTCTGGCAAAAGGCCGTCAAAGATGGGCTGAAAGACGCTTCCATAGCCCGCCTGGCGGCGAAGGTATCGGACCTCTATGCCGAAGCGGGCGATTGCGGTGTCAAATCCGACGCTATCAGCACCGAGTGGATCCACCACATGACGGCTAAACACCACCATTTCGCTGCTGCGGCGCAATATAGACAGTCGCGTGATTGTCTGGAGAAGCAGAAGTATGGCGAGGAGGTTGCGCGGTTGCGCGACAGCGTGGCGTGCGTGAATGAGGCGCTGAAGGAGAGCAAGTGGATTAGTCGGGTGGTGCTAGGGGATTTGAATGGGCTGAAAGCGCGGGTGACGGAGGATCTGAAGCGGGCGGAACGTGATAATGATAAAATATATTTGATCCCTGTGCCGCCCAAGTCGGAGCTGAAGCTGCTGGATCGCGCAAACATGGCCACTGCGAAGGCGCCGGTGGAGGTGACGGATGCGCTGTCCATGATTGGGGAAGGGTTGCCGTTGGGGAAGCCGCTGTTCGCCAAGTTGGTGCCGTATGCGGTGCATGTTGCGGCGAGTATTTATGTGGAGAGGCGGGATAGGCTTGTGCAGCAGGAGATCGTGGGTGGGGTGGAGGAGATGACCGCTCATCTTAAGGAGTATGTTATTATAAGGATGCTGGTTTACTAGTAGCACATATGGTGGAGAGAGATATGTTGTTTTCTTTTTTGGCTAACCGTATCAATATGCAGGTTGCTCCAATCTCTCAACCTCCCAGGCTCGCTGCAGGCTCTCGAAAAACCCCTAGGTCTGCCGCCATCGCTTCTCTCGCACGCCGAGGAGATACGCCAGCAGGACGGCTTCAACCGGCTTCGGCTCTCGCTGAAGGACACCGCAAAGCTCAAAGCAAACGACAAGGCCATCTTCACCGAGGGCGTCGAGCTGCTCATGGCTGAACGTGACGAAGACGACCGCGCCCGTGCGAGATACGGCACGGATCGGTGGACGCGCGAGCCGTCCGAAGTCGCTGGCAAGAAACTGTACACGCAAGCGGAGGAGATCGAGGGCTACCTGGCCTCTGCAGAGAACAGTGATAAGCTCGTTGAGGAGAAGTTGCGGGACACGGAGAAGGTGTTGCGGGTTCTCACGGGAACAAATCGGGATATCGAGGCGTTTGTGCCGAGTAGTCGGAAGGCGAATATGACGGAGGCGGTTGAGAGGGAGGCAGGGAGGCTGAGGGGCTGTTTGAATGAGGTGGGCAGGTTGGAAAGTCGGAGGAGGAGGAGGATCGAGGCTTTGAGGGAGAAAGCCAGGGGTGATAGTATTCGTATGTATATCGTATTTCTCCCTGTGGCTGTGGCTAACTACTACTAAATTAAGATGCCGCCCTCCTCAAGGAAGCCGGTCGCCTCGAACGTGAATTCCCAATGCAGCGAATCGAGGCTAGCCAATTCGAGGACCTTTTCGCAGAGCGTTTGAAGCAGTACGACGGGGATCGTAAAATGCTCCTGGAAGAGGAGCAGAAAGCCCAGTTGGCGATTGTGGAGCAGTTGCGGGACGCGAATCGGAACTTCGTCAATGTGCGCCGTGGGGATTCGTCGACGAAGGAGCGCGAGAAGGCGCTGCAGGAGCTGGAGAATGGGTATGTGCGGTACAAGGAGATTATTGGAAACGTGGAGGTTGGGCGGAAGTTTTATAACGATTTGGCAAAGTTGGTGCGGAGGTTTCGCGAGGATTGTATGGGATTTGTTAGTGGGAGGAGGGTGGAGGCGGGGGAGCTGGAGACGTGAGTTACTTTTCTTTCTTTCTCCCCTTCCCCTTTGTTATTCTTTCTCCTTTCTCTAGGTGGCCTTATGCTGCGGATCGGGGATGGATATGTTGCTAACGCAAAGGGAATGACATAGGGACATTACGAATACCAGTGCGATGGCTTCGCTCAGCATATCGCAGAATCAAAAGCAGGAACAAAATCCATTCCCGCCACCTCCTGCGTCTACAATTTTATCGCCAACAGCCGTAGCGGCAGCGAATGCAGCCATCCACCACCACCAGCAGCAACACCAACACCAGCCATTCCACGGCTGTCAGCCTCATCATCCCCCGCGCCAAAAATCCCCCCTGAAATCCACCCGCTCACCTATATCCGGCCATACCCCTTTCACCCCATCAACCACCACATCCTCATCGCCAGTAGCAGCCTCCGCCGCTGCTGCCGCTACAACAACAGCAACAACAGCAACAACAACGTCACAACCTCAACCTCAACCTCAACCTCAACCCCAACCACCAACCAAAGAAAGCCCCCTCACCGCCCCACAACCAACCCGCACCTCCATAATCCCACCACCAATCACCATGCCCCTCCCCACTATGCCCACAGGAGGCATGTGGTCGCCGGAGATGGGGATTAAGTTTGGATCCTCCGCACCGGCACCGGCACCGGCTTCACAGATACCGATGAATGGGCCGGACCAAACCGAGCAGCAGACGCAGGCTCAGGCTCAGATGGTGTCTCCGATGCCAATGCCGATGTCGACGTGGGACCCGAGTCGAGGGGTTAGGTTTTCGTAGGGGGCTATGGTCCATTACTATTATTCGGGTGGTTGGTTCTTTGCTCTCTCTCTCTCTCTCTTCTTTTTTTTTCTTCTCTTTTTTGCGTTTCGTTTTGGGGAGTTAGGATGGATGGGACTGCATTGTTGAGGAAGAGAAAGGGTGCGTGCATGCGTGTGTGTGTGTGTGTGTGTGTGTGCTTTCTTGCTATCTTAGAGGAGAGGTGGGTTAGAATTTTAGCCGGTTCGAGGGTTGATAATGTCGATATATATATAACTATAACTAATTTTGTATCTGGAAGTTTAGCGTAGTAAATAGACATAGTGTAGATAGATAGATATCTAAGATATCTTCCTTCACTGCAAGCAACACAGGTCTTTTCTCTCCCTTTTTTTTCTCTCTTTTTTCTTCTTTATTTCCCCCCCCTTTTTTACGCCTTTCATTCCCTTTTAATCCTTTATTTCATAAAAACATTAACTAGATAGATAGTTAACTATTCTTAGAGATCAAAAGAAGTAAACTAAGCATATTCGCCCAAAACAAAGGGAATAAAGAGAGACTCTTAATTCAATTGAGAGAACTTGTTGCTTAAATTAAATTAAACTAAGTTAATTTATTAATTTCATTAGTTATTTGAATTCATTACATGTATGTAATTTCACGCAGTTATATATATATATATATATACCTCTCTGTGTGTGTGTGTGTGCACGGTCATATCAAAGCCAATAATATATCCCGCCCCCTCCTCTCTTTTCTGATTTTTTTTAAAAAAAAAAAGAGAGAGAGAAAATCCTCCATAAAATCATGAATACAAAACAAAATTGAGTCTCATTTTAACTATGCAAAAGGTATCTAAGCAAGTTTTGAACGAAGCTGCTGTTGATATAACTAACTCATGGATATCTGAGTTGCTTATACAGAGTGCAGTTAACCCTCTGTTTCTCTCTTTCTTCATACACACTCTGTTCTCTTTTCTGATTCGTCCAGCCTGTTTGCAAATCAAAGGAAAGAAGAAGGAACTGATGAATACTTAAATAAAAAGATAAAAGTAATGGAAGCTATTTCTCATTCCAAGAAAGGATCCGGCAAAAAAAAAAGGAATGAAAAAGAAAGAAGCAAAAACTAGAAGCCTGTAAAGCTAATTAATTAATCAAAAAAGACAAAAGTAAATAAACAGAATAAAAGGAGAAATAAAAGAGAAATATAAAAATGACAGATAAAAATAAAAATTAAAAAGCAAGCCAAAATCCCTCCCTCTCTTAGTGAGATAAGTAGGTAAATGTGTGTGTCAGTAGAGAGATAAGTATATGAACAGTGTGAAATATGAGTAAAAAGAATGAAACATGAAAATATAGATCAAGAATTAACAGGAACAGGAGTATAGAAGAGCTGGTTTAGATCAGACAAGACCCCTCTCATAATCCATCGTCCATCACCCATACACTTTAACTATATCTATATATATCTATATATATATATATATAGATAGAGATAGAGATATGAAGGAAGGACAGGAGGAGGGGAGGATGAATAACACACCAAAAAAACCCCTCAAGAGCAAAAATAAACAAAAGTAAATGTAATAACAACATTGTAAAGCCTCCCACTTGCACTCCCTTCCACCCGAACCTCATTGCGCTAAACATGAAGAGACATGACACGTTAGAAGGGCGCTGGTAAATTATCAGTTAGTCAGGAGACGATTGACGGCAAGCGTCCGGTTTCCGTCTGATTCTCATGTAATCCAGACTGGTGACGGCAAAAGCTTTTAGACATTTCCCCTCTTTTTCCCCCCCTTTTTCTTTCTTTTTTTTTTTTTTAGCTTGGTACTTTTCTTTTCTCATGTGCGCCGCTCTTCCTCAGGTCTACTCGACGCCAACGACGATAACGACGATCGGAATTTGCTGTCCATCACGCCGCCTCCGTGCTGGTGCGGTATTTGTCGAGCATGCCCGCGATATCGCCGTCAGCAAGGGCGCCGCCGTTCTTCTCGGTGATGAGATTCTTCAGCCACCGGTTCTCCATCTCCAGCTGGGTGATGCGGGCTTCCAGTGTGGCGTTCTTGGCCGTAACGTCCTTGACGGTGCGTTCCATGTTCTTTTCACGCTCCTTTTTCTTGATGCGGAAGCGGGCGCTGGCGGCTGTGTTGCGGCGTCGCTTATCTTCTTCCTGTGCGAGGCGCGCGGCTTCATCGATGCTTTGGGTTCCCGGGACAACGGCATCCTGTTTCCGCTTGGTGCCTTGGCTCGCTGGTGCTGGTGCTGTGGTCGTCGGTGACGATATCGCGCTGGAAGGGGACGGGCCGGGGATGGCCTGTGGGGTGATCAAACGCTTGACGTCGCTGGGGGTTAGAGGTGTTACATTGGGGCTGGGGCCTTGAGGTTGAGGCGGTGGATAAACAGGCGCTTGTATTGGTAGCATTGACGAAGGGTAGCCAGACGAATAGTTTTGGACGTTGAAGTCTGGGTCATTGTCAGTAGCCAGTCCATGAAATCAACTGGTCGGCACAGCGCATCCACCCAATTCATTCTCCCCACAACGACGGAAAAGGCAATGATGAGGGAGAATCTAGGGGGAAGCCATTGTTTTAAACCACGGCCATCAGAGAGGCCATGCCGATCAACCCATCGATCACTGCTGGATCCATGGATGTTGTTGACAGGAGCACCAATGATGCTAGTCACGTGATATTGCGTGATGCGGCACGTCCAGCACGTGCTCGAGCCTCCACCCTTTCCTGGTAGGGACAGCAAGGATAGAAAAAGGGAACAGCCGCCCAAAAGTGACGGTAATGGTTGACTGCTGCGGATTGTGGGTGCTGCAGGAAACGAGAAGCAGGGACTCTGTGTGGTGCTGCGATGTGGATACCCACAACGCACACTGCTGATAGGATAGAGCTGGCAGCAAGGAGAAGGCGCAAAAATTGCAGATTCGCCCAGCCGCCTATAAATCCCATCAGGGGATAGCTGTTGCAAGACCACAAGATGGACACGCACACGGAAATAAAAAAAAAAAAAAGGGGGGGGGGTTCCCACCGGGCGGGGGTACTAATTGGGTTGGGCGCCAGGACATGCAGTATGGGAAGGCATGAAAAAAGCCCCCCCATAAACAGAACGATCCGAAGTAGACAAAAGAAAAGAACAACTCACCGTTGAGCATATCAATATATTTCACATTATCTCCACCAGCCGAAATTGGCGTCGTTGTGTCCGGACTATTTCGCATATCGGTTCCTTCACTTCCTTCCGCCGTCTCGTACTTCACGGGAATCTCGACGGGCAGCTCGCCCACAGGATCGAAGTCGAGGAATTCCGCATTGGTGAACAGAGCCAATTCCGCGTCTACATCGAACAAAGTCTGCTGCTGCTCCTGCTCCTGCAGTGCCTGGTCATAGGGGGACGGAATGGTGTTGAGGTCGTTTAGGTACTGCGAGAAATTTGGCGCTCGGCGCCCGCTGTAGCCTGACATGGCTCTTCTTTTCGCAACGGATCGAGCCCCCGGAAGGGATAATTATGAAAGTCCCCAGCACGATAGATTTGTCAATTTTCAAATTATTCTACTTGTTTCGATGTTACAATGCGGTTGAAGATCTGAGATGTAACGGATCACGCTGGGACGGCAAACAGGGAATGGAAAGTTTGTGTAGGGTTAATGAGAGGGGACTATATGCAGTTCGTATGGCCTCAACGAGAGAGGAGGTCCGTGTGATATGGCGAGTGCAGATAGCGGGGGATGGTACTGCTGCGCCGAAGATGCCTGGCTGGCTCGCTGGCAAGAGACGAAACGGTATGGTATGCCTTGGGAGAAAAGAAGGGCGATTGGGTGCGGAGGGGTTAGGCGAGAGAAGGCGGGAGAGGACTCGGAGGGAGTTGGAGGTGGGCGGGTTGGCGGTTTTGGCTCGTCCTTTGTGCGGCGGCGAGGCTCGGGCTGGCCCAGCAAAGTTTTCGCGTGGGAAAGGAAAGGGTGGGGAGAGAGGGCTGACTAATGGTCGCTGACTCGCAGGGAAACCCCGCTGGCTTGGCGGCCGGCTTGGCTCACGGCAAAGGTACTTCGGCCGTTACCACGAAGATTACGTTTGTGGCAGACCGGTTCAAAGATCACGGAGTTGGTTGTTTGTTTGTATCTGGTGCCAATTGCAGGGGCGGCTCTGGGTGTGGATGTACTGTACGTATTGTGCCTGGTCCTTTCATGTTCAGCCAGGGAGGTTCGGGGCCATTCGAATCAGTTCGTTGTATTCTCATCAGCATGTGAAGGGGAGCATCATTTCTGCATGAATTAGCAGTAACATTCATGGAAAGCGAGTAAGATTCCATGCAATAACCGAATGTGGAAAAGCTGCAGCAAATACTGACACTGTTTCTGGCTTTGGCAAATCCCGGGTATCAGTGAGACTATGGAAGGTTATTTCACACCAAACAACCATCCTCCCCGTACACTCAACGCTAACCTCTGTCCATATCTCAATCACAACATATTATGATAAAATATATAGGTAATTTAAAATCCCCTATTGAATTCATCTATTTTAATATATATATATTTTCTAGAAATTTATATCATATGATATGTATTACGTATGTAAAGATCAAGGATATTTTCTTAACTATGTAAAAGCTACATAAAATGTATTCAGATTTCTATGAGAAAAGTATGCTTATGTGTAACATTTAAATAATATCTCTGATCTAATTTAGATTAAAAATTTTAAGTATCCTGAAAAATATTAATTATATGCTGCTGATAACACCCTGATCTGAACACATCTCTCATAATTTGTAATACTAACTATAATTAACTAGAAAAAGCTCTTACAATACAGACTGACTTATAACTCACCAACGTACAGAAGATTCTAAATTAAATCTTTTATTTTCAAATATACATATATTCGCATTAATAAATTACAAATTATACAGTATCTTAATAGAGTGGATGTTGAGATATCAATAGCGGACCATCCTTGATTTTGTATGGAAAACAGTAGGCATTGAGTAGAAGTGGTAAACTACGTTTGCACACTCCCTTTTCCATATTTGCAGAATGATTCGTATTAAAATTGAGTTCTCTACAAACTGCGGATCGAGCCATTTTGCAGAGCTTGATTCTCGTACGAGTTATAAAGGTGGTTTTTTCGGGGGTAAGGCCCTTCATACTCGCTGTTAACGCATTCCACGAGCCAGACATGAGCAACTCTTGCCACCGACAAACTCTCCCACTCGCGGCTAAAGTCGGAATGACCCGTCATCCTGCGGGAACCACAAAGAAACGATCCCCTGATGAATGATGAATGGGTAAGCCGAAAGCAGTACAGAACAAACCGCATGCGGCTTGCTTCCACCCCGTCGATTACTAGCATTCATCTGCTGATTACGTGCAGCTTGCAGGTATTTAGCGGGGAGAGAGACGCAGAGGCAGCACTGACGAGAAACAAAGAAGAGAAAAAAAATATCATTCCTATTAATGAACCTGTGTGAATAATGGAAAGTCATTCCAGTTGCGTTTTGAGTCTTTCGCTGCGCCTTGCTCATTTTTACGCTGTTTCCGCCGTTCCAAGGTTTCCACCGAGGCCTGCTTTTCCAGGGTCGAGATCACGTAGTTGAACCTCTTCAAGCTGACCGCCGGTCAGCAATTAAGTTGCAGGACTTGTTCCTTCGAAAGCAAAAGTCAACTTCTTGCTGCTTCCTTGTCAGTCAAAGATACGAACTACTTGCCCTCGTGTTCGGCCTACGTTTCCCCTGCCCATGCGGAGGGACGCGTTATCTTGCTTAGCAATCAAGAATCTACTGCATAGTTAACTAGCTGTTGAACCGCTGCCAAGGGAGGAAGAGAGAGTACAAAGTAGACATTAATAATACCAATTGATGGCCGCGCGCCTGATGGCGGCCTGCGAGCGGCGAAACAAACCAAAGGATAATCCGATCTCTCGGCGACCATCATGATCCTTAAAAACCCTATCTGATTGTTGACAAAAAACCCGTGGGATGTGGGGTAAACGCCCTCAATTTACCACTCCACGGCTAGCCGGTAGTGAGCTCGAGGGGACAAACATCTCTATAGCTAACTAGTTAATGTGGATGATTTCTCTAAGCTTTATAATTTATTAATTAATAGTGCTGGTAGAGATGGTAAAAATGGTAATGAGAGGAAATAGATCATTAATCTCTTTGATCGCATTGATATGCTTGCACCTTGCGAGCTCTGTAATCTGATGTTAGGACTTTTGGCACCAAAGGTACCAACCAACTGGACAAATGGTTTCAAACCTAGAATATTTGATTTTCTTTCAGTGATCAGCGGAATTACCAGCCATTTTATATACAGGAATTGACGGTAATGAATCGATCCTGCAATAATGTCTTAGTTAATGAGAGGTCTTTTTGATGGTAGATTTGGTAAGGCACTTTCATATCTCCAGCCCCCCAGACCTGGTTGACAAAATTGCCATCCTCAACCCGCTACCTAACTTTGGCCGGGTTCACAGACACTGGCTGGTTCCACGAGGGAGGAGGTACAGCCTGACACCTAGACCGCTTCATTCTCCACTTTGAAAGACTGCTCCTGCATAAATACGGAGAACATGAACAAAACGTCTCAATACATGCTTATATTCTCCAACGCCGTGGAAATCTGCTTCAGCAAATCCACGTTGCGAACGAATCAATGCCTATTAGCCCAACACAAGCTATAAAAACACAACCAATTTACGCCGCCTGTTTCATCACGTATATCCAAAAAGCAATTGTGCTGTTCCCTGTGAGCAGCTTTTCTGTAGCTTGCACATCATCTCACTAACCTCTAGCTCGCTCCTATGACCGTTGATATGAGTGATGCAGAAGTCATCACTCCTAATCTTCAACCAGACATTGCTTTCTTCCAGGCTGGCATTGCAATGGGTATCTCACCAAGCTGTTGCCTTGGGAGATCTAAAAGTGTCATGGAAAACAGAACTGCAACAGAGGGAGATCGCAGGGAATATTACCAGGTTTTCTCCCGGGTTAATTTTATAGGAAACGGAAGAAATGCTCGATATGGTTATTTCTTGACAGATGCAAAATCGGTACTAGTACCTATTAAACAACTTGATGGAAATGGAAGACGCCGGCTTGCCCAGCTTATAGCATGGAAAATGAGAGGTCCTGGACAGATGGCTGTCCTTCCAGGACTGTGGTATCTTGGAATGCTGTGCGCAGCGGATAATGATCGGCGGCTTCCATGGTGTCCATTTAATATTTGGCGGCAAGTCAATCTTTTCGATTTTTGTCCTGTGGATCTTGTCAGCTTCTAGAAAATTTCAAGACATTGACAAATAACTAAGGGAAACAAACGAGCGTCACCCCAAAGCTTTCAATCCGGCCCCATTCACTCACCCCAATGTGGGCTTGGCTAGGATAAATAATTGCAACATCAAAAGCTACCCAAATAACCCTTTCAGAATTACCTGGAACAATCAAATATTCTTTGATCAGGATTGCTATGCTCAATTAAAGCTGGGTGGATATTATGCAGAATAACCAATGTTGCTTTTTCCAATGCTCTCATCGCTGAAGGTGATAGAGTTTATTGGCATAGGGTTCAGTAAATACTCGATCAGAATCGCTGAGAAAATGGAGGTCATGCTACAAGGCATCCATCCAGATGAGGTTTCTAGCAAGTTGGATCAGATCGACTGCGTAAAGAAGTGCATAGTTGAATTTTTGATCTTATTGTGGCGGATGTAAAGCTTGTGAAAACAGAATTTTCTGCCACCCCCTGAAAAGTAGTAGCAAAACACTGCAAAAATAATCAAAATATTCATATATCTCTAGAATCATTCAAATATCATTCAATTCATTCAAATATATATCTTTATCATCAAATATATATCTTTATCATTAAATCTGTCAATATACTCTGTAACACTCACTGTTCTACTATTTTATAAGCTTATAAAAGAACTTCAACTACTCTGTATCTTTATCTGTTCAAACTATCTATTTCAGATATTCTGAATAATAACAAAAATTCAACTGATGATAAGAAAAAGAAGAAGAAGAAGAAGAAGAAGAAGATATAATCAGAAGATTTTTGATTTTTATAAATATCTATCTTTAAATCTGAGATTTTATTCAGACTGTATGAACAGATAATTATCAATAAGATAAAAAAATCTATAAAGATTAAGTTATAGAATATCACAATAAATGATATAACTGTCAGCTTCTATTATATTCAATATACTGTAAAAAGAATAACTGAAGAGTATATTATGAAATAGAATTGTAAGAAGATAGAAGTTGCAAATTATATAGCAGTCATCTCATCAAATAAATATAAATCTTCAATCAAAATCACTTTTGAGAAGAAAATAGATTGAAGAGAGATTATTATTTTTTTAAAGAAGTTATATAAAAAGAAAATGAATAAATTTAGCATTGAGATTACTATCTCTTTTAATTTTTTTAATATTTCAACTCTATTTTTAAATATCTCTGTAATATACAGTTCTACAGCTTTCATTGAAGTATCAGATTCACAATTAACAATTCAAATATTGATATTAAAAAAAATATTAGATATTAAAAAAGAAGTAATTTCATTATCTATTAAATTCTCTCTCTATCATTCTGTTAAATTCTTTTGAATTTATAAAATATCTGATGATGAAAAGCTGCTGTTTATATATATAAAATTCACAGTTATTAGTCAGCAGCTGAAGAAGATTTAAAATCAACAGTCAAATAAATATAATTCTTTATAGATTGAATGTAAGATAACTGCTCACTGATATTATTAAAAGATAAATTATTATAATTTTGAATAGAGTATTTATTGAATAACTTTTGATAATATTTATATTCAACTTCTGAATAGTGAGATTGTTAGTTGAATAGATAATATTGAATATAGATATACAACAGTTAAAAATCTATTAAAAAAATAACAAAAAGATTAATAAATAGAAAGAAAAAAAAGAAATAAAAAAGTGAATCTATCTCTATTTCTAATTCTTCTATACAGATATCTCAGATATCAGCAGTTATTTTCTCTCTCTCAACTTCTTCTTCATCTAATATTATATTTTCAAATAAAATAATCAATATAATGATGATGAAATATATAATAAAAGAAATAAAAAATATAAAAGAACTAAATTTAAACTTACTATTGAATTCAAATCTATTATCAAATTTAAATCTGCTGTTAAATTCAAATCTACTATTGAATTCAAATCTACTATTGAATTTAAATCTATCATTGAATTCAAATCTGTCTTCTATTTGAAATAGTTCAATCTCTCAGTTTGATAAATATATAAATCTATTTATTGATGAGTTCTTTAATTAATTAATAACAGAGAGATCTTGAAGAGTAGAAGCTCTTTTAACTATAAAGAATATTATTCAAAATAAAGAATTTGAACTAAATTATATATAAATAATGATAAATAAGTAGATAATTCAGTTGAATATTGAAATGAATATATTTTTAATAATAAAAAATGAATTAAAGAGTTCTATCTGACAGTTATAATTGAAGAAGATTAAATTGTTTTTATCTGCTGTTTATAATAATAACAGCAGATTTTATACTATTTCTACTTCTAAATTTAAAATTTAGATATTATATATTATTATAATTGAATTGCAATCTGAATCTTTCTAGATTTTACAATACTATTCTATATAAGCAGATCTGAAATATTCTCTTACATCTTCTTCTCTCATAAAGTTTTCAACTGTATAATATAAGAAGATTTTAAAATCTTTATCAAACTGATTCTCTAATTGACATCTGTATCTTCTAATTTATTCTTTTAATATATAAAATAACTTCTCTATAGAATTATAATCAGAAGAATATAAAAATAAGAATAAAAGTTTAATATCAACTTCTCTGCAGAGATCTTACAGTGCTTGTAAATAATAAAAAAAGTAATTATTTATTATTAAATAGTGATAATCTTATTGATATTTGAGTAGTATCTGAATATATACAAATTTATTGAATCTCTCTGTATTATAGAATCTCTGATATATATTATAATCAAAATATTTATTAATATTTATTATAGATAAAATTGATCATCTGTGAGATTGTTTACAGAGTTTTTTAATATAATAAAGAAATTCTCTACTTAATTATTTATATTATTGATCTGCAGTATATTCATTTATAGTACTCTTATCTAAAAATATAAATTAATCAGATTAATACTGAGTAATTTGAATATATTATTCAACTCAAAATTTTTTATTGTATTGAGTGATTATAGATTTAATTTATATCAAATAGAACTAATAGATTAGCAGATTCTATAAATAATAATTATAATAATTAATTATTTTTTTCTATATTAAATTCAGTTTCTTCAACAATCTAAATATTGATTAAGAATAAATATTAATATCAAATTCATTCTTCATAAAACAGACAGTCTCATTGTAATATATAGTTAGATATATTTCAAAAAAATCCTTTAAATCTGACAAAATATCTGATGTGATCTTTGACTTTATATTTTATATTGAATAAAAACTTCTAGCAGTTTCAAAGCAGTGAATATTTTATTGAATTTAATATACAGTGATCAGATAATACTCAATGATCTATGTAATTTGAGTAGATATATAATTATTATTTAGAAGATATATAATCTTATTGATGATAAATTCACTGAGCTGAGAGGATATATTGACAGATTTGATGATAAAGATGCATATTTGATGATAAAGATGTGTATTTGAATGAATTGAATAATATTTGAATGATTCTAGAGATATGTGGATATTTTGATTATTTTTGTGATGTTTTGCTACTACTTTTCAGGGGGTGGCAGAAAATTCTGTTTTCACAAGCTTTATGTCCGCCACAATATCTTATCTTGAGAGCAACATCCCGTGACAACGTGCCCCTGGTCCGTGCTTCAAGGCTCCATTCCCGTCAACGCAGCTTCTTGTATACACACACATATATATATATAAACACCTCTAAGAGCTTCTTTAACACCTTTGGTTGTAAATCCGTGAGAGGATCTTGAATACCTCGCATCTACGGCCTATTTTGTTTTTCATTGCTCGCCAACTTTTCGTATTCAGGCTCACAAAGTCCATCAATAATGGGGAGCAAACCTGGAAATTCGCCACTACCATCCCAAGCCCCGAACGCACCTCGCAGGTCCGCTAGAAAACGTGTCTATGACAAGACCCAACACGATAGCTATGACGCTACTTTTTCCACCGTCCGGTCCCGCCGAAGGATGCAAGTTCAAACGGCTATTACAAGCGGCGATGCGCCAGTTATCGACCTGACAGGTCAAGCCGACCCCCCTACGGCCCAAGCTCCTCCGCGTAAACGGAGGAAGAGAGCGGATTCCCCTTCTGTTGAGAAAGAGGAACGCAGACGACGCGTATTCCGAAAGCGTCCACCTCAGTCCTATTTACAGAAGTTGGACAGAGCAAGGACGCAAAGGCACGGCTCCCCTCGCTGATAAATAGACATCGTTTCCCGAATTCTGACGCCCTTTAATCCACTCAGGCTTTTTGTTGTTGACCGCAAGAGGGATGACACGGAAGATGTGCCAATGGAGAAGGTGCAGATTGTCGGGACTACCGGGAATTTATATGAGGTCGTGATTGGGCTTGTTCCTCAGTGTACTTGTCCTGATTCACAAAAGGGAAATCAATGCAAGCATATCATTTATGTCAGTTCCAAATACAAAGCTTTTCGAAATCGAGAAAACGGAGATAAATTTCTAATGTAACATTGACAGGTCCTCCACAATGTGCTCAAAGTAACTGGGCATCTTGAGTACCAGTTGGCCTTCCTGTCGTCCGTAAGCGTTCACTGGAAAACAAATGTGAGTCGAATTTGGATAATAATGATTGATAACTAGGAACTTCGTGAGATTTTCGCGAACGCTCCGATAAACACCCATGACGATGCGACGAAGGAAAATGAGTCTGGGAAAAGAAGGCCCATCGAGGGCGACTGCCCAATATGTTTTATGGAATTTGAGCCTGAGACAGAGGAAATCGTCTGGTGTAAAGCTGCCTGCGGAAATAATATTCACAAAGCTTGTTTCGGGCGGTGGGCGGCAACCCAGCAAAGTAATGGAGTCCGTTGCGTTATTTGGTATGTGCTGCCCTTCTACATAAATTGGAGGTGATGTTAAGTTGAAAGACTGGGACTGATGCGTTTTGCTCTTTGCTTGTAGTCGCTCCGCGTGGGAAGTAGATGCTCCTATGCAACAGCTTTTAGCCAACGGCATAGTTAATGACGAGGGGTATGTAAATGTTGCTGACCAGTTTGGATTGTCTGGTGAACGAGGTATGGATTCTATATCACTTTCTTGTGTCATTTTTTCCATTGGTATTATTCTGCATACCTTTTGCTCCACAAGTTTTTGGGGATACCAGTAGTAACCAGTTCATATACTATTTAGACCATTCGACCTATCACCAGCCATGGTCTCGTGGACGGTACTCTCGGTACTACCGTTAACTGAACGACAGATCTAAGCCGATATATTCTACCAACCCCTAATAACGAAAATATGTCAATACTTTTATCTTCGGACATATTGCCGGGAATATGTTGAGCTTAATCCAGTCAACTCAGACCTTGACTTTCTCTTTCCCGTATCATAAAGCAATTCCCGTGCCAAGGATGAAGCATTTACCACATTGTACTATTTTCGACTCATAATCCGGGGGGGATTCTTACATTCCACCACTTGAGATCAGGCCTTGTTTAGAGTGGAATCATCCTGAGAACAGGTTGGGAACGTTGTTTTCCAGCCAGCTAGTCACCAACCAATGCTCATCAGAGCAATGCGAGAGCACCCAATGTCCATTTTCAGCTAAGGCCGTCGAGCGGGCTTGGTGTTCCCTATCCCGTAGGTCTGCCATCCCCGTTGTCCTGGTAATAAAACACCTCATGAATCACCCAGCGATCTGTACATGTATTTTCCACCGTCATTTACGATGTATATAGTATAAAGCAGTGAGTGGAAAAGGGTGATCTCCAGAATCGGCAGGAGAATTGCGTACCGCTATAATACAGCAGATAGATAGACAAACCCTGCACAAAGCCATGCGTGAATCGATGTACAGCGTATTAAAGAAAACCAAGAAGAAGAGAAAAAACCAAAGAAAGACCCTTCCACAAATAATTGTAGGACTCCCCAGTTCTCGTCTTTCATTCTTCCATCTCGACGTCTGTATGTAGATATTTATTTGCGCACACACATAAATATAGATATAGATATAGGTAAGGAGCATGACGTATGAAGTTCCATCCCAAAATCTAAGGGACAATCACTACTACACAATAACCTGCTCCCCGGCTCCAAATCACCTGCAGGGGCCTTCAGTGCAAATGCCTTGCGATTAAAACATAGCGGACGCCAGAACAATCTTAAGACACCAAAAAGTGAAATACAACAATAAAATATAATAAAGAACGAAAAACGAAAAAAAGGGAAAGAAGGGATAAAAAAAACCGTTGGAGTGGAAGAAGAGGAAGAAGATAAAGCACATAGCTAGCTCTCTCCCCTCCCATCGCTTAAAATGTGACAACATATATATAACAAACCATCCTTGAGTCCCCCGAACCCTTAACCCCGAACCCCATCCCTCCCAAACAAATTCAAGCTAAACGACAAGCGAACGCAGAAAACAAGAATAGAAAGAAAAAGAGTTCTGTTCCCCTTTATAAACTTTATAGTTGTCCAGCGTACAGCATAACAAACCACACAAACTCTCTCTCATCACCTCCGCCTCCTCCCCCCCTTTACAGACGCCACGCTCACCCCGTCCTCGCCTGTCATCCAGCTCGGCATTCGTGCGGGATCAACCACTCCCAGCTCCGCTAGTTGTCGGACACCCGCGATGACATCTGAGCCAAAGAAGGTTAGGGAGAGAGTTGCTGGTCTAGTTTTGTAGCTTTCATTATCGTCATCATCTTCCTCATCGTCATCGTCGTCGTCGTCACCTTTGTCTCCGCCTTGGCGGTTAGATGGGATGGGAGGGTCGTGGAGATGTATTTCTAGACGGTCGAGGGCTGGCAAAGGGACGGGAGCGGGCTGAGGTGGTGGCTGCGGCTGCGGTTGTGATGATGACGGGGATGGTAGCGACTTATCGCTTTTTTGTATTTCGGTGAGCAATCCTGCTGGGGGGCCGCATGGAGGAGGAATCCGTCGATGATCGCCAGCAGTTCCAAACCGAGAACTCACTGCCAGCTTTCGTTTCTTTGCTAGCTGCATGGCTGTTGTGTCTGTTAAGCCCCCTCCTGATTGCTGGAAGGGTGGCCTTCTCGTACGTCCGATAGCGGAAATATGTATATCGGCCTCTGATTTGCCGGGTGATTGTGGTTGTGGTTGTGGCAGTGGCAGAGGTATATTTTCCTTCCCGCCTTCAGCGTACCCAGGTATACTACCAGCATGACCATTGTAGTTCTCCTGCACAATAGACTGTGGAAGTCGTGGGTCAAGAGGACATCCCTCAACCACCGCATCGGCGAACACCGTGAATGCGCCATTGGCGGAATTCGTCCTACCGGGTCCACGCAGGGAGAGGAGAGTATGGAGGCTCTTAGCGGTTAGAGAAGTTGTTTTGAGGGTATATCGTTGCTGGGGCCGCGAGAGGGCTTTCGGTATCGCATCCTTCACTAGTCTACGCAGGGTGCGCGTGTCCATTGTAAGTGCATTGCTTGACGTCGCAGTAGCGGTCTTTGCGCCTGAAGGAGACGGGGAAGAAAGCTGGGAGGAATATATATATGGAGTACTATCGGGGAAGGCGAGGTAGATTATTCTTGACGAGTCGGTGTAAATGTATGGGGACTGACGGGGTTGTTGGTAGGGGGAGTCGACCACGAAGATGCGAACAAAGGTTAATGGAAGCGTCTTTGAGCGGTACATGTAGTAATGGGCCTTCACGAGAGGAGATATTTCGTGCTGGATGGATCTAAGAAAGGTCGAGGCGTGGAATCGAGGGAACGGGGTGGAGGCATCCCCTCCCGACTGAGACTGGGCGGAATCGCCTTTGAGAGGAACCAATTGGAGCGCCGTCCACCGCAGTCCGACTGGATGGTCCTCAATGTAGCGCATGTCCACCATTGCAAGCTGACGGAGCGATATCCCATGCCTCCAATCTCCCTCGAGGATCCGATCAATCACCTCCCTCTTGCCGCCCTTCCGGTCCCGGAGGTCCTCATATATGGCCCTCAACTCCTCCACTGATGCAGCGGGTGGGTAGGCACTTAGGCCCTCCTCTTCCGCGACAAAATTGACTACACTGCGAGGGCCAAGGTACGGCGGAAAGGCCTTGACATCTTTGTCATCTAGCCATTGGATTACCAGGTCAAGCAGGGAGGATCGGGATAGCTTTCCCAAGGCTTTGACGAGCGAAAAGGTGGTTGAGGGGATGCGGAAGGAATCTGGGAGACTAGCAGCAGTTGGGGCGCGGACGGCCACACGACGAGCCATTTGGCGTAACCTCTAGCTATATAGCCATTGGGATTCAAGAATTGGGCGTGCCAGTCAGGGAAATATCAGCTAGAGAGGGTGTGAGTTTGTTATTTTGTTGTAATGCACTGCAATGTTCTCTATCCCGACGCGATCACAAGCGTTGTTTGTTTTCGTGGGGTGTATTATTGGCTGACCCTTTGCCAAGCCTAAGAACATCGGTTGCGATTGATAACGCAGGACTATTCAACGGAGCTTTTTACATACATGCTACACGAGTAGTCAACAATCATAACTACCTACTCATCAACTTTACTTATTGCTTATAAAGCTGTAACATAACAGTTAGCGTTCCGCATCGCGGGTGGCACATCTCATTGTTCTTATGGCTTGAACCCTGGCGAAGAAGGTTCTGTTCTGAGCTGGCTTATTCTTTTTCGAATAAGAGGTTGATACATCCCGTGGAAACTTGAAGGCATTCCTAGTTGGCTCTTTGCAAAACCTTTACGGATTGATCAAGAACAGACTTCAAGGATTGAATATTCAGTGAATTCCTGGAGAGGATGGTCACAGGACGCATAACTCTAAGCACATATGGCCACAGTTGTCCCCAGGGGATTAGAATTTTTGCGGAGATCCAACAAATATCCACGAAAGTATAGGAACAAACAGCAATGAACAAGATGAATCTGGAAAGATAAGTTCCCGCAGAACCCATTCAAAAAGATGCTGCTTGATTCTTTCAAGTCCCTGAAGGTCTGCATCAATTGAGTTCGCCACTTCCTTCCCAACCCATCCTTGAGGATAACCTCCTCCCAAATCAATCAAATATGCATCTTCATTGACATCAACTAGCACATTGGCAGCTTTTGCATCTCCCCGGATAATATCATGTGAATGAAGACACTCCAGTGTATGGGAAATTTGGTCATCCCATTTTTGCCAAAGTTTGGAATACTTGGGATCTAGTCTATCAATGCAATGGAGTGTCGCTCCACAACAATTGATGTATGATAAAAGCAGCCCTTCAAACATGTCCATTTCCATCTTCAATCAGGCCATTAAGTTGTGACATGTGAACTGTAGCATTGAACTTAGCTGTATGAATCTTGGAATATGCAAGAAGCTCATGATAACCCATCCCCACATCACCTGTATAGACTATGTTGAAGAAGCTAGGATTTGGCCCCCAATGGATAAACGCCTTCTGAGGAACCGCTGGCAATGAAGTCAAATTCGCGTCGATTGGAACGTGGATTTGGTGCGCATGATAGACGGGGATCATTGAATAGTCAACACGGGTAGAAGACGGCAAATGAGCTCCGATAAGTTGATTCCTCTTGGCTTTGAAGTTGCTGAGGGAAAAACAGGGACTAAGCTCTCTTTCACCACTTGCACAGTGTAAGGGAAATTTTCTGCAAGAAGAATAGAAGAGCTTTCAAAGTTCACACTAAAGAGATAAATCCTAAAATATTTGTTGGAAACAAAAACATTCAGCTGTGTGTCTGTGTCCTTGTTACTTGACCGAAATAGACCAATAATTGTAAAGAGGTTGTTGTTCCACCATGGATAACCGAATTGGAGTCAACCAAAAAACTTATAACAGGTGCTCTCTCACCCCTCTATTATTTCCGGAGTTGTAGACGACACAAAGGGACGAGGTAGAAATCAGTAATAGGGACGTAGAAAGCCACGTTTTCAAAGAGGCTGGATCTTTATTCTGGCGCCATTTCAGTGATCCGACCATGATACAATGACTTAATGAGTTACGATCAACCAACTTCAATCGGGTTCTAGTTGAACGTGGTTAGAAATGGAAAATCAAAATTTCTGACCACAGCAAATGCTGAGCATCAGCATGGGTAAGATACGTGGAGGAGATAGAGCTTAGCTTCTTTCCTATCTTCTTTAAAATCCTGCAACCCTATGGCATTGTAATTAATTATATTTCCCTTCTTAGATAGATGTAGACATATGCTAATAATTGTCAGTCATTTATTTAGACGAAGAATATATCGTTGATAGGCCATGCTGATGGGTGCTGCTGTCAAGTACTCCTGATCTAGATGTTGGGCACAATCTCGCCTGGGGTGCGTGGAGCCGCCGTCTTGCTTAGCTAATGCACACAACACCCTAACCGTTAACTAGCCAATTTCTCAATTTTGATTCCTCGTTTTTTTCTTCCTCACACATATTTCCAGGTCTCCAACATACCCTTGTTGTGGTAATCATTGATGCCTCTGTTACCTCTGCAAATTACAGAAGAGACCGAGAGCGATTTCAGAATGTTGCCCGTTCTAATCCCAGCTGTTGTTCGGGTGTGCTAGTATTGACCGCCTGACGTGTCGATTGATGGGTTCGCTTTTTGGGCAAATAAATCTCTATCAATGTATCATAATTTCGTTCTTGTTTTTTGCCTCCCCGATTCCTTTTCTTCCATCCTGTGTGTTCGGCCTACTGCGCTCATAGGCCGGAGGCGACGTCGGGACGAATTTGTGAATAAAACTTGGGTTTTGGAGTGGTACCGCATCGTTATTTCAAAGGCTAAGCGAAGAAAACCATATCCGATGTTGTGATTTTTACATTCCTCCATGAATAATATCCGACTCGGGGTCGTTTTCGTTGTCATTTCCCCCCAAATACAGGGTGGCTTGTTTGCAGCAACACATTTCGTCAATGTCTCCCCATTGCCAGTCTATGACATAGATCCTAACCAGGAACAAGGCGTCTTTAGCATCTATCTACAGATCTATATGAAATGACGAACATGAATAAAAAACCAAAAAATAACCCTCCAGAATGACAACCAAAGAGGTGCGGGTTAACAAGCCAAAAAACCAACACGGCATCATCGAAGTCTCGTTCGTCCTTTAACAATGATGTCTCGAGGTCAAAAGCCATGCCAACAGCAAATCATTTTCTTTTTCACAAAGAAAATACGAAGAGTAGGGAGGGACATAATGCTCTTTCACGTCTTCGTTTTTCTCTCTCTCATTTTGCGTCTACTCCCCTTTAATAGTCTCTTTGGAAGATGACGTGTCTGATAGAGTTGAGAATACATGCCTAGGTACGGTACATATGTATACATCCGTTCTTTTTTCATATAATTTTCGCTGAATGTGTTGAAGTGAATAAATCTGCATTGCCGCTATTTTATCCTTTGTTTTTTGCCTCTTCGTCCAAAAGCACTGTTGTATTCTCGAAAGGCTCCCTTGCGAACTTTTCCTTTGGGAGTCCTGCAGTAACTACAACATGAATTAATTATATATCACCTGCCAGTAAACCTGGAAGCAGGTACTGCTGTATCAGCACTGTATGCTCCCTCTGTTTGTACCCCAGCATATCTCCGAGTCGTCATACAGAAGTGGTGGCAGCCAGTAAAAGGATAAAACTCCAAGCCCATTGCATTCTCACTGTCTAGCGTTTCTTCGTTCGGCTGCCATTGAATTGTAACAGTGGTTATTTTTGTTAGAAGGACACCGGTTCCATTCCAGGGAGCACAAATGCAAAGGCCACAGTGCTTGAGCTTCTGCCTTTCAATTAGCTTCCTTTCTCCTCTCGGCTGAAAAAGGGACACGAGAGACCCAAACCTTTCTGGTATATCGAGGAGCATTTAATTTCCTTACGACGAAATCAAGGCACATGATACAAAAGAGGAAAGAAATGGCATACCAAGTAGATCATATCCTATATCCGACGGGACATAGACTGTGTAATTTGATATCGATATTTGTATACATATGGGTGGGTAATTAAATACATCATCAATGGAGGGAGGGGACGATCACGCAAAAATATAAAAACAGCAAAGGTAATGGATAAAATCCACAGGAGACATAGCAGTACATAAATTGGGATAATATGGTGACAGGACACGAAGAAATATGTCACGAACCCACATACATATACATCAAAACATCCAACGTACGGAAAATTGGATTTGAGAAGGAGAAAAGGGGAAGGAAAACCTGTGGAAGTTTCTATTACAACAGGCAAATTTGAGAAATACCCAAAGGCGGATAGGAAGAAGGAGTGAAACAAGCTGAGAGACAGATTGCTCTTGGGTTCTTCTCGATAATCTTCCTCGATTGACAGACTTTAAGGTAGAAGACAAAAGGGGAGCATAACGTGCAATTCTGCAGAGGGAAGGAATTTTTTGGCCGTTCTTGTCTTATTGGCATTTTCGTTCTCCAGCTAATGGGCGTTCATTGTGGCTTTAGTGTTGGTATCTGAAGAATTCGACATCATGAAGAGGGAAGGGGGATGGGGTTTGGGTCTCCTTTTATCCTCCATCTCTACCACGCGATGGAAGCTAGAGCTTCCTTTCCGCTCTTTTGGCAACCAATTTATTCAATTGAGAAAACTTAGAAATAGTGAGGGTTGAGAGCACGCTTGGCTGGAGATTCTGACATTGGAATAGTGCCTGTTTTCAACTTTGTTAGACTGGATCAAGTAAGTTCTACTCGGAGTCCGATGAGATGGATAAGTAAATCAAGCATACCGGGTAGTCCGCCTTGGGCATTGAGACCAAGGCCTTCAGGCCACGATTTTTTTCCGCAGAGGCACGAGCAAGTGCAGGCATCTCCAGATCCCATCTGGCCGTTTCCGATGGCTACGGTTGCTTGTGGAGTGGCGATGGCTTCAGAGGGCGAGGCAGTTTCAATGATTGTATTACCGCCTCCAGTTTCAGCGGCCGGGGGTGGAGGATCAGCTGTGCCAGCCATGGCTATCTCCTTGAATCGGGCTTGCGATTTTTCGGCGGTAGGGTTGATGCTAAATACCATTCCCTTCTCACAATGCTTGCCTTGAGCACAGAACATCCACACCGGGTCTAGCGTGGTAACCTGAAACTTCATGCTTGGTGGAGGGTTCACAGTGTTATCAGCGTTTGGCATGAACCCGGAGTCGATGCCTTGGGCCATCCGGACACATGGTTTGTTAAAGGTAGATTGAGTCGCCGTGTGGTTCTGGGACATGAATTCGAACACCACCATGTCGCCGATAGCAGCGTTTATGGTTTCTGGCTGATATACAAGACCAGCCTCACCGCCAACAATAACCTGGTTTGGGGAACTGAGTCAGTGGCACGGTCTCAGGGGGTTTCTCACTTTCAATAGTGATTACTAGCACATACCCGATGCTCTTTCCCTTGTTGCATGGGAGGCTCGTTCCAAACTTGGTACTTTGCACCGCCCCCAACATTGGTTGTGATGATAGTTACACTGATGGACTGCCCTCGTGAATGGCCATTAAACCCTCCATTCCCTATCACATCGTTCGACTTTCCGCCGCCCAGAATAACATCGCGGTAGTTTCCAAGTTCCCCACCGCCATCCTGTGCTCCGACATCAAAGCCAACTCCTTGTTGGCCACCACTGCCTAGAGCAAATGGAAGACCAGGATCATCGCTAGCATGGTTTGATGCTGCAGCCGCTACCACAAGAGAAGCCAAAGCGAATATTCGTGCCATTGTTGTGTGAATTGAACTGACCTCTTTCCTGTTCGGTGTAATTCTGCTTCGCCTGCGTCCTTCGTCAAGGAATAGAAAAATCCAATGCAGCAATATTAAAATCCAAGTCAGGTAAATAGATATATGCGTGATAGAGATAGATAGATATATGAAATAAAAGATTGGACGAGGCCCTGCTCGTGAGTCGCCGCAAGCAGCGATCTAAGTGAGTGAAATGAGGAGAACTTTTTGAGGTTCCTTAGGAAGAAAAGAAGGAAGAGGGTAACTAAGAATCTGAGAAAAAGAACAAAGACGAAAAGATGCAGAGGCACTTGGACTCCTGAATGGTGAGAGGGAATAGGAACGTAGAAGTAGGAGAAGCCCGAGGGGGCGGAGGGCATAGTTTTAAATTCCTGCATGAATATGGCGGCAGAGTGGTTACTTGAGAATCTGAGGATTAAGGGGTTTCCCGAAGGACGCCGATATCAAACAGCCCAGATCGCTCATTTGCATAGTCCTTGCACCTGCTTGTTCCTGTTTTGGTTGGATTGAGGCGGATCTGATGAGGTCTGACGATGGTGAAGTTGGAAATGTGTCGGGTGGTGTCTCATGGTCGAGCCTCTCAGTTTCGAGTGCATAGCCAACTCCCAAGCCAGGCTAGAGTCAAAGAAGAGCATGCCATCACGACATAGCTTTTGGGATACCAAAAATTTATGGCTCTTTTTGTAGTTGATTAAAGGGTGTATGATAGAGGTTTGCTTGGTGTTGTGTGTTTGTTCTTTGTTACAGAACTTGCACGACTTGAAAAAACCAACCTGGGTCACATACTTTGAAGATCTTGAGATTGCTGGGGGAGTATCTATCCCTTCAAATAAAATCTAGAATAACAGGATTGTTTTTGTGATATTGGCGGATATGCACACACATGAGATATGGTTTTCAATTGTACAGGATATGCGCATATACCCGTCTGGGTTTCGAGCATGGGGATGGGATGGTACAGCTTTCATCCTATATCGTCATGCACGGTTGGCCGCTACATCGGCTGAAGTGGAGTAATTGAGATGAACCCAGATCGTGCAAAATGTACCTTGCTACAATGGCCCAGACCCTGATTACAATCGACCGTCCCGATAGTGTCATCCGCCCTTGGAAGAAAATCCACCCAGACATCTCAATTTGACCTGGGATCCTGCTTGGTATTCTCCCGTCTTCCACTTCAGGTAACATCCCAGAAGCAGACGTCTAATATGGATGATGGGTTTCCCTTTATGGGACACCCAGCCGCCTTCGATTTGGAACTGTCCCTGTCTCACTTTTGGAACGTCCACTCAGTGGGACTTACCCGCCATATATTGTCCCGTGTTGGCTCCAAGGCCGCCAGCCATTATCCTCCTTGCGGCATAGTCTAAGAAGGTAAAACAAAGTAAAATAAAATCATGAGTGCTGATTTGCTCCCCGCTGCTGTCCTTCATAGAGGCCCGTGTAGTAGCCCGCAAAATACCATGCCATCATCAGATTTTTCAATGCTTTGTCCGCACCTGAGAATTTCAATGTTAGCCCAATGTTCGCTCAGCCACACTCTGTGACGTGAGGCAGGTAATTGGAAAGGAACTTACTAGATGCATCGTCTCCTTGCGAAACGAGTTGTGGCATGGTGGCGAATCCTCCGCCAGCGGTGCGATTGGCTTCTGGGTTCTTCTTGGCGCTAGAGGCCTCCTGCTGGGCACCGTGAGAATCTGTTCCTGCCTCCATTTCCATATCTTGATCATTGGCTTCCTCATCGACAGATTCAAACTCAGCCACAGGGTGAGCATGTGGTGGGTCCTCAGCTGCATGTTCGCCAAATGCGGCCTCATCCTCAGCACGGATCCTCGCATCTTCAGCTCTCAGAACTTCATCTACGCTCTCACCCCTCGCTTGGATACTGTGATAGAGCTGGCGTGAAACAAAGCGCGTTAGAAAGGCATTGCATCACGTGCATGAAGGGTTTCATACATTGTATTCTTCCACAGCATCGTCCCATGATTGGACCAGTGCAGAATCGTCCCATATTTCCTCCTGGGTAAGTGGCTTCTTCTTGGGTCGTTTTCTCTTGCCCATCATGTATACTGTCTGAATGTGATGTTCCAAAGTTGAAGTTGGAGGTTGTGAGTAGCTACGAGATTAATCTGAGTAATTAGACGCTAAAGCAAGGCTGTTGGCAATCGGACCCACTCAACCATAAATTTTTCAAACCTTGTCAGAATCAGCCAGAAGCCTCACACTTATTCTCGGATTTTATGGAGAGTCGAAATAAGTGGTTTTTATATCTATGAAAAGTCATACATATTAAATAAAATAATCCGTGCCGGATGAACAACTCTTCGAAACTCTATTCCAAGAGAGCTCCTCAATGCTAACTAACAAGCTCGAACTCGAGCACTCCGCAGTGCAGGCGTCATTGTTGACCTCAGGGTTTTTATGTACATGTACATAAAACACGAACAGCTCCTGATCGGAATTGGCCCCGCCATATAACTTTCCAAACAGGATCACGGAGAATAGTCCATGGGTTTGAAGCCATTTACAACAGCGAGAAATCAAGTGGCAGAATCTGTTGAATACACTTCCACTATGGACGGTTGCGAAAGCATAAGAAAAAATTCATCTACATAGGCAATGGGTCAATATCTGATACCGACTCCTGTTTGTAGAATATACTACTCAAACTGCTATGTATTCTCCTGTCTCTTTTACCATCGCTGAGTATTCCAGCTCTGCTAAGTCGTAAATTGCTATTGGAATAGAGATCGCTATTCAAATAGATATTCCTAATAGAGAGAGAAAGGTTTATATTCTAAGAGACCGATCAGACAGTAACCTTGCTAGCTAGAGTTCTCTGTAATAATGCTGAATTTCAATTAGAATAGCGATCTCTACCTAGCTGCCCCCTTGCTAGATATTTGCTTGATCGACAAATGTTATGGATATAGAGTCATGGCTGTTAATTACAAATAAACTAACAAAAATGAAATTTGCAAACGCACATTTGGACGTTTTCATATAAATTTGACAAAGAGCAGATCATCAAAATCATGCAAGAAGCACGCAATCAAATTCTTATATCATTGATAAAAGGTTTCAAGAGGAAATTCAGGTGCGTAAAATGCTCCTCCGGCTGACTGTGCTGAGCTCTCCGACAATCTTCGCGAGTTTCTCTGTTCTTCAAAACATTGGGCATACAGAGTAGCCAGTTTTGAATGGAGGTGACTTAGTATTTGATCACTCTCATCCGTCCGTACTTGTGCTTCCCTCATTTCAATGTCAGGGACCTTCCATGGGAAATAGGCTTTAGCATGAGAACCCTTCACACCTTTTTTTTGCAGAGCATTCAAAAACTCCCAACAGGCAATGCAAGATAGTTTTTACATCCCGATATATGGCAATGCAGAGATCCCTGAACAACCACCACCAATTAAATGAAGTACAAGAATACATTCACAATGGACTCGCCCTTGAACACTCCATTTCCTCTCAAAGTGTTCTTGAAGAAGAAGCCCTGGCGTATTTTTTTTTCATCTTTCTTAAGCATCTCTTCAAGAAGTGAATGAGGAATATGATCCGTAAGAATGTTTTGAGCAATGTCATACCAATGATCTGGGAAAGGAAGCCGAATATTTCTGAGCCTGGGTTTCAGACACTTGATTTCCATTTTCGATTTGGCGAAATATCGGTTGGTAGAGACGTGGAGAATAGGCATACTTTAAAAGAGTGACTACAGAATTTGGTATTGAGGCCATTTTTTTCAAGAATTGCTCAAGAGGAAACTTTGAGAAAAGTGGTTAGAAGAAGAATGTGATAGTATAAAACTGTTGAGAAACTTACCATCTATTGTAATATCACCCAAGTCGGTCAACCAGGTCTTACTCTCAAACAATTGTTGACTCAAATTTTCAATGTAACCAAAGCCACCGACTAGGTGACCAATCTGAGTGGTAGGAAAGGACTCTTTATCTGAAGACAGGTGTTCCAATATCCACCTTATAATCCGGGAGACATCCTTCAGAATGGCAACACCGGCGTTTCCATTGTCAGGCAGCATCTGAGCGATCCTCATGAATTCCAACCCCCGAGTGATGCCCTTGTATGGCTTATGGAGCCTCTGATAAATTTTTGGAAGAGAGAATAAAAAAATATTTTCACGGAAGGTATCAGTTTTCTGCTGAAGATCAACAGAAACTCATTCTCATTCATCCAAGGAAAGGGCTCTCTGTTAAATTCTGATTGCTGAGATTTGATCTGGCTGGTTTGTGTCTCTCTTGTGTTGCATTCTTTCGAAGATTGGCAAAGTCCCCCGCGAGTTCCCGCAGGTCGTGGGTAAGTTTAAGGGCATGTTGACGAGTTTTATTGGTAATACCTTTGTTTGAATTAAGGGTCAGAATTATTGTCTCGCGAGCGTGTTCAAGGGTGTTCAAGGGCGTTCAAGAGTTATGTTGGCAATAGTTACCCGTGTTGGAAGCAAAGATCATAATTATTTTCTTTTCCAGGGCCACACTGCTGACACTGCATACCAGCAGCTATTGCTTCCCCGCTCGGCTCTGAGATAAGCACATTTGCGATTGCATCCAAGACCACACACAGCCGATTGTGGATGGGATCCTCAATAGAAATTTCTCCGCGAAGTGGAACTCCACCATGGGGCTTAAGTTCAGTAAGAAGAGCGATGAGATGTTCGACATCCATGATTTCATGAGACTAAAACCTATGGGCTTTAGATACGGACAACCTTGGGATGTGTTCGGCCCGGCGTCAATTTGATTCGAGGTAAAAGGCGTGCACGGCCACAAATTGAGACTGGCCTATATACAGAGTAATGAGGCCGGGTTTTATCCGGAAGATTAGGAGCTCGCGTAACTCAGCTGAATTAGTCGACACCTCCATCAAGAATGTGCTTTTTGCGGCATTCTGACTCTCTCGTTAATGAACATTGAGTAGTGGTGTAATATTGTAGAGGATCACATATTCACTAGCTCAGTGAGAGCAACACAAGAGGTTGGGCTACGCGTCTCGCTACGCCCAGGTACACCTCGGCGAGAAACAAGAACTGGAGGAAATCTCTAAGGCTCCGTAGACCCCAAGGATCTGCTTAGTGTAAGGATTAAGTTGAGAACAAGGATTGAAGGATCTTATTGTTGTCTCTCTGAATGCTAGTTATATTCCTTGATTCCTTGATCATTCTAAGGGTAAAAAAGAAAAACAACAAAAGAAAAACAAAGGAATCCTTCTTTTAAAAAAGGTAAAAATAAACAACGCCCCAGAAGGAAGGGGGCAGCAAGGGTATATGGTCAGAAGAATTAATAGAGGAGAAAGGAATTGCAAAAGAAAGGAATCTCATTCTCTCAGATGACTCATCTGACCTACGTTAGTGAAGGTCATAATCATACAATTTCATATAATTATATACTGTGTAACAGTGTAATGTTTAGTACTTTAAAAAAGTATATATATATTGACTAGTTTGTGAGTTATCATTGATAGATATCATCATTAACTATCATTGATTCATTGATATATCACTATCAATATATACATCATCACTAGCTATCATTGTTAGATGTCATAGATATCTATCATCATTGATATATACAGTACCATAATACCATTGGAAGATATCATTCATTCAAGCAATTGAGCTGCGAGCAGATAAACAAACTGGTAGGCAGCCAGATAATCATCTAAGCATTGCCAGGGAGGTGGACAGCTAGATGATGATGTTTATTCCCATAGAGATTGATTGAATATTGAGCTGTCGAATTAGTTGAAAGATAGGGCGGTAGATAGACAGATAGACAGATTTAGCATTCATGATTCTATCAATCAATCGGATATCGCGCAGGTAGATAGATAGATAGATAGATAGGCAGATAGATAGGCAGATAATTGAAAAAGAGGCATTGAAGCCAAGTGAACTGGTGTCGAAAAGTCAAGTCTCCACAGCATAAAATAAATACCCTAAACCAATAAGATCATTGAACCCACATTTTTGTTTCGGAGCTTTGTATGATTCTTAGAGACTTCGCTTCGCTCCGTCTAACTATATTTTCATTCATAATTTATATAGACTTCTCAAGTTAATGATATTAATCTAAATCAAGATTTAGTAGATCTCTATTATCAAAGTAAAAATAATTCACTCTGTGTATTAATAAAATGTATGAGAAGATAAAAGTTCATTTTTGTTTTATCCTCAACTGATACCTTTTTTGCCAAGAAATTATTTGAGCCTTCACTAGTGTAGGGTCAGGCGAGTCACCTGAGGGACTAACTTCAACTGCCCGCGAAAAAAATATCTTGATAAAATATTTCAAAGGTTTCAAGCATGTCCGATTTCCCCTCCGCTTGACATAATGACTGTAGAGAAGAATGCTAATAAGCGCAAGGGTTAGTTGCTGGTTACTATCCTCGTACTTTTGTTCAGAATATTTTTCGCTAACTTGGCAAATTTCCTTCTTGCGTAGCTGCCACAGCCTCTGCCCCAACGATCACGGACCCGCCCTTGAAGAAATCCAAAAGGTCGACATTTAAAGCAGCCCAGGTCCAGGATAAAGTCCCCAAGCCAATACTGAAGAAGGCAAAATCTACAGAGGCCTCCAATGGCTCTTCACCCAAGTTAATTCCTGTCAAAGTTGCTAGCGAGCCCGCGAGACAGATCCAACCTCGAAAACGTGCTGCGGACTTTCTGAGCGAAGACGAAGGAGAAGAATGCCATGGCGAGAAAACAGAGAAAAACCACGTCACACCTTCACCCGCTGCCTCAAGACCTATAGGTGGCGAGGCGGAAAAACCAAGCAAGAAAAAGCCAAAAAGGGCGGCTGAAGCTCCTGAATCAGCGGTTCCTTCTGTCGCTAAGATCACTACTACGAAACCCGATTCCGGAGAAGAGCCTTTGAGTACCGGCAAATCTAGCAAAAAGACCAAAGGTGTTACTGGTCTGCTTGAGGGAGTCTTCAGCCAAATCGCCGAGAATGATGAGGAGGGAAGCGAAGGGGGAGAAGATGACGACCAGACTGCTGCTTTTATTCAGGGGTTTGAAAGCAGTGGCGACGAGGACATATCCGGGGACGACGGGTTCGAACCCGGAAAGAACGTCCCAGTGATCCCCGATTCGAAGAAGGTGAAGAGGAAGCTGCGCAAGATGAAGAAGAACGCCACGGAATTGGAAGAGCCAGGCACTGTTTACGTTGGGTAAGTTGCATATACAACCAGCCGACGAAGAGAGAATCATCTACTAACAAGCCGTTCAATAGCCGTGTTCCGCACGGGTTCTACGAACACGAAATGCGTGCCTACTTCTCCCAATTCGGCCCCATCACCCGACTACGCCTCTCCCGCAACCGCACTACAGGCAAATCCAAGCACTTCGCGTTTCTCGAGTTCGCTTCCGCGTCCGTCGCCAAAGTCGTCGCTGACACGATGGACAACTACCTCATGTTCGGCCACATTTTGAAATGCAAGTACATACCCAAGGAGAGTGTGCATCCGCAATTGTGGAAGGGAGCAAATAAACGATTCAAGAGGACGCCGTGGAACGACATTGAGAGGCGTCGGATGGAGGCGGGGAAGACGAAGGAGAAGTGGTCTAAGAAGATTAAACAGGAAAACGCGAGAAGAGCTAAGAGAGCGGAGAAGATGAAGGCGCTTGGCTACGAGTTTGAGATTCCGGCATTGAAGGGAGTTGATGAGGTTCATATTGCTGTCGATGGGAAGGAGGGGCAGGCAAGGATTGATGATGTGGGGATGGAGGAATCTACGAATAAACAAGAACAGCGTGCTACCATTGAAACCTCGACAGACGGAGCAGAGAAGCCCAATGGACGTGTTGCTGACGTGGAGATTACTTCAAACAAGTCCAAGAAGGAGAAGAAAGAGAGGAAGGATAAGAAGGATACTACCGTGAAGGAGGCGAAAAAGGCTGGCGAAGTGGAGAAGATAGAAAGTAAATCTACGTCGAAGAAAGTGAGTGCGGTGTCAGATACCCCGGAGAAACTGGCAAAAGGTGAGAAGGGGAACGCTAGCCTTCCAGGTGCAGGGAAATCAGGTAAGGGAGAAAGGTCCAAGACGAAGAAGAGCAAGGCATAGACAAAAAAATTTTTGTTATTGGAGGGTGTTCCTTGCCATAAATTTTATTTAAAGATATTAGGATTTCTTGTGTTTGTATGTATACCTATTTTATATCTCCTTAGCTAGGTATTTAGAAATGCTTTGAGGAATATATTCCCCTGTCAACCATTCGGCTTCAAGTTGTCAGTGTAGCTGTATGAACGTCCATAGGATCGACAGCTGCAGGCTCTTATGCCTGCCAATAGCACATGTAGTTTGTAATACCTAGCTTTTTCCTGACCCAAGCTGAGACAATGTAGAAAATGACGATTCATTGTGATTTGGATTCGAATATCCACCGTTTTATACCCGTTGGTATCCACGGATACGCCAAGTAAATACACGTGACAAAACACTAGTCAATATATGTACTAGCTCAGCAGACCTACAGAAAATCAGCCAAAAAAATTTCCAAAAAACTCTCCCTTCTCTTCTTTCCCAACTCCTCGCTCAAAGAATCGCATTCAAAGCTTACGCACAGGAGAGGGAAGAGAATAGCCCTTCACGGGCTTATTCTATTCTCTCTTCAGACCGCAACTACTAGCTTTGGGAGAAAGTCCCCGGACACCCTGCGCCCCCGTCTTAAAACCGCGAGGGTTCCTCACAACAAGCCAGGCACTGCGGAAACGCGCCGCCATAGAAGCATTTCTCATTGCGGCTTACGCCTTTTTACCTTCCCTTCTCTTTTCTCACTCTTCTTTTAGAAGGGAGGAGGAAAGAAAGAAGGGCTCGTCGCTGTTCCTACCCGACTCTGTGGAAGTTTTTATTCTGCAGAGAAAACAATGGTGGTTTGGACGGGATGGGGCCTTTTTGGCGAAGGATAGGTTGCCATTCGTCGTGTTTCGATAGTCATGCGATTGCTTGGTTTCCCATATGTATTTTGATCATATATGTGTGGAATCAAGTAACTCGATGGGGCTTATTCATGAGGCGAGGAGTTCACCCTTTTTTTTCATTTTTCATTCCCAAGGTCTGTAGCTTATGGAAAGCGGCGGTGATGGTTTCTTTTCAATTTTCTTCTCTTTCAAAGCAGGGGAATTAATTAAAAGGGATCTCGTTGCAGAAGCCTTGTCGGATGGGCCAGACTTCTTATTTGTTGTTATATATTTATTTCCCTATTTATATTTCATCTTTTTCGGTTCAAGTGATGATTCACATCATAGAGTCAAGCACTGAGGCTCATTAGAGCTGTTGAAGACTCAAATGATTAAAATTTTATCTGATGGACATGAAGATATTGTATATTCTATATAAAACTAACGCCATAAAATCGGAATTTGTGTTTCTGGCTTCCGATATGTAGGATAAATTCTCCTCACCTATCATTATCCCGTTTTTAAGAGGAGTATCATTAGATTTGAATAAGTTAGACATGGACATCGTGTTAATGTATATACAGGGGTATGTATGTATTCGTTTTTATCGTAGACATCCCTTCCCACTCATTATTGGCGTTTCTTCCCTTCCTTCCCCTCCATAGTAGCTCCAAGTTTTATCCGGTCAATTTTTGGCTTCGAAACATATGCCAGGCTAGCTTTCATCGCATCACCAACCAACGCAACAACGGTGGCGCACGCTCCGCCCCATATCTGTATGCTCACGGTACCCATCGGCGCACGGGGAAAGGACAACACCCACTGCACCTGCCATGGAATCCAACCAGGAGGTAATGTAAAAATAGGCGTCTTGGAGTACCAGAATTGCAAGAAGAGCATTAGCCCAGAGGTGGCTGCCCAGCGAGCGATTTTGATAGTCATGTCGAAAGTCGATTTGGATTGGGTGAGTTCATTGTCTGTTTGTTTTCCGAGTTTTTGTGGGTTAGAATTGCGTGCTTTCGTTTTCGTGGTGGTGTTTTGAACACCACTGAAGATTGATTTCGTTTTGTCTGTCTGTACCAAGTGCAAGGGGCGGAGACCAAAGAGCTGAAAGAATGAAAGGGAAAGGGAAAACAGAAAAAAGAACGACATAATAATATAGTGTGTCCAGAACATACTCTTAGCCTCATATGCCTCCAACGCCTTATCATGTCGCCGTCTCAACTTGGCCCATTTTGCAAACTCATCCTGGGAGCTGGTCGAGCTCATTTCGTGTTTGAGTTGCACAACTTCTCGTTTCATATGGCGTTGTTCTCGAGCGATCTGCGACGTCCCTGTGGGTAGCTGAATGTAGAGAAGCCATAGCTACGAAGGAATGAATAAATTAGCTTCTTTTCGGGAGTTTCAAATGTGGAACTTTTTTTCTTCATTGGATTGAGGCGCAGAAAGTCTAGAGAAGGGAGCTGGGGTGATTCGTACCAAACCATCTACTGTAGCGGCGCCAACCGTATTAACCACATATATGATGACGTTAAGGAACAGGACGGTGATGAGTAGTGAGGGCATTTTCGAGATATATACCAGTAGCCTTGAAGTTGGTGGAGCGAGCAAAGGCCAGAGGTAACGCTGAGGTGGGCTCAACGGATTGAGAGCGAATGAGGTTTTGGCATTAGGGTGTTGGTTAAGTGGTTGAAGCAGTGATGCGTTACTCCAGTGTTGTCTCGGTCGCTATTTCGTCGCTCTCAACTGTTGAACAACGAAAGCACCTTGCAACGCTTTTTCTGCCATTTTGACTTGTCTTCAACCATGGTGGTTTGCGGGAGCTTGGGCCAGCATGGTGCCACGTGATATTGCTTTTGGCTCCCATGGACCTCCCCACCGAGACAGGTGCAGTGGTATTCTCCTCGCGGCGGAGACTCCAGGACTCAGCCAATTTATTAACCGCCTATACCCAAATGTCCGCACCAGAAGACTATCATGCGACCCTAACAAAGATCCTTTCCTCCAGAGGTAATCAAATTTTCGACATTCATTTCCTTCCGGAGGGCTTTGGTGACCTCCTTCAGGAGGGGCATGAGATAGGCATCACCAAGAAAGCGCTTGTACAATGCTTCATAAAAGCACGTCAAATATTGTCCTCTCTCTCCTCACTAGAGCAACTGCCCCGGAAACCAGAAACTGGTAGCAATCAAGGACATGTTTCTCCAGGAGCACCCCGTGAAGACGCCTCGCAATCCCCCCGCAATTCGAACATCGATCAAGATTACTCGCCCCAAACTCTCCTCCTCCAAACCGAAATCCTCCTCCTCCTCGATTCCGAACACCTAACTGCCTGCAATTGGCGGAAGCGCAGACTGTACGCCTTGAAAGAACAAAAGCAATCACAATGCCCCGGCTCTGCAAACCATTACCCACTCACTCTCCATACCGAAATCTCATTTACAACAACAATCCTCCGTTCCCCGCTTCACCGTCACACAAAATCCCCCGTTCTATGGTACCACCGGAAATGGACTATGATGCAGCTTTTGGACTTTTGCCACGATGACCCCGTGGCGGCATTCGCGGGTTCCCATCATTTGCCGCATTATGAAGCTGCTGCTGAGGCTGAGGCTGGTACCAAGGCTGTAGCTGCAGTTACAGCTGCCGTGAACCAAATCACAGACTACGAACTATCCATCGTGTTGCAGGCGGGCACGCATCACCCAAAAAATTATTATGCGTTCGCCTACCTACGAGAGTTTATGGGCTTATTTGCCAATGCGCTTGCCTTCGCCCGATGCCAAATATTGTCAACAACTATGGTGACAATGGGGCAGCAGCAGCCGGTAACCCTCTATCTAGGGCTCCTTGCGAGGATGGTTCTTGAGACAGTGCATTCATGGTGTCTCACATACTCTCACCGACGGGATATTTCTGGTTGGAACTTTTTGCTTTGGTTGTTGGAAGTTGTGGGGGATAACGATGGGAGTGGAGGGGGTGACAAAGGTGATGTGATTACATTGAGGAAATCGATTGTAAATAAGACCGCACGTTTTGGCACGGAGGTTTCATGGGATGGAGAAGGGTTGTGGATCTTTGTGGATCTTGCTGCCAGGCGGTTTGGGGTTGATGTTGATTGGCTGAATCTGGAGTCTGAAGGGGGGAATGGAGCGCATGACATAGAGGGCACCGGCGCCGCTCACGGTCCTGCGGTCGTTACCGCCACAGAAAAATCTTCTTCATATTCTAACCAACGATGGAAGATATGGGTTCGTCGAATAAAAGAGCCGCAGAAGCGGAATGACGGCCCAACCCGGGTAAATGACAATGGCTGAAACTAGAAAAATAATCATGAAATAAAATTAATAACCGGGCCTTGGCTAGCTCCTCCTGGGCTAGCTAGCTATTTTAGCTGCTATTATAATGACGATGGACCATGAGACCTAAGGGTTGAGAAAAGATGAAGAGAAATTGACTTGATTCTAAAACCAACAACTGCTGCCTTTGTATTATCACGCTATTGCTAATAACAACACTTCCAGTAGCTCAGGGTATATTGACTCCAAACAATGGGCAATGGAGGAAACGAATGCAAAGTAAAAGCAAGGAGGACAACGACATCCTGCAAAATTTAAAAAGCTAGAAAGGCAGAACTATTAATTTAATCATTCAAAAGCAAAATGAATGTTCAACAAAACTCGGGGGGAATAAGTCAAAACGTGTAAGACAAAGGGGGGGTGGGGGTTGAGGTGGTAGGACCTCCCACACAGAAAGCTGATTCTTTTCAGACTAAAAAGAAGAGGGAGCGAGATAGTGGGAAAGACATCGCATGCCATCACTAAGAAAAGCACCAAACATAGCCATAATAATAAACAATGGTATTCCTTCCTCAATTTCGTCTCAAAATAGGAAAGTAAAACGAGTTAAAACGAGTAAAACGAGAAGAAAACTCACTCCTTTAAAACTCCTATACTTTGTAAAATCCAGAAGAAGTCAAAAGCGACCGTACAGACACACACCACTCACTCAAACATTCAATGTAATAGGCTCAGGAAACCAAATTCATTCCGGTTTGCACTTTGTCCTTTATCCCATTCCTTCGCCCTCACCACAAACAACCTCTCTTCGTCCTGTATCTTTTCTAGTTCACAATGTCGATTTGAAATCGGAATGTCTTGTCTGATCTCAAGATTGAGAAGATGTGTGGTGGGGAAAAGTAGACATATACACATATAAATATAAACATAATATATATGCGCATATATACTTAGGACCGTGCTCAAGAAAGGAAAGAGAACCCCAAGCCAAGGCAGCCATATATTTCAATGAACCATAAAGTCGCGAATCAGGTAGACAAGTGGGCGACGGCGTGAGTAATTTTATTTCTTCTTGGAGGCTTCAGCAGCCTTCTTGGCGTTTGCTATTTGATGTCAATCGGTTAGCTCGATGTTCATTTTGGCTGGCGACAGCTTCCTTCCACAGGGGGCCACATGACAGTGAGAGGGAGGGAAGAGGTACAAACAGAGGTGGATATGAATAAAATCAAGAAGAATATATTGGGGTGAGAGCGTCAATCTGATATTTGGTACATTCAGCTTAGCATGCTGGAGAGAAGGCAGACATACCTGCTTCTTGTTTCTGGCGCATGATGGCGGCCTGGGCCTCCTTTGTACGAGCGAACTCTGTGCCAGACTGGGTGTTTTTCTTCTTCTGTTAGGGCCGCAAGAGAATGTATACGTTAGCTTCCTTGCTCTGAGATGGTAGCACTTTATGATATTATTCCCCACTGTGAGGCAAAGATGAAAAAACCACCAACCTGCGCGGCCATCTCCTTCTGGGTTTTCTCACGCGCTTTCTCACGCTGGTTTCCACGAGCCATAGTGACGGTAAGTCTGAGAAGAGCTGTCGATAGTCAGGAGTCTGTGGTCCTGGCGGTGAAGATGTGGTGGAGTTGCGATCAACGAGCGAAGAAGAGACGAATTTGGCTGGAACAAACACACAAAGGCAAGAGATCTATACGATGACTAAGGAATTACTAATATACCATCAATCGCACCAATAGCATCAGCAAAAAAAACATTTGAACAGCCAAAGATTCTAAAATAAGCCTTTCAAGTCCCTTGGACACTTTCTATATTTACTCGTTGGAATCCACTTCATTACACAAGATTTGTTGCTCTTCCGCTTCCTCGTTCTTCGTGCGCACTGTCGTGGGCCAGATCTGCCCCCTGGCGGCTAAACCAAGGCGCCAGGGCCGTGTTGACCAATCATGCGGCTCTTACCTTCGCAGAGCCCCGCCTTCGAAACAACGACATCCTCAACTTTGTTTCATCCAAAACCTCATCCCACTTCATTGACAAGATTAGCTGCCATCCAGTCCTTCGCTTCTCGCCATGGGGTGTCGTGGTGTTAGCGGACTGGCTTCCAGGACGGCAGTCAGTCCTGCCCAATATCCCCAGTCTGCAGAATATCATGATGAAACCCACCTTGACTGCTCAACTGCTTGTCCTGGCTTGAACATCCCTGTGACTGGTGCCTTAAAATATCCGGCGCCAATGGAGTCACCTCAAGAGGCCTTCACACGAGTTCTCCAGATCTGACAGAATAGAGGTGTATCAAATCATATCAACACATGGAACGAGCGGAGTGACTGTCTCCACCACGGGTAGTTGAGCCGATGGGAACTATGGTGATTGTTTCTCGGTATTCACCGTTTGCTGTTGTTTCATGAAACAGCTGAAGCCTTCTCTCTTTTGCTTCATTTTTTCTCTCTTCACTGCTCAGCGTTGCGCCCATTGTTCTATTTCTTTCTCTTTCTGCACTCTTGCCTTCGGCCTCCACCTTTCGTTCTTCGTCTGTTTCCTCTTTTCCTATCATCTATTCTCGTCCTGTCTCGAAATTTCGCGTTGTATTGGTTGTTGTCTCTGACGGCAACAACAAGCGGATTAATTATGTTCATTTCACTGCAATGCTACTAAACACTCATACTTTCCTTTCACTGATTCTGGATTGATCCTGTTCTCCTTCAATAACTTCTATCAAAGCAAGAAAAGCTTCTCCCCCCCGGTCAATTCCATCCCTTTTCTGCACTTGACTCGTCCGCTTTTTCCTTTGCTTTTCCCAAGAGAGTTCCTGGTTCAAAGACTTTATACTTTTTATCCAGCTTCAAACCCGTTTCTGGATTTCAACACCGATATCGAAATCGACCTCCAACATTAATATCGTTCCCTTTACGTGTTCTGAGCACCTTGAATTCCAACCTGGTCGCTGCATCATTTCCATCGATCGGCTGTCAACCTTCCAACAATGACAGCCGTTGTCAAATCCCTGGCTGGTCCAGGTTATATCATTTTGAATGTCATACGGGTCTTCAACATAATCTGTCTCCTATGTATTATCGCCGCATGTTCAGTCTTATTGGTTAAGACATCCACTGCCACCAATTTCTTCTTTTTCGATGCAATGAACCGGGTTATAATAATTGTTATAAGCTGTAAGAAATTCCTTTTCCCCTCCTGCTATCTCGACTAGTCTGACGGAAATCGTGCAGTCTTCCTTATTACCTCCGAAGTAGCCTTTTTCGAGGACTGGTTTCTTGAATACTGGGGTCTTTTCGGTAAACACTCGAGCTTTCTCGCTCTTGGAATCGCTATGATCCTCCTTGGCATATCAACCATAGGATGTCTGAATAGAGCGGACATGAACAAGGACGCCATCGGCTCTACCTTCTGGCAGCTAGTTCTAGGCGCTGGCATTATCTCCATTGTGTTTGGGTTTGTTAATATCTTCGTGGTATGTCTCTTCCCCTTTCCCACCAGCTGTGTCTGACCACAAAGCCTCTGACTCCGCGAATTTAACACCAACCACACCTCCACGCAGACCTTCATATACCGAACGAAAAGAACTGGTTTAGAAGCACGTCACATCCGAACTAACGGGGCTGTTGCCCCGGACGCCATCCCTCCATTAAAGCACAGCCTCAGCCGCGCACACAAATCCTTCAAACTCAACCGCAAGGACTCCTTGCCCCTCTACCGCGAGAGCGACGATGCATATTCGCAATCGAAATACTCACACTCAACACGCTCCCCTGTCAGCACCTCTCCCTCCATGCGCAACGTGCCTGCTAAATATCGGGTGAATATATCCCATCCCATCGTCAACAATCACGAACAGTTCGAAAAATTTTCGAGGAATTCGGAAGGCTCGCACCCAGAACATCCGGCCAATCACCCTGTGCATGTTTCTACACATCGGTCGGATTGGGAAGGGGCTGAGATATAAAACATTGGGGAAGTTGGTGGGGGCGGAACGGATACAAAAGCAGAGGGATATTGAGGGATGATATGGGTTGTTTAGAGGTTGGAGGTGATACCCCTTGACTAACTTATCGTCCATTCTATCGCGCTGTGTAGATTCTTTTAATTTTTCTTTGTGTATTGGTCTTAGGCATTTCCCTGGATTCTGCGATTCTAGACACCTGATGTTTCCCTTCTTTTCTTTTCTTTTGATATCATATGCACTCGTTTGTGAGTTGTGGCGTCACACCAGTGGTTCTATATCTTGGGTTGGTGAGGGTAGCTAGTGTTTGAACTACCCTTCGTTTGCTATTGTACTTATACCCTTTCCCTAGGCCAAAATTTTCCTCTTATCTCCTTTGCCATTTTGTCGTGCATCGGTTTGGGACCCATTTCTTTTTCTTTCGGCTTTTAAATGTACCTTGATGAGCGACTGTATACAGAAGAAAGGATAAAATATTGCATACGCTCATATCTATCAATGCAGAACCCCCTCTAAATAAACCAACAAAAGAAAAAAAAAATGCATAGAACCAGAAAAAATCAACACACAAAATAAAATCCAATCAACTCCTACTTCTACTTCTCCCACTCCCATTTCCATCTCGGCTATTACCATCATAACCACCATCACCATCACCATCATCATCATCATCATCCCCCCTCCCCAACCCCGCCGTAATCCCCTCAACATACGAGTTCGCCTCAACCCCCAACCGCCCAACATCAACCACATCCCCCTTCCTCCCCGCATTTCTCCTCCGCATAACGCTCGTCATCGCCCTAACAACCTCCTCTTCTTCCCAAACACTACCCCCCTCCCCTAGCCCTCCCAGAGATGTCCCCAACAACCCAGAGCCCTCCATAGCCACCACAGCCGTCCAGTACGCATCATCCCTCGCTTTCAGCCCGCGATCCCGCACAGTCGCGTTCCGCACGACGCTAACCGCATGCACTTTCGCCGTGGCGTTGGCCAGGGTCGCGGAGGCGATCGCAACGAGTTGATCCGTGACCTCTGCCGGGGTCGGGGGTGTGTAGAAGAATCTATGCGTGGCAGCGAGGTAGATGGTGCCGGCGGCGAGAGCGTCGAAGATTGTAAAGGTGAGTAGGCGGAAGGTCGTGAGGTTGTTGTGGAAGCTTGTGGGGATGTCTTGTGGATTTGCGGAGGGGGTTTTGTGGTGTGCTTTTGCGGGGTTGGGGGAGGAGGCGGGGTTGTAGAAGGCAACGAGGAGGGTTTCGAGGAGAAGAAGGGAGAGGGCTGTTAGGGTGAATTTCGAGCGGAAGCGGCTAGCACTGGAGCCGGTGAGGGGGTTGGAGGTTACGAGGCCAGTTATTAGGAGGTGGAGGAGATGGGGGAGGAAGGTGTGTAAGGGGAGGTAGTAGAGGAGGTATGTTGTTTCGGCATCCGGGGTGCAGAAAGGGCAGGCTAGTAGGGTTTCCGGACCGTAGCGTAGGTAGAGTCTACGGAGGGTGGGGGAGGTGAATTTTGCTTTTAGCTGGGTGTCGAGGCTGGTGAGGGTATTGTTTGGGCGGAGGCGGGCGAGGCGGTTAAAGAGGATTTCGGTCGGAGTGTTAAGGCGAGATTGAGTGAGGGCGAAGATGTTCGAGGACGGCGCATGCGGGTTCAGATCTGTCCAGGCGGGGAATGAAAGTAAGAGGAATAGACAGGTGGAGATGAAGAGAATGTTCAGGGCAAGGGCTGCTCCTGGCGGCAAGGGACGAGGCTGGGGACGTTGGGCGAGCGAGGAGCGGAGGGAGTGGAAGCAAGATCTCGCCTTGCGAAAGAGGAGTGGGGAGAAGAAGATCAACAGGGTTTTGTAGCTAGACATTTTTGTTACTTAGTATTTATTAGTGGATAGAGATTGGAGAAGACATACGTATCGTAGTTACCCATTATGACCGGCGGGCGAGGTCAGCTCGCCATATGTGCGTTTGTGCTGTTGTTGTTCGATGTGGAAAAGAATCGCGATGGGAATGTTGGATGTTGGCCAGGGATGGAGCTTGCGACAACAGCCCTTTCGATGATGAACGGAGAAACACAGAACCTGTTCATTACTATTATTTGATATGATGTTATAATGAGGGAGATGCATATGAATCCACGATTTGTCCGGGTTATAAATTATGCGTATCTTAGGCGCTTAATCGAGCTTTTGTAATGCTTGCTTTATAGCGCATGTAAAGCCTGCTATTGGATATAAACAAGCAAAAAGAATGTCACTGTCACAGAAAGCGCGCTACGGAGGCAGATACTCCCGCGTTTAAATATTGCAGGATGGATGGTGTGATATCCTGGGGACCAAAACAACGTGAGATAGAAATCTAGCTGCGCTGCGTATCGAGCATGCCACTCACATTCCCCGTAACATTATCATCTCAGGGAAGCTCCTCCACCGATCCTTTCATCATGATCCTGTCCAACAGTCTTGCGCTACGCACTCTGTTGCTTCCCCTGTGCAGACAATCCCATGCGTGGGTGGTACCCCGACAGAAGGCAAGGAGCCCATATTTATTTATATTTACTCCTGAAAAAATATATATATATATATATATATATATATATATATATACTTTCGGATTTAAGGACGAGATCTCCCATGGACCGTGCAGTCTGATGCCGAGGGAGGAATGCCAGATGGAAAGCTTTCGTCCCCCCTCTGAGACAAGAACGGTGCAAGGGTAACTATCAATCGAACTGGGGAGTATTCATCGACGCAGTCAGACCGCAGTCACAACACCAATCTCTCAATGGCAGAAAGAAGCGGCGAATTTGCCTTTTAGTTCGCTGGATCAGCTAATAAGGAACTAGCTGCGGGGTCCTTGTCCCATGGATTTCCAAGGATTGGTGTTCAGGGCATTCAGGCACACCGCAACCACCCTGAAACGTGCCCTTCCTTCTTTTCCTTGACGCTCAGAAATGTTTGTTGCGGGACCAACACCAACACGCCGTGGCTTGGAGAGGAAGAGGGAACAAAAGTGGGACCTGCGCAGCGCGCAAGCCACATTTCTCGTTCCGCTGCAGGATCACGGAGAGGGATCCAGATGATAATCCGTGATGGGACGTCACGACGAGAAATATGAGTATGGATGAGCAGAGGGGAAACTGACTTAAACCAACTGATGTTCATTCCTCCGCATCTGAACCCTGGTCAGCAACCAAGGCTTATGGTAGTTTGGGATTAGCTGGTCAGATGAACAGGGAGACACGGCTGTGTTCTGCAGCTTGACGTCTTCATAGCGTGGCCAATTGGGCGAGAGTGATTGGGAACAGAGGCCAAGGAGGAGGAGGATGAAAGAACGAAGACGCAGTCGGCGGCGACTGAGGCGGGGAGCCAGCGGAAGCGGGATGGGGCGTGTTTTGTTGAGGACCCAGCCAGTACCTGGTACTTGGCGGTGCACGCAAAATAGCCTGGCTGCAGTGTACCAGTACCCGACTCCACATTCAACAACAAAAACAACAACAACCGTGGTCCTCTCCAGACGACCCTGTCGGTTTAGCCAGCGTGAGACATGGGAGTAAGCTGGATATGACAAGATATTTATTCATTGATTAATTACAACTTGCCAGGCCCGCGACCGTTTTATTTCACTGCGCGAGAGCCACTTCTCTCTTTTTGCGTCTGTTCTCTCTCATCGTGCGAGAACCAAGCCCACAGAATAACCAACTCATATATCATATATAACTAACTGTAAAATACAACTTGCTGTGGATCAATTGCTTTTTCAATTCGGCTACCCCCATCTGTTTATGTTGAGTTTGCTGCTGAAACTCTGAAACCTGGACCCTCACTTGCGCTGTCTTGTGCTTCTGCTGTTAGTACGTATCATGAATGCTACTTGCTTGTGCTTCTCGCTTCTCCTATCTCCATCTCCTCATTCTCTGCACGTCCCTTGTCACTCATTGTACGTGACTTTCCGCTGGCAGGTTGTCACATTCTTTTTGCTAACCCTGCTTGAATACCTAAGTAAATAGCTCTCCCCTGTCCCAGATAGCTTTTCCGGGTTCCACATCGGGGAAACGACATCCCACAACCGAAACGAGACAAAAAATACACCACGACCACATTTCTCCAACGTCGCGAGCTGCGGCATTCCACATGCCTCCTCCCTATTTCTATACCTTATAGGCGACCTCGATAGCTCCAGATCACCGCGTCAGTGATCAATTGGCGCCGTATCTCCAATTCGGTCGTTTCCCTTTCCCGACCCAAAACCAACACAAAACAGAAGCTATACCGAAGCTGCTCGCGCGTCATATCTCCCGTTTGAACAGTTAGCTCCCTGTAGCTTGGCGGTTAACGCCAGGGCTGCTCTTTCTTTACAATGGCGAGAGCTTACTCCAGCCAGCCCAATTCAGTCTCTGAAGTCAATGCCTGTGTTTCTACCATTGAAGGCCGGCGGATGACGAAGGTGAAGCCAACGCCGGAGACCAATTTTCGACAATGGGTGCTGCAGAACCAGATAGGTACAATATACAAATGTTCCTCAATCTTTGTCCCGCCCAATATCCCATCACTAAAAGTACCGATGCAATGTTTTTTATAGGTATCTGCGTCACTATCCTCACAATGATATTCGCCCTTCACAACCTCTACCCGTCGCTGAGGCCGTACACCTCCCCCTTCCTGCAATTGCCGCACTACCAGCCTGAGAAGGGTACATATGTCCAGGGCTGGGATGATATCTATTTTGTTATGGGGGGCGTTCTCGCTTTCACCGCCGTCCGAGCGATTGCCATCGAATGGATCTTCCAGCCCCTTGCCCGCAGATACGGCTTGAAACACAAAGCCTCTGTCCGGCTGGCGGAGCAAGGCTGGATTCTCGTTTATTATTTTGGCTTCTGGGCTTACGGAGTGGTAGGTTTTTTCTGCTGGTTTTGTTTTATTTGCTCAATTTAGCAGCTTTCTTTCGTTTTTATTTTATTGTTGAATTTTGAGTTTTGAATTCCTCCCCCCCCCCCCCCCCCCCCCCCGCCCCCCGCCGCGCGGGGTGTACTCTTGCGTATACCGCGAAAGATAACGAAACGTGATTTGCTAACTCCGATTTGCTCCTTAAAATTATTTTTTTAGTTCCTTTGGTACAATTCTAAGTACTGGTATAATTTCCGCGAGATATGGACCGATTGGCCCTCCAGAGATATCTCCGGTATCTTCAAATGGTACTGTCTGACGCAGCTGGCGTTCTGGTTCCAACAGATCCTTGTTATCAACATTGAGGAGAGACGCAAAGATTATTGTCAGATGCTGGTCCATCACATAGTCACAAGCACCCTTTTAGGGTCTGCTTACGTCTATGGCTTTTATAATGTCGCCAACGTCGTCCTCTGCATTATGGACATTGTCGATTTTCTGCTGCCGGTAAGCAAGCAAACATACTTTCTCTTTCACCGCGTTCGACCCACCAGTTCTAGAGGGATATTGAAAATTGATAATTAACACGAAATAAACAATATAGGCCGCAAAAATCCTCAAATACCTCGGGTACGAACGTGCCTGCACGGCGGGCTTCATAGTCTTCCTTGTCACTTGGGTAATCTCCCGCCATATCGTCTACAATCTCCTCTGGTGGTCTATCTATATCAACGTCCCAGACGTTATGCCCTACGGTTGCTACTCTGCAACTACAGCCGAGATGATTTCACCCGCTGCAAACGCCACCCTAGACGGCGCCGCATCCATTGACCTAAACAACTGGAGCCACCTCCTCCAGCCATTCCGAGATCTGGGCGGTCGCATTTGCATGAGTCCACGCGTCAAATGGGTTTTCCTCTCTTTCCTGTTATTCCTGCAGATCCTCGCGATTTTATGGTTCACGATGATTCTACGTGTAGCTGTCAAGGTGCTGAAGAGTGGGTCGGCAGAGGATTCGCGGAGTGATGATGAGGAAGAAGATGAGGAAGAGGTGGATTCGCAAAATTTAAGGACGGAAGGGAATGCTGGTGTTAGGGATGGTGGTCGTGGGAATGGCACGGCGATCGTGTCTGGGAGTTCTGTCTCATCCTCCGCGGGGCAAGGTCATCATCCCGTGCGAATCAGGACCGGACGAGGTCGAGTTACCTTGAGTGATCAGAATGATCGGAAAGCGCTGTTGGGACGGATTGGGTGTGATAAACCCACGTGAAAATGGATTAAAATCTTCGTCTGCTATGATCTCTTATTTATTTTCCTCATTTTCTTTCATTTCCTCTTTAGTTGATTTGGATTGGTTTATTTGAAAGTGAATAACGGAATTCCGCAATATCTCGTCCTATGTTTTTGATATACCTTTGTTCCTACATTCTACTTTTTCTTCATTCCCTTCCTTCAGACCTTCATTTCATTTTTAATTTTTGCCGTTATTCTCATTCAACTCAAGTATTTTCTTCCTTCTTGCTTCCAGTAATTCTTTTTTTTATTTTCATTTCATGTTTGCCATTCTAATCACGAAGGATTTCTATTTTCTCAAGTTTTCTGTCTCTTGAACTATTATTTATCTCCCTTTTTCTCCCTTCATCCCTTTTGTTTTAAACAAAGTTTTGGGTGAATTTGACTCTTTGAAACAAAGATGCAAGCTGATATAGATGATAGATACCTGATCATGTTTGTCCTAATATATGCATCGATGTCTGATCAACCCCCTCTCTGCGCATATGCGCAGATCCTGTTGTGGTGTGATTTAGATTGTCCATATCAGAGGGAAGGGAATGAGATGGCCGAGGGGCTTTCCCATTTGTTATGCCTGTGATCTCCTCCTCCAGGTACTTGCCTTGATTGCCCTTTCCTTGTTCCAGCTCCCACGCCATCTGTTCCGTTCCGGTCTTATGTTTATCATTTTCGTTTTATCTTTATCCCTTTCATTTGTTCTTTTCGCTTCCTTCTCTTAAATAAGGGAAAAGGGAAAGACGACGACGACGACGACGATGACGACGATGACGACGACGATGATGAAACTGCGGTTCTAGTTTTTATATCCTTGTGTTGTGTTCATTTTCATTGCATTATAATACCTCCTGCTAAGACTAAACCAGTCGATATAGGTTTTGTCAAGACATTCTTACATATACGTATATGGTGTTACGTGAATGGAGATCTTATTGTAAGACGGGCTTTTTATCCCATTTTTCCATCCATTCTCCATGACTTACCGTGTAAGACCTACATTGTAATGAATAAATAAATAGTACGATGGTAGGATGGAGAAATCAGGAGGCTGTTTACTGGTCTCATAAGGTTGATTCATCGGGGCAGAAAACCTGTCGCCCTCCTCCCTCCCCGTGGCGTACGGTTCCGTGAGCTATTTAGATAGATAGGATACTGAGGCAACTGAGAGAGCACACGGAAGGAAGAATTGACTCTGCATTATTCTTCTTGGTTGAGGGAGGAAAAGTCATTTATTCCACACCCCTCCTCCGCTGTGAAAACTCTCCCCACTGCCAAAAAAAAAAAAAAAAAAAAAAAAAAAAAAAAAAAGGGAGATCCTTTTTATATATCAGACTCCAGTAATCCCATCATATACTGATTTCCACGAAACCAATCCTGCAGCGTCGGAGGCATCATCTCCCCCACACCTCCACCGTCGGCTGGTGCCTGTTGGCCCGATACTGCACCCAGGGTATTGCTACCACTACCCATATTATTATTATTATTATTATTATTATTGTTCATTCCACCAGCTGGAGGCCCGAAACCCAGCTCCCACAGATAACCATCAACTTCATCAGCGCCCCATTGCAGGTCCATCTGCTGACCAGCATATGCAGTCGCATCGTCAATCCTTGGCACACCAGGGCCAGCGCCAGCGCCAGCATCAAAGGTAACATTACTGCTAACACGAGAGTGGGCGTCCACGTTAACACCCTGCGCGTGCTGCTGCTGGTGGTACAGCTGCTCCTCACCTGCGCCCTCTCTCATCCGGACATCAACATATAACCGCGCAACCTGATAGAACACCGCGCAGAGCTTACAGAGCCTATCCGCCGCTTCAGAAATATGTCGCGCGGTTTCCAGCGAGCTGGAAACTTCCTCCAGAAGTTTTAGGTCGTCGAGGTCCGCTGTGGCGATTGTGTGCGTGAAGAGGACTAGGTAGGGCGTGAAAGGGCAGTGAAGAAGGGACCAGACGATGTACCCCTGGAAAAGGTACTCGCTGTCATTGCGGAAGTCGATGATAAATTTCTGGTGCAGGCGGAGAGCGCTGCGGGCGGAGTTTACACAAGCGGGATCAAGGTCGGTGTGTGATCTGGTGGGTTTTTGGTGCGGATCCTGCCGTTGATTTTCGTGGGTTGGCGGAGGTGCGGGCCTCGCTCGGAATATCAGGGTGAGGAGGTGATAGTAGCACAGGTCGGTCATGGAGGTGGCGTAGCGGAAGAAGGTTGCGTGGTACGCTGTGAGCGTTGAATCTAACTGTAATTGGATGCAGGTGTTTAGTATATTTTAACTGGTAAGCAATCCAAAGGAGCTCGATCAGGTTTTTGTCGAGTACCCACGGGGGATAGATGGAAACGCACGGGAACATATGCAGCTCTCCAATTTTCTACTTCCAATGCTAGATGACAGGTCCTCTCCGTCCGCACCTCCGCACTCTCCGACAATGCACGCACTGAATATAGATTCTCAAAGATCTGCGCTGCAACTTTCGCATATGTCACCCACACCGAATACATCGAGAACCAGGGGCCAAATTTGGGGTCTTTCGGTGGGCCTGGGAATTCAAGGGCGATATCATAGTCTTGCAGCGTCGAGCTGCGACCAAGCAACAATGTCAGATCTTTATCGAGAACGTAGATGAACCAGAATAGCGACTTTTTCAGATAGGCTTCCTCGTCACTGACGCCTGGGCCAGAGACGCTGTGGTGATACCCTAGACTCTGGCACATGCGAGCTGCGGCGCTGGTGAAGGTCCAGCATAGAGATGGTTTGCAAGCCTCCGTAGCATGGAAGGCTCCTAGGGCTAGAGCTTGGGTATTTTCGTAAGACGGCTGGAGGAATAAATCGAAAGTGTTGATGGCGGTTTCGAAATTCGAGCGGCACATGCTGGCGTAGTGGGCAAAATCTTCTGCCGTAAGGGATGCTAGTGGTGGCGGTGGTGGTGCTTGTTGTTCGTTCCAGCGGAGGTTGTCCACTTGGTGGTGGGAGCCTGGTAAGAAATAATGCAACTCATCGAACATGTAACATAGCGAGCAGTTTACGATAGCAAAATGAGCGGTGGTGTACTCCTCAGTACAGAAATACAAGTCCTTGCAGAATTTGGTGATTGTAGGGAGATCGAGGAAGGGGAGGTTTAGGAGGAAGAATGGGTGGGATTCTTATGTCAATTAGTAATTTCATTTGACTTGCACATACGTGCATGGCCATATAAGAAAATATATATAGGATATAGAAAAATAGAAAAACTGGGGATAGGAAATCCGAAAGCGCACCCTTTGCATTCTTCAGCACCGCAAGCACCACATTCAGCGGCGGCATCTCCAACTTCGAAAAATCGACATTGGTGGACGCCGCTTTCTGGCCCGCAAAACGCAACGTATGGATAGAAGAAGGAAGCTTCTGTCTCTCAACAATATCCTTCAGTGCGGCGAGCGCATTCATCATCTCCGGACTATGTTCTGCAAGGGGCGTTTTCACCACCACCTTTTCAAACAACTCGCTGGCGTACGCGGAATGTGCGGTCGTGGACGGTTCCCCTTGAAATCCCGGGCTGGTGTTGCTGCTAGAGGGGGGTTCTGCTTCTGGTGTTGTCCCAGGTTGAGTTGCTGCCAATGACGAGAGTTGTTTCTGTTCTTTGCATTCTTCCTGGGAGGCATCTGAACCAGGAATGCGGGACTGCAATTCCTCCTGTTGCTGCAATGGAGACTTGTTATTGCTGCCATGATTGACGGTGAAATCACGTAAGAGATTTTCAATCCCCGCGAGGCGCTGGTCTATGATTTCGATCTTCTTCTCACTGTTGAAGCGTCAGTCAGTCATCGCTGGGTAATAGTTTCTTTGGTTACAGCAACGGCTGGGAAATCGAAAGGTAAAATTTTTGTATGAACGACATACTATTGATGTGAAATCAGAACCCTCTGCCGCTGTTCCCTGACCCGTGGAGAGGTTCGACAAACAGATTTTGCAATTCGACAGTTGGAGCAGGGGGACCCCCTATCGCATTTGATCTTCGGGGGCAAAACACCTATGTAAGCAGATGTTTTGAATGCTACTTATATTATGGGAACGAAGCAAGTGCTGAATCGGCCAACCTTTCGAATACGACAGTTGTCGCACTATGTGCTCAATTGTGTCAGCAGGAGATGTAGGGAAATTTCCAGCCTGTACAGTACATACCGCTCGAGATGCGGAAGGCTCTTGCCAATGTTGCACATCGTCTCTGTCGATTTCCATTTCCTCTGATGGTGAAGCCAGGAAATTGTATCAAAAACAAGTTAGCCAGCATGGGATGGTTCCAGTCAGGCCCCAGGCCCAATCAAGGAAGCTAGCTAGTTTGGTCACCCAGCTACTAGCACCAGTAGTTAGCTCTCGCTCGCCCAGTCACTGAGAGTCCTTCGACATGAGTCAACGCATGGTTGATGTTTCAATGTGGGTTTTGATAAGGGCCACACCAACCTTCAAGCTGCTTTGTAGAGCTGTGATGTCAGGCCCATACCTAGGTCGGATCCGTCCTCTCGGGTCCCGCGGGTCCCGCGCTTACCCTGCACGGTGATGCCGAGAGCCACACGCGCCACGGCGGTCGGCGGAGTTCTGGGGGCGCTGATTGGCCACTGAGGGCTGGCGGAGAAGCTGAGTCATCCATCCGGGCTGGCGGGGCTTTGTGTTGGCCCTAGGCTGCCTATCACGGACTAGCGCACCGCACATATATGCCTCAGCTGCCTGCATGCTAATACAACCACTTAGACGTCCCACAGGTTATAGCCCGGATTGCTTGTTTTTTTATTAAACCTTCCACTGCCCATCTAACGTCTCGCGAACTGCTACGCTGATCAGCAGAAGGGATCCTGACGAAGGCTAGAAGAGCTTTGATCGCGGGAAAAAGATTAAAATTTGATTGATATAGGGGGGAGAATGCCTCCTAGAACTCGAGCTACCATGGGGATGGATACCCCAGCTAGCAATGATGATATTGAATACGAACCTACCACTACCCCTGGGCCACCGGGCCCAACACCAACAACCGATATCTTGATACAGATGATGATGGGATATTTGAAAAAGCAAGATGAATATTTGAAAAAGCAAGATGAATGTCTGAAGAGAATGAATGAATATTGGGATAGAAGGATGGGAAAATCCTTACAAAAATCAGCTGAAAACTCTGATTCTCTGTCAAGAGATCAAGAGGATATCAAACAAGGGGAGGATGAGATGGAACTGGCTACACAAGCCACTGTCACTGCTCCTCCATCTACTGAAGAACCCTCTGAAGAACCAACCATCAAAGAACCCCCTGCAAGAATCACCAAAGAACCCCCAATGAAAACCATCAAAGAACCTCCTATAAGAACCACCATGATGAGATTGGCCATTAAGAATACCACCACCAATACCACCACCACCACCACTGCCATCAAAGAACTTTTCAAACATCGATACTACTACCACGAACCGAAGCCTCACAGATGCCGAAAGGGTGAAGGATAGAAGGATAAAAGGATATAAAGAATAGCTTGATTTGATTGATTTCATGTATAATAGGATTTCTAGATAGATAGATATCTGTACGGCTGCTAGTCCGAGGGGAGGTGTTGGCCCTAGGCTGCCTATCACGGACTAGCGCACCGCACATATATGCCTCAGCTGCCTGCATGCTAATACAACCACTTAGACGTCCCACACTTTGTTCTTCCGCTTAGCGCGCTATCTACCATGTCGACCTGGGCAAGTCGCAGGGTCCAGGCAAGACCAGGACAAGATCAAGACAAACCAAGGAACACTCTGAATTATCAAATACTACTAATCGCATTTGGAATTGTTGAACTCGTTCCTTGGTGCCGTTGAAGAATCCCTGTTTAGTCATCTGGGCCGGTGAGACCACACTTGCTCGCTGTCCTCGGATCCCGCCCGAGTGACTGACTAAAAAGCTAAAAATGATGCCTGATGCAAAGGTAGGGGCTGTCGGAGCTAGCTTACTTCGAGGTACGGAGGAGAGAGTCATGAGATAGAAATTTATATATTTATATGGATATGGGAAACCCATGCTCGACCCTTTTCAGCAACGGACTGGTGGCAACTTTACATCATGTCGTCGCTTGAAGAAAAGCCGGCGTCAACGCAAAGCACTGACAGCAAGACCAAGGAGGAGGGTGGATTTGGAGACCTGCTGGTGAGCATCCGTGATATTCTATGCGGACCTTTGTTTAGATCTAATGTGGAATCAAAAACAATAGCGGGTGTTTTCCTATACAGACTCAACCGCTTGGGCTCTCTATGTGGTTTCCTTCGTCACTGCTCTCGCTGCTGGGGCTGCCATGCCATCGATGACACTGGTATTTGGTGGATTTGTAACTACTATTACGGATTTCGCTACAGGAGTGGGGGCACCAGATCATTTCCGTTCGGAAGTGAACAGACTTGCGTGAGTCCGAGTCCTTACTTTTCTGTAAATCGGGAATCATATTTGGGCTAACTGTAGGAAGGCTTTATTTCATATATCTCTTTGCTGGCAAGTTTGCTCTCACTTATATCTTTACGGTACGAACATATCCGCGCACATTCGAACTTAGATCTTACTGACATCCTGAAGGTGGCTATTACGATTGCTGGAATAAGAACTACTAAAGCTCTCCGGGTCGATTTCCTTGAGAAAACCCTTCGCCAGGATGTCAGCTTTTTTGATTCCTCAAACCAAGGGGCTACTGCGATGCATGTAACAACAAACGGGAATCTTGTCAACCAGGGAATTGCTGAGAAACTCGCCCTGACCATTCAGGCGATCTCGACCTTCTTTTCTGGGTTTATCATAGCCTTCGTTGTCCAGTGGAAGTTAACACTCATCGGAATATGCATTATACCAGTGATAATCGCGGCCATGGTGATTTGCATTGCCATCGATACAAAGCAAGAAACAACGATACTAGGATTCTACTCCAAAGCTGGCGTATTGGCGGAAGAAGCCTTTTCCAGCATCAAGACTGTTCAAGCCTTCTGGGCGCATCCACGTTTGGCGAAATCATACAATGATTACCTGCAGCTTGCGCACCTAGAAGGGAACAGAAAATCTCCAAATTATGGTTTTCTGTTTTCAACAGAATTCTTTTGTACCTACTCCGCTTATGGCCTGATCTTCTGGCAGGGGGTCAGGCTTTTTGCGAAAGGGGAAATTGAAAATTCCGGGAAAATAGTCACGTAAAGTCTCCCCTACTTCCGTCAACTTCTTTTCTTTCCACCCCTTTTCTAAACCTAGAATCTAGAGTCTTGTTTTCGATCATAATCTCGGCGACTGGAATTTCGCAAATGGCCCCCCATTCTATAGCATTTAGTAAAGCTGCCTCTGCTGCTTCAGAACTCTTTAAAACGATAGATCGCCATTCCGAGATCGATCCCTTATCGGGGGATGGCCTTCGCCCAACGGACTTAAACGGTGACATCGAAATCAAGGATGTGCACTTTTCGTACCCTTCGCGAGCTTCTTTTCCCGTTTTATGCGGGCTAGATCTTCATATTCCTGCGGGCAAAACAACTGCATTAGTTGGCCACAGTGGGTGTGGTAAAAGCACAATAATCGCACTTCTTGAGCGTTGGTATAACCCATCGAGTGGCACCTTGACCCTCGACGGGCGGAACATTGATCAGCTAAATCTACATTGGCTTCGGACGAAGATCCGGCTTGTTCAACAAGTATAAACCCCTTTCAATGTGAAGTGTAGTTAAAACTTGCGCTGATATATTTTTTTTTTTTTGATTTTATTTTAGGAACCCGTTTTATTCAATGGAACAGTTTTCCAAAATGTTTGCCACGGTCTGGTTGGAACAGAAGCGGCGGATATTCCAGAATCTGAAAAAATGGAGCATGTCATCAACGCTTGTAAACTAGCAAACGCCCATGACTTCATTGAGGAATTGCCGGAGGTAAGAAGGTTATTCACAAGATAAAAATTATTTGTAGCTTTGACTGAGACAGCTGGCAGGGTTACAACACCGAAATTGGGGAGAGAGCAAGTATGCTTTCGGGAGGACAAAAACAGCGCATCGCGATTGCTCGGAGTATAATTTCCAATCCGAAAGTCCTACTCCTTGACGAGGCAACTAGTGCTCTGGACCCACACGCTGAGAAAGCTGTTCAGAGAGCGATTGACCAAGTCTCCGAACACCGCACCACCATCGTTATAGCCCATAAGCTTGCTACTATCAGGAATGCGGATAATATTGCCGTCATGTCAGCTGGCAAGGTTGTTGAACAAGGGACTCATGATGAATTGGTCGCTGCGGGTGGTGCGTATGCACATCTTGTTGGTGCTCAGGATCTTGGCGGCAAAGTAGATGAGGAACCAGGAGAAGACAGCCTTGGAGTTGCCGAATCTACTACCCCAATGAAGGGCGGTGTCTCATTGCTCCGATCAACGACTACGAGATCTGCCGTGGGACCTACGGAAGCTACCGTGGACGGATCTGAACGCCCACTGTATGAGATGAAGCACAGTCTGTTAAAATGCTTGTACATATTTTTGAAAGAGCAAAAGGGGACAAAATTTCAATACGTTCTTGTCGTGATTTCTTGTATCGCGGGTGGTAAGTACTTAAGCCATTCTACGCTTTGAAGATTTGATCTAATAGCTTGCGACAACAGGTTTAACGTATCCTGCCCAGGCAGTTCTTTTCTCGCGCCTTGTTTCGGTATTCACACTTCAAGGCTCTGCTATGCTAGACAGAGGAGACTTCTTCTCCCTCATGTTTTTTATGGTCGCAATTGGAAACTTTATCGCTTATTTTCTGCTTGGATATGTTTCAAACCGTATTGCCCAGGTTCGTTGTACCTAAAATAGAGATATCTCTCCGTATGAACATTACTAAAGCCCTATCTGTAGGTGGTTAACCACCGATTTCGTTTAGAAATTTTCGAAACAATCCTCCGGCAGGATATGGAATTCTTCGACAAGCCAGAGAATGCTGTTGGTTCTCTAACCTCCAACTTGACCACCAAACCAACGCAACTCCAGGAGCTCTTGGGGTTTAACATGCCCCTAATGATAATCGTAATCGTTAATTTGGCTTCAAGTTGTATCCTTGCACTCATTGTGGGATGGAAACTGGGACTAGTTACTATATTTGGTGGCTTGCCACCTTTGCTGATCTGCGGGTATCTTCGCATCCGACTTGAAATGAAATTCGAATCGCTCACGGGGGATCGGTTTGCGAAAAGCGCAGCACTTGCAAGCGAAGCCGTCTCATCTATCAGAACGGTGGCATCATTGGCACTCGAAAATTATATTCTCACTAAGTATCATGGCAGTATGAATGGCATTGTTAAGCGCTCCATACGGAACGTGGTATGGACGATGCTTTGGTATAGTCTGGCGCAATCGATTGAATTCCTTGTCATGTGTCTTGGATTCTGGTAAGCGTTATAATATCTCTCCTCGTATCCTCGTTCACGTTAGTTGCAAAGGCTGAGCAAGTGTTTATCTAGGTATGGCTGCCGCCTTGTATCTTTCGGGGAATATTCTATGAACCAGTTGTTCATTGTCTTCGTCGGAGTTGTTTTCAGCGGGCAAGCTGCCGCTCAGTTTTTCTCATACACAACCAGTCAGTCAACCCTTTTGATATCATTCTCTCCTAATTTTGTAAGGGACACGGCAGCTGAATCCTCTCAAAGGTATAACAAACGCCCACATCGCGGGGAATTACATGCTTTGGCTCCGGAGCCTCAAACCTCAAATCCAAGCTCATGATGATTCAGCCGATCCGGATCTCGAAAAGAAGCCTGATGGTGACGGTTTGCTTGCATTAGAAGACCTCGAATTTGCTTATCCGCAACGCCCAAACGCACGTGTCCTTCGCGGAATAAACGTCACTGTTAGTTTATACCATTTCCCATTAGCAGCCAAACGCCTAACTAACCAATGAATGAACATGCAGATAAAACCAAACTCTTTTGCTGCATTTGTCGGAGCATCCGGCTGTGGTAAATCTACCATAATCTCCCTTCTAGAACGCTTTTATGACCCCAGTTCCGGTTGCATCAAATTCGACAAGAACGACATCTCCAAGTTATGCCCTCGCGAATACCGTCGGCGAGTCGCGCTCGTTCAACAGGAGCCGACTCTGTATCAGGGCAGCATCCGCGACAATATCGCAATGGGCTTAGAAACAGAAGCTACACAGGAACAGATCGAGGAAGCGGCCCGCCAGTCAAACGCATTCACGTTCATCTCTTCCCTCCCTGACGGTTTCAACACCCTTTGCGGCTCACGCGGTACGCAAATGTCCGGCGGTCAGAGACAGCGTATCGCGATTGCTCGCGCGCTGATTCGCGCGCCGAAACTGCTCCTACTTGATGAAGCGACGTCTGCTCTTGATACTGATTCAGAAAAGGTGGTTCAGGAGGCCTTGGAAAAGGCGTCATCGGGTAGGACGACGGTGGCGGTTGCGCATCGTCTGTCTACGATTAAAAACGCCACGGTGATTTTTGTATTTGGACGAGGGAAGGTTTTGGAATCTGGGACGCACGCACAGCTATTGGCTAAAAAGGGGATTTACTATGAGATGTGTTTGGCACAGTCATTAGACCAGAAGGTTCCGCACAAGGAGGGATAATGGATTCTAGAATCAGACCCTGGGTCGCTTGAAATATTTTCTCTAGTTGTTTTGTTATATTGTTGCCCCTATTTGTTTTCCTTTTTTTTTTTTTAGAATCTTTGTACTGTACCGCAATTTTAGATTACTAGTAGCCTCTGCCTCCTTTATACAAATGAGAATTCATAATGCATTAAAATGTTCTTCATTTTGTGTCCATTCTGGGCTCTTTGCCTCCTGCATGTATATATTTCCAAAAAAAATATCATCCCCCAAGGATCTCTCTTTATTACAGAGGCTCCTGCGAAAAGTTTTGACTTGCGCTAATAATTTGAGCTGAAATACTGATACCGATGTTAAGTATTGCTGTTCCATCTCTTAATGAGAAGGATAGGGAGTCACAGGGGGGGCTTATAGAGGCCAATCATTCTAGCTTGCCCACTAGCTCACTGCCTAAATCCCAGGTGGTGTGGCCTGGAGATTCCATATACTAGTAAGGATATTTCAGTGTAAATTCTTAGCGTGGGACAAAACTTTTCGCAGCGGCCTTTGTAGAAAAACCAACTTTTCTGTGCAAAATGCACTGTAACGTGACCTCATGTAATATCACGTGCACCCCATCAAATCCTGATGGGGGGATTGGATTGGGTGATTCGTACCCTCTATATCACCATAGCGCTGGTGGTGATTGAGCTCTTTTGCCCTAGTGGCCTAATAAATCCATCCAGCCAGCTCTGTGATTGCTAGCTATCATCGCTATTTCTACATATAATTGCTAGCTATCATCATCAGTATATACCCTTGGTAGATATCATTCATTCAAGCAGATGAGCAGATAAATAGACAGATAGTCATTCAGATAGTCATCTAATAAATCAGCATTGTCAGATAGATAAGCAGCTAGATAATGATGTTTATTCTTATAGAGATTGATTGAATATTGAGCAGTTATATTGATTGAAAGATAGAGAGATAAATAGATAGCTAGCTATCTAGCTAGCACTCTCAATTCTATCAGTAATTGATTGAATATTATATAGATAGATAGATGTAAATCATCATATTTCAAATGCTTGTTATTTGATTGTAATTGCTATATTCTCTATATGAGCTGTCTGATATTTAATTACATCTCACTTAGTGCTTCTACATTAACTCTACAACACTACTACTGTGTTATTCATCTTTTTCATCTATATGATTATTCTCTATTGACAGCTGTGGATTACATGGAATTCATCTATACAAGTCACATGCAGCTGTTATATATCTCATTATGTTCGCCCGAGCGATTGCGGCTTGTAGTACATGATAGAAAGTCATATACCTGACTGATTTAATTTGTGAAGAGTAGTAAGTAGCCTATATCATCTTTGATCTGTTTCGACCTAAATTGCACCGTGGAAAGGGTCAAAGGAATGTATCTATATTTGAGTTAGCACACTTGAGACAAGGGGGAATTAAGGGATGAAGCCTCAAGAATGCATAGGTCTTTTGCCTTCCCCCCTTTCGCAAGGAGAACCCAAAATCCTTGAAATTTGAAATTCGTGTGTTGAACGAAGAAGAATGCAAATGTCGGATCTCAAATCGTAAAAAGAAACCGACCACCATTCGTGGAGCCTATGACACAAAGGGGAGCACAGGGCCTTATTGTTTTGAAAGAAAAGATCGAATAAATACTTCGCCAAACCATGATTCCCGGCGGTGCGGACATTGGCCTAATTACAACGTAATGCCAAAATAAATAAATATGCAAGTTATATGGATGTGGAAGGTTGGTTAATTGCAATTGTCAGTGTAGCGAGCTGCGCAGCTCTGTCAATATCTTAGTGGGCATCTAGGCTGGCAACAATACTCCATAAATATATAAACAGATAAATAACTACAATACAATAAGATAGGATAAAAGATAAATACATAAAAATAAAAAGTAAAAATAACTGAGAAAACATAGCTCGCATAAACAAATCTTGAAGATATCCGGTATTATAATGGAATCCTAGAAGGAGAGGTTGGGAGAATATTCAGGGGAATCAAATTGCTAGTTACCATCAAGCATATACAATTTTGTGTGGTGTCGCTTTAGGACTCCTGCGAATAAAAATGCTATAGAACAAGAAGGCTGATCAAATATAATATACTATACATGTCATACCGCTGTCCCTCACGTGGTAAACATCTGACATATTGATAGTGAAATTAAAGATGATAGCATGCTGAGAATGGAGAACCGCGAAAATATAAAGTTGGTCGCTTGATTTATGACAATTTCAAACCTGATGATACGTCACCAGGAGGTGTTGATGGCTGTAGTATGTGGTCTGCACAGGTGGAAGCGATAGAATAAACCGGAGGTCCGGTGTATAGAGGTCCTAAGATTTCTCTCCGCATTTCATCTTCATCCCAGAGCAAGCCACGACGGTTTTGGCGGGCGAGAGATTCTGCTTCGCTCACCACGTCTCTTCCGATTCCACATTCTTGGTGCGACGTTAAGAATCCAAGAAGAACACTGCGTAGTTTGTCCCATAATGTCCCAGATCGTTTCCACTCCAGTTTCTTGGCTACCCGCAACATTCGTGATACAAACCAACTTCTCTCTCCTTTATCTGAAGGTCCGGTTGACATATATCCCCCGTGTCCCAAGAATATCCACAGCAGCGATGAGATGCTAGGGGTTGAATGTGGATTGATCTTTTTGAGCTCCAATGTGACCCACTCGAGGTAATGGTCAAAATTGTACGAGGCTATATAATGGTCATACAATGCGATGTTGAGATACAGTAGACAGGCCATGCAAGAATACTCGTCGATATAGCGAACGTCACGAATTCCATGGTCATAATCAGGGAGCGTGGTAAGAATAGAATATAGAGGTGTTGATGGGCCAAAAAGATTAAGTCTTGGTGGTTGAAAGTCTTGACCCTGACGAAAACTTTGAGGGCTAGGAAGGGCGTTGGTAATAAGTGAGTATTGCAACGCATCGAGAGAGCGGAAGAAAGTCAGGAAATCTTCACATGCTCGCAATACACTCGATATTTCCTCTGGGTTTGTGCCCATAGAATGATCGAATGAACTCAGAGGAATACGAAGTTCAGGGGACAAATAGGGAAGAGTCGATGGTACTGTGTCTGGAATATTGCCAGTCCATGGAAGATTAGCCCCCACGATAGCCCTTGGAGCGCTACTGAAATCGACCCTATGAAGATTATTCAGCAATTTCAACGACGGACGAACTTGAGAGAAAAGAGAACTTCTAGTCAAGTACATACCAATATAAGACACATTCCAAAAATGGGCTGCTGGCCTTGACACCACTCATACCACCTCGTCGTCGCACTATTTGCCTGATTCCTTGATTATGCATGCGTTCAACAGTTAGGTCCTTGGACCATTTCTGTAATAGATCAGCGGTGCAAAATAAAATCGCCTGGAATAAAACAGGGATGCAATACTGACTTCGATCACGGCCATAGTTGCAGCCGCGTAAATTGTACCATCATGCTTCCCACATACGTCGTGCTGAAGGCGCTCGTTTAGTAGCCTCAAAGCTCGCATTTTGTGGGTGAGTGATTGAACCGACTCATTCTGGCCCGCCGCACCCGCTAGGTGTTTTGAGGAAATGGCTAGCATCGCCTGGAAAGGGACTGGATCCTGCAAGGTTAAGTGATGGAATATCGCCTTGATTGGATTGTCTTGGTACGCATCACCCATTTTATACATCATCACGGGGTATGTGGTGACAACTAGCATAAATGTGAGCATGCAACATCTGCCAGAAAAAGAGACAGGACCACTTACAATGGTGTATTAGATTCTGATCAGTTCTAGTCAACTTTAACGGATAGCTGTTGAAAGGATCTAGATATCCTGAAGCCGGTACTACATTAAGATTTGATGAACAAACCTCTTGGAGGAACGTATTCATATATTCATTAGTATTGTCAACCATATCTTCATGATATTGCAGTTTCGAGATGTCCCGTTCAGGTGGAACGACAGCATCATGACTCGAAGTATCTTTAGTATCAACTGGCTTCTCATTGTCATCTAGCGGTTCAATTCTCGATGACTGCGTTGAGAGAGGTGCTCCCCTGACGGAGTTACTATTTGCGTTCCAACTTCTAACCTGGGCGCGGCTTGATTCAAGTCGTGCAATGCCGTCAAGGCGCCGCTGGCGCATATATTGTCGCATCGCATGACGCCGAACCTGCTTTCTGGACTCTGTGTCTGTAACCAAAACAAATTCGAAAGATTTGGAGCTTCCTTGGGGCTTGCTGGAAACTGATCTCGCTGCATAACTCGGCGACATATGTTGGGGGGTGGACGGAGTGGATAAAGTGGCGCAAGTCGAGTCTGTGACTCTGAAATGATCACTGTCACCTAAAGCGGACGAGATATCAGAGGCCTTTCCCTTGCCAGTCCCCGTGGCACTAGCTTTCCCCATGATGCCATCTTGCAGGTAACCAAGTGTCAGCAAAAATGCGTTTAAGCTAATTAATTGGGTAAGGACACCGGAGAGGAGATCGGGTGAAAAAAATTAAACGCGGATCAAAGGCCCAACGAAGATCTTGACATATGATTATTCGTGGAATGAAGGCACCCAATGCAGGGAAAAGTACTCACCACTCAGGCAAAAGGAGCGGGAAGCCGATGTGATTAGAGCAGGATAGTGATTTCTGATGCCAGGTTGTTTTTCTTGAGCCAGTATGAAGCTCAAGATCGATTTCCCAACTAGGATAAGGTATAAAAATACTAGGCTATCCCTGCTGCGGGGATGGTCACGTGAAGATGCTAGCCCCACCAGGATGTGGAGATATGTTACTTGTATTTGGCCTTTCGAGATAATTATCGAACAGCCGTTTTTTCGCGGGTTTACCGGATAGAGCTACATGGCTAGATAGCGATAGCTGATATAATATAGGAGAATGCTGTAAGAGCATATGGCCGATACGGGGCTTAATGCTGGCAGAGAACTGTCTAGAAACTATTTCATGGCTCTCTCTCTCTGAGTTTCCCGCCTCTATCTGATTTACAAGTACTAGTACTTGTGGATATCGGTTCCTGTGCAAACTCCTCGTTTCGCCTTTCTTATTTGCGCACTGACTGATATCTTCAAACAATGGTATTTCAACCGGACTGGAGCGGTAAGTACGCACTTTCCCCTTCTGTTGCACCAAATCTCCGAAGCAGCTTCTAATGTCGACGGAATAATATCACTATTAATCTAATATGAAGTTTCAAACTCAAACAAAGTAGTGCCAGTCAACCCGTTCAACCCGAACGCGATCCAATTTTCAGCACCGATGAAACTAGTTCATGGTGATTATCCTCAATCACCATGTTCTCGAAGCTTATCGAGGGCTGTCACAACCCCGTCATTGAATTACTCCTCGTGTTGACCTGACGGGCGAGCGTTTGATTCCGGCCAATCATCTTTCGAGGAATCATTTTCACGTTCCATATCATCTTGACTGTTGAGTTTATTTTTGTGTATCCGGTGGCTGGGGGTCTCTGATGATTGGCTTGGCTTATCGTGACTGAATTTTTCGCTATGAGCAGCAAGGAATGCGTTTTCTTCCTCAGTAAAAGTAAAATTCTCTTGCTGCATCATAGCTGCTTTGGTGTTATCGGTGGATGGTTTTGCACTTCGTTTCGCAGTCCTTTGTATCTGAAAATCATCTCTTACAGCATCGTGCCATTGTTGGACCTTCTTCTCCCCCCATCCTGGAACCGTACTGATTTGCTCTGCCTGAGCGTTGACGGCAGCTTGTAAGCTACCAAATGTTGATATCAAACTTGCTGCGTCTGATTTGTTGATGCTTCTTGGAGTCGTAATAAACTCCACTAGACTCTCATTATATGACTGCGATTGCTGCGTGCGTATGGCCGTCGGCTGTGCGTGTTCACAAGATTTAAAAAGTTCCAGGTAGTGCCCTGCTTCGGCGGCGGACCAGCACAAAATCAACGTCAGATTATTAACAAGTGACGTCTTTGACAACTCCCTGAGACTGTCTTCGTGATTTGGAATATCGATCAGTGTGAGAAGAATGCGTAAATTATACTTTCCCGCTAGGCCCTTGATTCGAGAGTAAATGTATTCCGGGTGCAAACGGTAGTATTTCAACGAGAGAAAGAGGACACAGGTTGTGCTCCCCACGATGTAGTCTGCCGGGATGTCTGCATATTCCCAAGGTACGTGACGCACATGGTTGAGGATTGGATTTCCTCTTTGCCTTGCTGATACCAGAATAGAGGAAGGACTAGATCGGCTTGGGAGTGCTTGGGGTTTGGGTTGCTGGACTTTGCGTGTTTGATCTAATTTTTCTGGTGCAGAAGTGTGCGGAAGGCTCTTGTCAGATTTACTAGGTCCAAGTAGCACGTCGAAGTCTGGGACATCACCAAAGTCGTCATCCATTTTGTTAGGTGGTCTGTTGAGAGCAACCTAATGCCTACCTAAGAGGTGCAGGCTCTTCATAGTGAGTCGGGTAGATGACTGAATAAGCGATAAACGCGCGGCTGAAAATTATTCCTAATTTTGCAAAAAAAAAGTCTAAATCTCTCCAATTCTGAGTTTCCAAAATCGCTCCCAAAACCTCCCAGAATGACAGAAACACGCAAAAGAAAATGCCTATCAGATAGCGGAAATCCCCAGGAGGATGCAGGGTCTCTAGCGACAGACCAGCAAACTAAGACGGTTGCAGATGCGGCTGGCTCCTCCCTCCAAAAGCCCAAATCTGGCCGAACACTCTTTGTGCGGTCTCTCCCCGCGTCCGCAACGACTGAGAGCTTAACAGAGTACTTCTCGCAATCATACCCCTTGAAGCATGCTACCGTTGTTCTTGACCCTCAGACGAAACAATCGAAAGGCTATGGATTTGTCACCTTTGCCGACCACGAAGATGCCGCGAAGGCTTTAGAGGAATTCAACGGCTCGGATTTTGATGGTAGAAAACTCAAAATTGAAGTCGCTGAGCCACGCCATCGAGAGATTGACGAAAACGGGGGAAAGAGTGTGTCTATTTCCCACCTGAAACAAGTGCGAGAAATTCGAAAAACCCAAGCTCAACCGCCCAAACTCATCATCCGAAATCTGCCATGGAGTATAGCGGAACCAGACCAATTATCCAGCCTATTTCGAAGTTTTGGCAAGGTTAAACATGCGGTTATCCCGAAAAGAGGCACTAAACATTCTGGGTTTGGATTCGTGGTCTTGCGTGGTAGGAAAAACGCGGAGAAGGCTTTGAACGCGGTGAACGGCAAAGAGGTTGATGGAAGGACTCTGGCCGTTGATTGGGCTGTGGAGAAAAGTGTCTGGGACGAGTTTCAAAATCATACGGATGATGTTATTGATGGTAAAGGCAAAGAGAAGGAGGGGCCTGATAATGATAACAAATTAAATGAGAAAGAAGATGAGTCCTCAACAGATGATGAATTGAATGGTAGGCTAGAGGATGATGAAGGAGAGGAGGATGAAGATGATATATCTATGACTGATTTAGAGGGAGATGAGGAAGATGCAGGTAAAAAAATTGATGAGGAGGTCGAGGATGAACGAAACGCTTCAACTGTTTTTATCCGCAACCTACCTTTTAATGCTACAGACGACTCGCTCTATGAACATTTCGTTCAATTTGGACCATTAAGATATGCCAGAGTTGTTGTTGACGCGGAAACAGACCGACCGAGAGGAACAGCTTTTGTTTGCTTTTGGAAGAACGAGGACGCAATATCTTGCCTTCGTGATGCCCCGAAACGAACAGATTTACTCCGGTCCGAAGATTCGAAACCCAAGATGTCTACCATAAAACATTCAGTTCTCGAAGACGAAAATAAGGACCCTTCTGGAAAATATACAATGGATGGTCGGGTTTTACAACTATCTCTCGCAGTTAGCAAATCCCAGGCCGCTAAGTTCGAGGCCGAAGGCAGTTCGCGTAGGCAGGCTCGTGACAAAGACAAACGTCGACTATTTCTTCTGTCTGAGGGTACCATTCCGTCTAATTCTCCCCTCTACAAACAACTCTCCCCTTCAGAAATTGCAATGAGAGAAACAAGCGCCAAACAACGACAGAAACTCATTAAAAGCAACCCGATGTTACATATCAGTCTCACCCGTCTATCTGTTCGTAACATTCCTCGGAACATCGATTCCAAGGCTCTTAAGGCGCTTGCGAGAGAAGCAGTTGTCGGCTTCGCGAAAGACGTGAAGAGCGGTCTACGTGAGCCCTTATCGAAAGAGGAGCTTCACCGAAGTACTGAGGACATGAAGGAGGCGGACAGGTTGCGGAAGGCAAAAGGGAAGGGTATCATCAAGCAAGCCAAGGTCGTCTTTGAAGGTAAAGAGGGCAGTAAGGTTGACGAGAAGAGTGGAGCTGGCCGAAGCCGTGGATATGGATTCATCGAATACTATTCTCACCGCTCTGCATTGATGGGACTTAGATGGCTCAACGGACATGCAGTTTCTGGATCCGACAAGAAGAAACGGCTCATTGTTGAGTTTGCGATCGAGAATGCGCAGGTCGTCAAGAGGAGGCAAGATAAGGAGGAGAAATCGCGAAATCATGAAGACCATAGCGCAAGTCAACAAAGTCGCACGCAAATGAAGGCATCCCGAAGTCGTCAAGATTCTTCAAAACCTAGCTTCCCTCCCCAGCAGGGAATGAAGCGGAAGAGGTCCGAAAGCGCTGGGCAAGGGAACGCAAATCCCATGCCAACAACCAAGGCTGATAATGCAAACGAGACCAAGCTTGAGAAGGACAACCAGATAGCGAAGAGAAATAGAATTATTGCGAAGAAGAGGATGATGAGAAAAAATAGGAAGTGAATCGATAGGTGCGCGGACATTCACTGATTGGGCGATCGATCTGTTGTCACTCTTTCGTTGTTTATTTCATACCCATTAATATAGATCACAGATCGTGAGAATAAGACAACCAGAAGCGATGCCAATTTACTCACTGTGAGTTAGGGCATGCCTATATCTTGATCTGAATTTACATACCCACTCAACACACTTTATAGCTCGATTTTTAGAACGAAACTTAGGACAGACGTTGAAAAGGTATATGTGGACTAGAAATAATAGTATGACCCGTATTATATATTCGTAAAATCAAACAGACGGAGAAGCCCTACGCACTTCCCCAGACGCGAACGTGAACTGCGAAAGACATGGTGGAAAAGAAAAGCTAAAAGGTATCTATTCGTTGACCCACTCATACACGCCCTCGGCACCTATTTCCAAACAGAGAATTCCTAGGTATTTGTAGCGGCTTCGACCTTCCCCACAATATTGTACCGTTTGCTAAAGAAGGTGAACCACTCCTCCAGGACAGCTTTCTCTTTATCGGGCAAATCTTCCCACTCCGGTCTACAGTCTTCCGGTTTCAGTGACGAAGAGGCTAGCGCTCGCGAAGCGTCTTTCCCGGCGAATACTATACGACGAAAGAATGTGAATCAGCACTCCATCCAGAACATGTCATTATAATTTATACTTGTACAAAGGCAGGGCACCAAAAACATACCGTGATAATTACCACCCGGTCCGTAAGCCGGGTTCCCGGAGACATTGAAGACCACGCCCTTAATCGCAACGAGGGTAGCGCGGTTGGGATCAGTACCTAATGCCGTATGCCAGATATCAGTCCCCTCAATTCATTTTTCGTAGATAGTATTCATTCTTGTGACAGCTCAAAATACGCAAAGAAGAGAGGCAAGATAAAGAAGAAACAATTGGCGATTTTGCGACTGCAACTGTAAGCTGTTTCACAAACGCCTGTGGTGATTTTACATACCATCCGATTTGCTCAGTTCCTCCACAGAAATTGGATCATATTTTGGCGGATCGAGGTTGGTTGCCTCCTTAGACATAACGCCTTTGGCCGTCATGGTATAGTCGTTTCCCAGTGTCCCCCGACCGAGCTGGTTACAGATAGACACTGCTGTGGTGCTCCGCTGCAGGAAGTGGCTAACTGCAATTATTTATTGGTTTTTTGAAGCTCGGATCCTTATTCTTTGGCGGGGAAGCCCATCACGTGGATGCGGGCCAAGGCCGTTGGCTGTGGACGTTATCGGGAAGAACTTGATGAAGACGTCGACAGGACTACAAACTTCAAGAGGCTATCATTCCTATGCTGATACGGAAGCCGATTCAACTACTTCTATATTTTGTATTCAAATGCGGGTCAATTCGCGTGTTTTCATCCAACACCGTGGTTGATGCCTTGGATCTTATGAAATCACTGCTCGCGAAAGAGAACGCACCTCCCATTCGTCCTTCACTCTCCGCCGAATCTCCCTCCTTGCTTTTGTTTCCTTCTTCCGCGTTGATGGCAACGGCCTGTTCCTAAATACCAAGTCTGGTCGAGTCCTTTGGGTTGGCAATGTCAGCTAACTGACCAGAACCAAGGAATCTAGCGCAGCCTCTTCAATGTTTCTCTAAGTCTTCGGTCCGCGGACTGCTACTTGGGTTGAGCTCAAATATTACATGAAAATTATCTTGACATCGATTCACCAACTTGGTGACTGACTCCTGGCTGTGTAGCAATACCGATATTCTTCCGAGAACACCGATATCAGGATTTGTTCGCCTTCTTCTCGTTGCTTGACGGGCAGACACAGCAACACGAGTGGCAGGCTCATAATTAATTTTGGATTAATATCATCGATTATCTGGCCGTTTTAATTGACATGTCCATGCCAAATTTTCTTGCAGAACAATACGTGATTATCCGAGGCCTAGTAGAGAGAAGGAGAGTGTGAAATTTAGGCAAAAAAACTTCGAGAAGTAATATGGCAAGAGAATGACATAAAAGTCTTCCGTTGGGGAAAGCCCTGAGATGTCCAGACCTCTTTGAGCCATAGAAACATCCTAGCGATTTTGCGGATGCGGGAAGAGGTACAGTTATTCAACTGGGCTTCATTTATAGACTGATGGAAAGGCCGCCCCTGGAAATTAAAGGCGTCTCGCGGATCAATGGTCTGGCAAGGTAAATCTGATGGCCCAGAGTTATCTGGACGTTATCACTGGGTGAATTAGACATGAGGGCTGAGACTTACGCGGAACAGCAGTCGGGTATACTCTGGACAAGGGATGAGTTAACCTCCGTTTGGAACATGACGTTAATGTTGGTCTCAATGACGCCAGGCGAAAATGATACCCCTTGCTGAAACTGACGTCAGTGGCACTGTTAGTTCGAGGATCCTCCCGGGCCAAGGCACATCGGATTCTAGAAACAATTTCACCAACATTATCTCACCAGTTTTATAAACCTGATGATCCAAAGCTGTATAGGAAAGACTGCCATATGGGAGACAGCCGTTAGCTTTATTGCAATTAACCGTAAATTCCCAACTCCTTGCGGAACGTAAAGCGGACAAAATCTTGCTGGTGTTCCAAAAGAGGGAACTAAAAAGGATCGGCGAACCAAGAAGAATAAGCACCAACCACCACTGCCGACCAGTCGGCTGTATGTCCCCATGTAGTTTATAGGCTACCTGCCGTGGCTCAATTGCACATTTCAAAACTCCCTTTTTCTTCTGCCACATCTTGTTTTTTGAACAGGGGTCTGGGGCTGAATTGGGGCCAACAGGAGACATAAGACGTGACGATATTTTGAGGGCCCTGCAAAAGAGAAATATGTAAATGCCGTATATCTGCGTATCATGACGCCATATTCACTACGGCGGGAGCTCTACGGGTCGTCTTTCCCCGAAAAGGAAAAAGCTGTGGATCTTGGGGATGTTTGCCAATTTGGCCGAGCCTGATGGCCAATCCCCTCCGCCTGGGATCGGTGGGGCCGATGTTAATTCAACGGTCCCGCCCGTTGACCAAGGTTGTCGGCATTCGCGCTTTTGGTTTTTGGTTTTGTTTTTAATTTGAGGGGGGAACGTGAAAATTATTTATATCACCCCTTCCTCATGCACTCTAACTCGGCTTCTTGTCAGTTTCGATCCTTCTGACAGGCACGGACTATGCTCAAAACTTGCAGCATATGTAACATTGGAAAGGAATTGCATCTTGTTCTTCTCCATTCCAACGCTCCCCTGCTATCTCCCTCGCCACGGCATAATTTCACCTTTCGTCCTCTCCCATCTCTGGCCAGTTGTCGGTAGTACAACAATATGGGCCTTCTAGAAAACACTGGGCAACCTGTAGCCAGAGGTGCGGATCTCGAAAAGTTCCCATCCGGCGAACTGCGCAAACGGCCCTACACCGACTTCCTCCAGCCTGTGTCCCCTGTCGCAAACGATGACTCTTCCGTCGATGAGGGCCAGTCCATGAAGCCCTCCAAGGACCAAACCCACCGCAAACTAAAGCCGCGGCATATCCAGCTGATTGGAATTGGAGGCACAATTGGAACGGCACTGTATGTACAGATTGGAAAGGGGTTGATGAATGGTGGTCCAGGAAGTTTGTTCCTTTCCTTCACGTTGTGGTAAGCCTACCCATTTTCTCCTGCTCTTTAATCATAGGTCCCCTTTAAAATGCCGCCTCCACTCTTCTTTTCTTTTTTATTGTTGGTGTATCGGATACCTTCTCAGAAAAGGCAAGGGAAACAAACCAGGAGAGAGGAGCATTGGAGTAAAAGGTAGGTTTCTTCGTTGGCGTGGGAGGTTTAGTATTGAAATCCAGGACGAGAGACGGGAAATCAGGGTATATAAAATGACACCCAGGTGGCGAGAAAGCTTGCCTCCAATATATCTCTGCAGCGAAAAGGGAATCATAGGTCGTCTTAGGGGGGAAAGAAATCAAACGAAAAGACACACGAAATTTCTCGTGCATTTATTATGTTCTCCGTTATTAACGATATCTCATAAATATGAGTCTCATGGCCATTTCTACAATAGGTCTTCCTTCATCCTAGCGGTCACCATCTGTAAGATCTTCCCGGAAGCTTTTGATGCCCTTCAACCTATGCGTTCTACCTACGTGATGTTCCCATTCCCTCCTGGCACGGAAATAAAGGCTTTTGTACTGTACCTGCCTAGAGCACTTTCTATTATGCCATACATGCCTGAAAAGTGGATGCCCCAATGCGACATTTTATGACTGCCAACATCCTCACGAGGATCACAGTTGATATGGTTCGGATCGCTATTCGTCGCCTTCCTCCATGCTAATTTTCATTTTTTGGTCTCTTATTCATTTCATATATTTATAATATACGTATTTTCGCAAGAGTTTAGCTAAAGTTTAGGGAACCATTTTCACTGCTCCCGCTGGTTGACAATTAAAGCCATGGCAGAGATGGTCACTTATCTTCCTATATCTTCGCCGTTTATTCGGTTCGCTGGTCGCTATGTCGATGAAGCTTTCGGTGTGGCTACTGGGTACAACTTCTTTGTATTCGAGGCAGCAATGGTTCCTTTTGAGATCGTGGCATGCAATGTCATTATCCATTACTGGAGCGATATCGTCCCCGCCGCTGGTATAATTACCATTGTGCTAGTGTTATACGGGTATGCCTTCCCACGTGCGACATATCCCTCGAGTTGATTGTTGTCATGGAAGAATTCTGGGGTCAATTGAATGCTAAGTATTCTAATAGTGCCATCAATTTTTTCGCTGTAAAGTGGTATGGCGAGTCTGAATTCTGGTTAGCGTTGGGTAAAGCACTTCTCATCATCGGCCTCATCATCTTTACTTTCGTCACCATGCTTGGGGGGAATCCACTTGGTGATCGATATGGATTCCGACACTGGCGCGAGCCTGGTGCTTTTGCTGAGTTCTATAAAACCGGTGACCTCGGCCGGTTCTTGGGCTTCCTGCAATGTATGATTCTGGTAAGTTAGTCCTTATGTCCCCTTCGATGTAAGAGCTCTGAATCCGTTAACTTATCATCCCATCCACAAGGCCTCGTTCACAATTGCCGGGCCAGATTATGTATCAATGGCTGCTGGAGAAACAGAAAATCCACGTTATGTCTTGCCTCGCGCTTTCAACGCCGTCTTCTATAGGTTGACCGCATTTTTCGTCTTGGGCAGCTTATGCGTGGGAATCGTTGTTCCCTACGACGACAAGACGATGTCAGACGCCTTCAAAAAAGGGTTGCCAGGAGCTGCTGCGTCCCCCTATGTTGTTGCCATGGACAGGTTGCAGATCAAAGTTCTCCCACATATCGTCAACGCAATGGTGCTCGGGGCGGCATTCAGTGCAGGAAACTCCTACGTCTACTGCGCCAGCCGCAGCTTGTTCGGTCTCGCCCTTGAAGGCAAAGCACCTCGCATCTTCACCAAATGCAACAGGAATGGTGTGCCAATCTACTGCGTCTCACTTGTCTTGCTTATCGCGCTCCTATCCTTCCTGCAGGTCTCTAACGAAGCATCCGTCGTGTTGGATTGGTTCGTATCCCTCGTAACTGCTTCGCAGCTTTCTCAATTTCTTCGCAGTAGCTTTTACGTACACTCGATTCATGAAGGCTCTTGACGCGCAGGGTGTTTCGCGCGACTCGCTTCCGTACAAGGGTTTCTTCCAACCCTATCTTGCATATTATGCTTGCGCAGGGACGTTGATCATGGCTTTTGTAGGGGGATATACAGTATTTTTACCTGGGAACTGGAGTATACCAACGTTCCTATTCTCCTATACGATGATTGGGTTATGTCCAGTGCTGTTTTTTGGGTGGAAACTGTCCAAGAAAACTAAATGGTTTAAGCCCCATGAAGTGGACTTATTCAAGGATGTTGCGGAGATTGATGAGTATACGAAAAACTTCGTTCCGGCTCCACCGAGGTATGGATTTTTTTTTTTTTTTTTTTTTTTTTGGGGGGGGGGGGGGGGAGAATCCCCTCTCCCTTGATTTTATCCATGTTCTTTTGGAGATGAGTTAGGACGGTAAGCGATACCTCGGCATAACCTTGGAAGTTGACAATCTCTTTGAAAACAGAAATCGGATCGACAAGTATTTCAACAAGCTATTCGAGTAGCACATCGTTGTATGCCATTCTATCCAAGACTCAGTCCCTCATCGGTCTCTTTTCTCAGTTTCTGTTATTGACGCAAACGAGGGTCTGTTGCGGCGCGCTGGAGCAACGTATCATATTCTTTGGTTCGAATGGTTACCCACAGGTATAAGCATTTCTAAATGCAGTCGATATCACCATTAATTTCCTATATAATGAATCAAGAACGCTCTCTGGGTCTATTTGGATGGATGAATTTGCGCCATTGAAATATGCTTATGTCGAAAATTGATGCTTTTTAATTTTTTTTTTTTTCATTTTTTCCCACTTCCTTCTCTGGGATTTTGAGAATCCCTTGGGTGGTAGATATCCAGTGTTCCGTTAGATAGTTAGATACTTACGATGAATAAACATTATATTACGGCTCTGTTTCGAATTCCGGATTGCCCACAAGATTTCGTAGATGTTATTTATATATCACTCATCAAATCCGTTGGTACGCTAGTGTGACTAACCGCGGCACAAATGTGACAAGAGAACCGTTGTCATCGAAACCACCAGTTGACCTATTGTATTTCGTTAAAAATTAGCAAACTGGGGAGTCCATAAAGCGAAGTTATCTCATGCTAAACCCTGGATATGATGGCCTATAAAAGACCATACTGGACAGGGAGGAGCAGCTTACCGAAGCCGTGATGCCCTCACCCACCCCCTTAATGCTATGCCACCAGCCCATCGGTATAAACATCCCATCTCCGGCATTCAGATGGGCTTCGAATCCTTCCCTGATTTCCGTAGTGTCTTCTGTACCTTCTCCATCAACCCCGATTTCCATAGTATCCCCCCACACCTCTCTTTCCAGCAATCTATTTTCCAACCCTTGCATCATCTCCTCTCCACGGAATTTAGCGTCGCCCACGGTTATCCCACCTATATTTGCACTTGCGTCCTTCTTCTGTCGTCGTAAAATTGACTCCCTAACCCGCTCAAAAACCACTAATCCGGTGTCTGGGGCATACAGTCGGACGATTTTACGTCCAGCCATCTGGACAAACAGATTCGGATTAGGGTCTCGGTGGAGGGGTGTGTACGTGGGTGGAACGCCCATCCATATATTTGTATCATATATATCTCCCTTGCCTGCCTCTAAGACGAGGGGGGGTGTTGGAAGGTCTAGACGAAGTTCAGGGGGAAGGTCGAGGAGTTGGCATTGGGCGAGGTATAATTTCGCATTGGGAGGAATCCCCTCCGCATTGTGCTGAGTCGTTTTGGTCCATTTGAGGAATAGGCCCAAGGGTGTATGTAGACGTTGGAAATGAAGAGTCTCTGGTGAGTCAGGGCGCTGAGAGAAAGTGAATTCGACCGGAACGGAGCAATCACTATGTTTCTCTAAATAGGCGTAATTGAGACTGGACGGGGCCAGAGTATTGGAGTTGTCAGCGGAGGAGGAGAAGGCGGTGGTGGTGGGCGTTGAGAACCATTTTTGGATGGCTGGGAGCTGGCTGAAATGGCCTCGAGGGAAGATTACAGGGAGCTCTGGCTGAAAAGACGATGCTTGGAATGTAGAAATATCTTGGCTGGACAGCGTCCCGAGTGGTTTGAAACGTGATGTCGATTTTATCTTGCTCCTGGGTCTGAGAGTTAAAGATGGCAAGGTCTTCTTCATCTTTCTGTAATGTATGATGGACCGAGGTGATTCCCATTCCCGAACATGGTGATTGGCGGCTTTAAATACCCCACAAACTTTCCCGCAAGTCGCAACTCCAAAGTCGCAACTCCCACTATGCCATGCGACGGGCCCAGCCCCAGCCCCAACATCCGCCGACTCGAGCTCGATGAATACCGCACGGCCTTGTTCCTCTGGCATTTAGTCTCGTAAATGTCATTTTGGCAGGCTGCTGCTCTTCAAGCGTAATGACATCCACCTCCCCAGTCGGTGATGGTGCTCTCAATAGGCCCCTTGCAGCCAGCCCCAGCAGCAATGATGGCGGCACTGATGCTGCCAAACGAAAAGCGGAACCCAGCAGTGGAACTCACACGCGAACAAAGCGGAATCGCTACATCTCGCTGGCCTGGTCAGTTAACTCGTTCAGACAATGTCATGCGATGCACGTAGTTGGTCTGCGTAATTCTAACACATTAGTAACAAAGCAATGAATGCAAGCGTCGGAAAATCAAGTGCAATGGCCAGATGCCCTGCCAACGTTGCGGGCACCTCTCTCTAGAATGTAAGTCCTCCTGCGTTGGTCCTTGGAGGGACCTAGGTGTTTTAACTATGGACCAGAAGCTCATATTTAATGCCATAGGTCTTTATGCTCCTAACTGCTGCACTCGTAGCATCAAAGATTCAGAGTAAGTACTAGCAGTCTTGCGGATTTCTGGTTCTCCTTGATATACCTAGGTAGATGATTATATTTAGCTGGTACATTTGCTGTATCTTCTGACAGCGACCCTCTCTAATGCGGTTCATCTTGCTCTAGGGAATTTCGTTCTATGAAAGAGCACATCGAGACGTTACAAGACCAAGTGAATACCTTGTTTGCTAATATAAACGAGCTGTATCACAAAACCGACTCACCAGGCATTGAATCCAGTGTCTACGGCCGAGAAGGTTCACAGTCCCTCTCCCAGCCAAGTTATGATTCTCAAACCCATATTTCATCACGGGCTCGCTCGAATCATCCTCGTTTTCATGGGCCCACGAGCACTACCTTCAATCTCCATGTTGCCAAATCAAGCCTACAAACAATGGGAATTACTCCGGCTGAGGATGGAAACCTTGAATTGTTTGCTGGCCAGGATGCAACGCCTTCTGGTTCCCCTCCCCTGCGATCACAGCAACTGCCGCATATCCCACAGCTTCTGGCCCATCCGAATAAAGATCCATTATGGATAATAAAACGTGAGGAAGCAATTAGGTTATGTCGGGTTTACGAACGCGAAATCGGAATCATGTATCCATTCCTCGATATTGAGAGTTTAATTACGCACACTAACCTTCTCTTCACGTTCCTTGAGGCCGCGTCTCGGACAGGCTTTACGAAACGCTTTAAACCTGGCCCTGATATGCTGACTGATGATGACACCTGTATCCTTAAGATGGTCCTTGCAATTACGTTAATTGTTGAAGGCAATGGCCAAAGCGCCCTAGGGACCCGGTTATTTACTACGACAAAACAGAGGATTGAGATGAAACTGTGGGAGCCAACTGATATTCGAACGATCCAATCATTCACTCTCATGGTATGCTGATCATTGCGATATGGCTTGATATTCTGTCTAAGTAGCGTTGCTGTTAGCTTACCAGGTTCTAGGCCACATACTATTTTCATACCGATGAAGACCCTATGTCTTATCGATTTATCGGCCATGCCACCCGCATGTGTCTTGAGCTTGGTTTACATCGAAGAGATGGTATGTTTAAAGTTTGTCCAAACGAAGCGGACGTACCTTCTGTCGTTAAGTTGTTTTGGTCTGTCTACAGCTTGGATCGACGTTGGAGTTTTGGAATGGGATTGCCATTCATCATTCAGGATGAGGATATAGATGCATCTTTACCGGAACCCGTGAGCTCCCTTATCCCTAAATTTTACATGGCGAAGATAATCTTTTAACTGACTGGCGTTGCGAAACTCTAAACAGGATGATTCTGTACCATATCTGAAAGCCATGATATCATATTGTCGTATTAGCTCTAAAATTTGGTACTCTGGTTTGGGCTCTGCAGGCACTACGACTGCCAAAAGAGAAGTAGTTGGCTTCCTGGACTATCAGGTCCTCCAATGGCTGAAGAGCGTCCCAGAGAATCTGAGGTTCTATTCGCCCGGGCATCCTGAAAATGGTGACGGCGTCGATAGAGAGACCCGACGTTTGCGCGTACTGCTATACATTCGCGGCAATCACATGAGAATACTAATTTACCGTCCTGTGCTACATTCCACTAGTGGCATCCTTGAGAACATGGGATACGCCCAAACTGTCGTCGATATTGCCAAAGACACCATTCGCGTCCTCACTCACCTCAACCAAACATCCGACATCTATCGTTCTCATCAGATGCTGTTCAACTACTTCCTCGTCTCTGCGCTGGCAGTCCTTCTCCTCGCTGTGTCCCATGCTCCTGCCGATTTCAATCGCCAGGTACGGGACGAGTTCTACATGGCCCTGGACCTAGTAAAAGGGTTCAGTGCCAAATCATACGTTTCGAAGCGCTTGTGGAAAATGATCAAAGGGTTACGGGGAATTGGAGAGAAGCTTGGCCTACTCAATCGCCCCGCCCCGCCCGATCAGAATGACCCTCATTCAACAGCAGCTGTTGCAATGGCCGGACTAGCCGGCCATCCCATGGACGTGATGACTGCCAGTGTGTATCGCGACATCAACCCACGCGGTGAGCTGGGCGACGGCCCGCAGGATGGCATTCAGATGAGTAATGAGCTGACGAATTTGTTTGAGGCTGTCGGGGGTTACGGCGGTTTTTTGACTCAGACTAGCGGCGGCGGAGACGGAGATGCGATTAATGGCGAAATTGTCAATGCTCAGGGGGATCTGCCCAACGCAGAGGGCTTGGGCTCTATTCTCGGGAATGAAGCAGAGTTTGCCCGAATCATGCGAGATGTATTCTAGATGACGGATGGGCTCCGCCATTTTTGTTTTAACAGAAGTCTCCTTATTAATGGCTATTATATTTATGGGCGGGTATGGGTCTTTTTACATGTACATACTATAACTATATCGACTGGCTTATGCATGATTTCCCTTCAAAAAGACTTCCAAGGCACCTTCATGACTAAGCAGTTTATTTTTACCGTGTTAGTGGGTACTACGGCTACCCTATCACGTGCCCCCCAACCATATTGTGTTGCTCTTGTGTAGTTAGTTTAGTAATAACAACAATGTTATCCTCCCACAGGTTATGGCTCTAAGAAGCAACAGAACTGCTGAAATAATGTGCTAATTATATCTTCATGCATTGTTAAAAGTGTGTCTAGATGATTTAAATCTCATGGTTAATTTGAGATTGGGTGGAACATCTGATTTGATGAAAGAATATATAACAATATATAGAAGAAGAAATTCTCAAATGTCAGAGATACAACAGAAATTGAATGCAGATTTGTCAATATCTGTAATTAATTGATAGATGATTGTCTCAGAGGCATTTGAATCTGATGATACAATTGAAGAAAAATTAAATAAGTTGAATATTGAATATGAAGATCTGATTAATGACAATGAGATGTCAGACAATGTGAATGACTCTAATAGTTATGATGTAAATAAAGAAACTTGTATAAGACTGAAAATTGTAAAACTTCAATATAAAGTTCAACAAATGAGAACTGGTAGAGATCAGATCTCTATAAATAATGAGAATATTAGTATAGATCTAGCAAATTATCTGCAGAGAAAAAACAGAATATCTGCTATTATAAAAATTCTTAATAAGTTCTATAATCAAATAAAATTTATAAGAAAGTCAGTTGTACTGACTGAATCTGAAAACTATCTTATATAAAAAGAAGAGATTCTTCTTGCAGTGAGGCAATCTGAAACTGATGATATTCTTGATGAGAGACAAGTAGACTTTGATGATAATATCAGCACTGATATGCAGTGATTTTGAAAAGAATATAATATATAATTATACAACTATATATGATTATCAGTTGTCTCACAGACAAAATCTTATTTTACTATACTCAAAAATTCTGAATTATCTGTGTATTCTCTATAATTTATTATAGAGAACAACTTTGCTGAAAGATCTGCTATTCTAAGAATGAGGTTATATAAGAAGATAATAAATATAACAGTCAAATCAAAAGGTTCTGATTGTGTGTTTATTGAATGCTTGATTATTATAAGAACTGACTATATCTGTCTAGAATATAGAGTTGAAGATTTCATATTTTTTGACTGCTTACTTACTGAGATAAGTAAAGAATGAATCTCATTTATTAAAAACTGTATGAATCAAATTAAGAAAGATAATGCTCAACTCTTAGAGAATGATTTCATGATTTTTTACTATAATATTCTTTTGTGGTTTCTGACAACTGATGAATTCAATACTGATATATCTAGAAATTCTATCAATAATGCACAGAACTTCAAATCTGACAAAAAGAATAAAAAAAATAAGAATAAGAATAAGAATAAGAAAAAGAACTTCAAATCTGATAAAAAGAACAGTGAGATATGAATCTGCTTCCACTGTCAGAGAACTGATTATATTCAGAATGATTGCTGAAAGAAATACTCAGAGAAATGTCTCTTCAATTTCAATAATATCAATAAAAATAAGAATAAAAGTAATATCAATGCTGACACTGCTTCTATTCACAATGTTGTGGAATAAATATTCTGTATAATAGATAAAATCTATATAAGTGATCAAAGACTCATAAAAGATATCTGAATTCTAGACTTGAATATGAGTGCTTATACAATATCTTATAAGAATCTTGTTGTAGTAAAGTCTTAAAAATATACTGTCAAACTGAAAATGATAGATGAAATGATAGTATCTGCTGCAGTGATAGATGATATAAAGATCACTGTTGAAAAGGTGAATATACTATTAACTAATATCTGTTATGTTTTGAAATTAGAAGTGAATCTGATGAGTATAAATAAACTTGTATATCAGAGCTTTATCTTTAAGCAATTGATATATAATAGCAACTATACTGTGCTCTTTATATTCTCAGATAGAATGTTCTTCTTCATAATAAAGTTGAATGATAATAATATCTATAAGATGAAGAAGTCATCTATCTATAAGAATCTAATCTGATTTATCTTGTTCAATAATAAATTTGAATCTGTCAATATGATGATGAATGACAGAACTACTGATGTGATACTGACACTGCTCAATAATAATATAAAGATTATAGAACTAACAATAACACAGTAATATCAAAAATTAGAGTATCTGAATTCTGCAGATATCTCTAGAATGGCAGCAGATTCATATCTAGAAATAAGAATCATTGATCAATGAGTTTTACTGTTTTGCAAAGTCTGTATTCAAGTAAAGATGATATATTCAATCTTTGCACTCATGACACAAGCTATTAAGCTGATAATGAGATTCTTCATTAATTTAGCAGAGAATGGAAAAATGCTTTTTGATAGAAATGATCTACTTACTAGAGAGAGTGCTAGCTACTGATTAGAAATTACAGATAATACTATCTGATACTGATAAGTAATTTTAATAATATTAAAAAATAAGTCTACTGTAAGATTAATGAACTTTATTATGAATATTGAGACAACTATACAATGCTGTGTAGAGACTCTATACTGAGATAATAATAGTGAGTTTAAAGATCAAGATCTGAAGATCTACTGTCAGAGTAGAGAGATTGTATATAAAACAATTATATCTGATATACTGCAATTGAATGACTCAGCTGAATGTGTCAATAGAATTATTGCAGAAAAGATGAGAAGTCTTCTGTTTAATAGTAAACTAGCTAGAGAATTATAAAATGAGACAATGCAAGTTATAATTATAATAATCAACATATCTTCAATATCAATTAAGATTTATAAATGCAAGCAAGAAGCTCCACTTATACTATTTGAAACTTGAATTAAGATGCAATCTACTACTCACTGAATACACAGATGAGAGTATAAAATCTACAAAAAGAATCTAAAAATTATTAATAAGCTTATAAATAGAACTGATGATAAGAAATAGCAGCTAGTTGACTATCAAGAACTGTATCAATATTATATTTGAGACTCAATTGACTGTTGTCTTGAGATTGTATGAGATATTGTATTCAATAAAGAATTAGACAAGAGTGAAATCATGTCTGTGAATGTGATGAAGCAATTAAATAAACTATCAGAAGAATTAAATGTATTAGATACTGCTAATAAATAATAATACTGTCTTCTATAATATCTAGCAAAGATGAAATCTGATGTTTTGAAGATAATTGTCAATGATAATCTTGAAGATATGATAGATCTGATATATTTTTTAGATAATAAGACAGAATTTATCAAAAATAATAAATCAGATAACTCTATCAATGAGAATGATTCTATTCTGAGTACTCTAAATGACTGCTCAATCACTGTGATGAAAGTTAAAAGAAGCTCTGATTGAAACTACTGATATAAGACAATGAGAAAGAAGATTAGTATATTTGAGAATAAGCAGATATATATTGTTGTTGAGAAGATCTCAGGCATGAATATTTTAACTGATAAGTGAGTATTTGATTGTAAATTAAATAATAAAAGAGAAATAGTCTGATTTAGAGCTTACTGAGTGATTAGAGAATTTCTTCAATAATAAAAGATTCACTATACAAAGTTGTATGCTGTGATAGTATCAGAATTCATATTCTGAAGCTTATTTACAATTTCAGTAGTAAAGAAGTGGAAAGTCAAGGTGATTGACTATATCTCTGCATTCTTAAATAGCATACTGCTGCAGTATGAGATGATATATATACAACTGCTGACAGAGATAAAATATAATAGAAGAGATCTAATTGATCTGCTCTGTCAGAGTCTTTACAGAATGAAGTAAGCAGTAAAAATATAGTATTTTCTTGTAATAAAGTATCTCACCACTCTAGAATTCAAAATCTTGCTGTATAATAGTGGATTTTTATATCACTCTGTTTATAAAATCTATCTGATATTGTATATTGATAACTGTTGAGTAATGAGATCTCAAAAGCAGCAATTGAACTGAATATTGACAGAGATTGTAAAAAGATTTGAGATAAAGAATATTGAAGAGAACAAGCTGTATTTTGAAATAGAAGTCAAATATTAAATGAATAATGATCTGATGATTATTCAGAACTGTTATATTGATGAGATTCTTAAGGATTTTGAAATAAACAAGATCAACTCAGTCAGCACATCAATAATAACTAATATATATCTAGAATTCTCATCAGATAAAGATAGTGGACTAGATGATAATTTTACTGCTACTAGATATTATTAAAATTTAGAATTACTGCAGTATTTGATATCAAGCAGCAGATCAGATCTGACATTTATAATCAACTATTTTTTATATTTCAACTCATATCTACACAAGAAATATTGAGTAGCATTGAAGTATATTCTATATTATATTAAGAAGATGAAGGATTATGAAATTCTGTATAAGAAGAAGACAATTAAGAGACTCAGTTCTATAATCTACAGTGACTCAGATTGAGCAGAGACAGATCTTCAATACAAATCAATTACAAATTATATTATTCTACTAAATAAATCATCAATCTTATAATGATTGCAATGATAGATTTCAGTTGCAAAATTGATTACTGAAATGAAGTATATTATAATGAGTGAGACAGTGTGTAAAGTAATCTGACTGAATGATATATTATATAATACTGAATTGATAGAGAGAAAAGCAAAAATATGCTCACATCTGTGAGTTGACAATAAGAGTGTAATAGATCTAGCAAAAGAGGAGTTCTTGATAAGAAGATTGTATTATATTGAGATCAGATATCATATTCTTTGCAACTTGATTGAAAAAGGTGAAATCATGATGAAATATATTGGTTCTACAGTCAATATAGCTGACAGCCTAACCAAGCCACTGACAAGACCTGTCTTTGAAGAATTTGTTAAGAGGATTGACTTAATGAAAATTGGCAAGAAGGAGTTAAGATAATGATGATATGGGAGATTACAGATTTTGCTTGTGTTATTCTGTTTTTTATGATTATTGCTGTACAGATGTCTATTCCCAAAGAGGAAATCAGGGTCTGATTCTTGTAATTAATTATTATTGTGTTTTTAGAAGAATTGAGTGAGAGGGGGCCCCCGGGCGGCAGAGCTTTGGCAGCGCTGTAGCATGGGGGGGTGTTAGTGGGTACTACAGCTACCCTATCACGTGCCCCCCAACCATATTGTGTTGCTCTCGCGTAGTTAGTTTAGTAATAACAACAACGTTATCCTCCCACATACCGATCTATCATGTGACTATCCCGCGACCACCTTGAGCATCATTTTCTGGATATCGCAGCGAAGAGAGAAAAACGAGACAGCAGAGGAAATACAGACAAAAGGACTAGGCCCAAGAACCCGTGTAGTTTATCATTGGTATTTCAGGTACGCCCTTGCCCTGTAACCCATCTTGCCTAGCAGTCCAACATAATTTGTTGTTGGGCCTGTCTGCATGACCTAACTCCAGGCTGCTTGAGCAGGAACCGACTTCCTCTCGCACACAAACACATATGCTTGTCACAACACGGAATCCTTGTTTCAACCTCCGTTTCCACCTCCTAGAACATCCTTTATTATTTCTCCCTTCGACACTCCTTTTCGGCTGAGCCCTCGATCTCGACAGAACCGTGCCGGCGGGCGTCAAACAATTCCACTTGCTCAAGAGCCTTGTCCCGCACCCCATCTGGGTACCCCTCAATTTTGATAATCGGCAAAAGAACAAAAATTCGCACACTTTCGGCAGCTCGCGGAAAGCGGACCGATTGAAAGGCCTCGATATATCGGTGGACGTCGCAGAGGATATCGTTACCAATAAATCCATTGAGAATCTTGACGCCTCCAGTTTACGGCATGGTCCTGCCCTCTTGAGCGAGGTCGAAGCCCACCAATCTTCCCCTTCCGCCATTTTCCACCCACGATACAATATCCTCCAAGGTCCCACGCCCCCAATTTTATTACGAGAGGATCACACGAGCCCAGGGACATCTTGTCGGAAATCACGCCCTCATCATTAGCTGAAGGCCTGGACCGGCTGGACCTTAGCCAAATTTCAACATCCACGCCGTCCAGATCAACCTTCAGCTCCTTCACCATGTCGGACACTGACGGGTCCCCGGATACCTGGATTTCGTCATATTGCTCACTGATGGGCCATGAGTTTTTTGCAGAAGTGTCGGAAGACTTCATCGAAGATGATTTCAATTTGACCGGCTTGCAGTCCCAGGTTCCCTGGTACAAAGAGGCGCTTGAATTGATCCTAGATGTGGAGCCTGAGGAGGATGAGGAGGACGAAGATGACGATGAGGAGGACGAGGACGAGGACGCTTTACTGGCAGGTGATAGGCTTCCCGGGTATAGGAGAACGGGCGAGCGAAAACATTCGCGTGTCGCCAGTGATCTGAGTGTGATTGAGAGCTCGGCAGAGTTGCTGTACGGATTGATTCACCAACGGTATATTACCTCGAGGCCTGGCATTCAACAGATGTTAGAGAAGTACGAGCTGCAGCATTTTGGCGTGTGCCCTCGAGTTTACTGCAATGGATGCAAGGTACTCCCCGTCGGAATTACGGATACACCGGGTGTTGATACTGTCAAACTCTTCTGTCCAAGTTGTCAGGACATATACACACCACCGAACAGCAGATTTCAGTCAGTCGATGGCGCATTCTTCGGCACCACATTCGGCTGTCTCTTTTTGATGACATTCCCGGAGCTCGATGTCGCAGGTCAAAACGAAAGCTTGTCCCCTACCCAGACCAACAATTCAACAACAACAAACACCCGGCATACACCGTCCATAACCTCCCCAACAACACCCTCCATCTCCCAAGCCCTTTCACCCCAGCCCGCCCAGATAAACGGCATGATGATATCAAACCTTTGCCCAGGCCTGGGGCAAGGCAAGATATATGAGCCACGGATTTACGGCTTTAAAGTGGCTGAGCGTGCCAAGTCCGGGCCGCGCATGAAATGGCTTCGGATGAAACCGGACGATATTAACGAACTGGACGAGAGCGCTATATACCACGCATCGCACCCCGAAGGAGAGGCCGACGAGGATGCGGATATGGAGATGGGAGCGACGGAATCACCGCAACAGGCAGCTATCAACCGGAGGAAAAAAGCCCCCATACGGAGACGGAGACACCAAAACCCGGATTTAATGAATTCTAATGGTATGGGCCAAGGTCTATGAGGCCCCGAGTCCGAAACGTTTTGTGTGTGTGTGTGCCTTTGTTCTGTTTTTGTTTGAATCTCGGTTTTGCGGTTTTGCGGTTTTGCGGTTTTTGTGACCGGTATATATGTTGCCTTTTTTTTCTCTTTTTTTCTTCTTCTCCCCCGCCCTCCCCCCCTCCTCCTTTCTATTTGATGGAAACGGATGATGCCTCTACGTGTCTCAGTCCTTCTTGTATTCACTTTCTATTTTCTTTTCTTCTTTCCTTGGGTGTGTCTTTCTTGCTCGTAATGATCTATTCCCTCTGATGGGGTTTTCAATTTTTTTTTTTTTTTTACCTCCCTTGCTGTCTTAATTTCTACTCATTCTCAAGATAATGTATCTATGTAGTAACCGTTTCCAGTATGTGTCTTTTGTCCCTCTTGCCCAGCTTTCTTTTCAATCCGTCCTGACACCTAGAACCAGACATGCACCCACTAATGACAACCGTGTTAATTCTCACCTTCCCCTTTGCATATATATTTGAAGGCTTTCTACATGTCATTTTTTTCTTTTCATTTTTTTTTTCTTTCAGGTTTCTTTTCATTCAAGTTTTGAGAAAATTTTTCTTTTCCTCCTCTTTCAACCAGCATCGGAACATATAACTTGTTTGTAGTTCTGTTTTATTATTGGAGGTACAAAGAGAGAGAAAATCGAAAAGGAAAAAACAAGGGCAGTGGTAAGGGTAAGAAATAAAATATCCACTATATATATACATGTGCAGCACTGCACTTTTCCCGTGTTTCCGTTCTCCAGGTGCCTACTCAGTTCGTAGTTGCACTTTCTCCGCAGCTGCCAGGCCCGGACGGACAGCTTTTATTGCAGATCAAGAATAGAAATAAGCTTGATGTTAAACTGGATTTCGTTCCCCAACTAATTCTGGAGAAGAAAGTGGCGGAAGGTGGAAAGAGGGGCGTTTTCCTCATCGAGGGGAGGCAGGTCAGTATCTTCTTTCAGTCGGAAGAAAAGGGGTTAGGGGTCAAGATCGATCATCTCTGCCCCCGATGATTCACCCTAACGTTGCGCAACCCCGTTCCTTCTCCGAGCAAGCGCAAATGTTCTATATGGGTGGCCTATGTAGATTGATGATGTATCGTGTTTGTCTGGACTAATCTGAAATCCTAATTAGTAATAGACTAAAGATGTTTTTCTTTCTTAAACGACCTGCCTAGCATTAATCAGTCGGCATGGAGTTGCCCGAAGTTCAGTTGACGTCCCATGTCTAATCAATTTGGCAGCAAGATCAAATTGACAAAGGGAGGGATGTATTACTAGTATCTGAGGAGCAAATCGTGCGATGACATATCTGCACCACCACCACGGTGTTCGGCCCTAGACAAGGCCGCACGCCCCACTCAAATCTCACTCAGCCTTGACAGGCGGGCCCGAACTGAACATCACCCGAGTGTTGAAGAACAAGCTACGAGGAGATTTTGAATTCAAGTTGATATTCCAGCAACGCTGTCACTAGGCGATAAAATCCGACGCTTGCTTGAGCAGGGCAGGGAAAGAAGGTTTTGACTCCGAATTGCATCACGGATGTTTTCAATGCTTCTGGAATTGACTAATCGTGCAGCTAATTTTCGGTCTCTCGCCCTCTCGCACGTAACTTCATGCCCGGTGCGCGCCCGACCAGCCATCGACACAACCAATAACGTCCGGAGTCACCATCATGACTAGAAATTGGATAACTATGTTGATCAACCTCAAGTATGTCCGTGGCAACAAGAATAACGGAAGTCTCATTAAGTGCTTCCTTCGCCCGTATGGCGCGATCAACCACATGGTATGTAACATCGCCCAATATCGAGATACTAGCGAAGCCTTGAAAAGGATGTATTAGAAAAAGTTTCCGAATGATTGACAAGATCCATGAAGGGGTTTTGAGAAGGGTTTTTAAATAGAGGAGTATATTATATCACGAGAGAGGCTTCGAGGTTTCTCTATAAAATTTCACCATACAAGGGGAACGACTCTGGAGAAGGGTAGGTCAGTGCACTGCCGATGCTGGGATATATATCCGAATGCCAGAATCCAAAATCTGATGGTTTCCGGCTTCTTCCTTTTGCGGTATAAACACCGACAGATGACGTTCAGCTCTCCATTCAATTCATTCCATTGTATTCCAGTTCTCCTTCAACTGATGGTCTGTGGAATCAGAATTGGAAGTGGAGATAGACAAAAATTGCTGCATTCTATTGTATTTCCGGAGTCTTTTTTTTTTTTTTCAAAACCGCTATTTTGTATAGAGTATCAAAGAGAGAAAAAAGTGTAATCGAAATAGAACATAGTGACTATAGATAATTGTCGAATCCTACCACCCAAACTACACGCAGCACGGAGTTTAATCTGTCGATGTGGATCGAAGTCCGGAGTACATACAACATTCGACCCCCTGGACAATTGGTCCGTGGCGCTCCGGAGATAGGCCCCATTATATTTAGGGCATCTGGGTGGATCAGCAAGCCGGAAGAGCAATTCAGGATGGAAGTTGGCCACGTTCGAGCAGAGCCAGGAATCAGAACCAAAGGAAGACAATTTAAGGTTCTAGGATATGACAGAACCGTTGTCAGCCATTCCCAATATAAGAGTAAGATGCACCATCATGTAGCTAAGCTGCTGTGCTCGGACACGCAACTGCCAGGAGATGGAGATGTTGAAGCTTGAAGCTGAGAATATCGAGGAGAGTCGAGGTGATTGAACGACTGAGGACGCTAAACCCAGATGGGACGCCCAAGTGTCCAAAAAGAGTAATAATCGAGGGCTTGAACCCGCATTGCCGGATCGGGCAAGGGAGAGTTCACGTTAAACGCTCCAACCGCCAAAACCCATTCTGCAATGAGGCAATGAGAGCAAGAATTGCCGCGTGAGACAGGGCTCGCTTGCTTGGCGTCAGGCTATAAGCTGCCGGCTTTCATGCCACCTGCAGAGGATCTGTTCATTGTTTGGAGGTTGGGGGCGGGATATGCATCTCAGGAGCTGAGGGTGGCATGCTTGTTTGCTGGCTCCAACATGACAAACACGGTAAGCGGATAAACCTCGGTCATGCCAGGGGCTTCGCCGAGGGAAATTGGTGGGTTAAGCGGGCTGGACAACAAGGTCTTCCTTTAGGCATGCTCCCTCTTCCTGCTGGGGAAAGAATCTAGGGTTGTTGGGATATTTCACAAGGAGCGCAGAGCCTCGATCTTAAGGCAGTCTAAAAATACCAGATATACCCAGCAACTGCCCGTCGGCATATTTCGGAGTTACTCACACGCGACCGTCCTGGTTAGGAGTTATTCAGGTTAGTTATAACTGTGTATCTTGAGTGGTTGTCAACCTGAGTCCCTCCCTTATAATTTCAAGTAGCTAACCTCTTCTAGCCGGGAGACATATATGGGCCAGATATATGGCCCTGCCCTTTGCGAAGCACAATGGCTCCAAGCCAAATAGACAAGGCACCTTCCACAAGGACCACCACCTTCCATTTGGTTGGACCATTGCTATTCCTGCTACCCTGTTGTTCTACAAATAGAGTACCGCCAGGCGCCATCCCATTTTTGGCCAAGGAATATGCCTAGCTCAAAGTTTCCAGGGTGGTATCGTAACAATACGGTACTAGTCCAAGCCCTGGCGTTAGACTCGAAACTCAGGTCTGCAAGCCACAAAAATTACCTTATGTGCACGCAAGGCGGCGCTAGAAACGAGCCGTCTAATATCAGTATGCCCGTAGCGTGGGCAGTGGGCACGCGGGACCCCTGCGTTTGCAACGGTTGACCAGGCTGGGGGGTGTCAAGCTGTGGTCCTGAGGGTCGTTTAAGTTACAATTCCGGCCTCTGAGAGTTCGTCATAAATACCCCCTCATGCAGCTGCAGTTGCTCTCCTTCGAATTCCTTCAGTCATATATAGTACACATCTGCATCCTCTTCTCCTTGTCCACCAATCTTTATACCGTTATATATCTACTCCGTATACCCCACTTGATTCCTAGTGATTCCATGTGATACAAATCTACCTCAAATTTAATGTCTACACTTTCAGCCGTCATGAATCGGAGTACGGCCTATCCTTACACTCCTCCCCAACCTGCGCCGCAGTCGAGGTTTAATTCCAGTCACGGAACTAGTAGTGCTTTCAGTGCCAGCGCCCATCCCAACGAAGATTGGACAAAAATATCTGATCTCGCTGAACGACGGCGCATCCAAAATCGAATTGCTCAACGAAACTACCGTAAGCATATTTTCTCGTAACCTGGGTTTTGCATTGAGCTGGCTGACTGACAAACAACAGGCAAGAAGCTAAAGCGACGTCTTGAGGATTTAGAAAGAAGAGCCACTTCTTCCTCTGCGTCTCCAGAGCAATCACACCAGGAGCTGAGTCTCCCAGCCCCAACAAAATCGAAGAAGTCGAAGTCGCCTTCACGGCGGACTGGCGGCATAGAGAAAGCCAAGCCCAAAAATGATCGCAACACGTCGATGAAGATGGTTCTAGCTCAACCACTTTCTTCTTACCAAAGCGAGCAGCGAGCCGCCATGTTCTCTGATCAATCAACGAGGCAGTTGTCTGCTTCTCCGCCGCTTGTCTTCGCTCCCCACTACCAACCGTGTTCTCAAAGCTATAGCTACCCACAATATCCCCAAGAATCGACATACCACCCTGCTCCAATTCCAACCACCGAACTTCCCCCCTCAGGCTACTACATACAGCCACTATCTTCGCACCCGCCTCCTGCTCAGGAACTGGTTTATTCGGAAGATGACCTGCTCACGCCATTCGGCATGAATTATGCTTCGATGGCTGGGTTTGATATCCCCGCCACTTCTGCTCCGTATCAAGATCCAAACTCCCTTGTAAGTCGGAACTAGTGCTCCAGGGTTGGCCTTTTTCCCACCCACACAGGAGAGAAGAAATCAAAGAAACACAAGAAGCTCATACTTTTGGGATTAAAGACGCCTCCCCTTCTACAATCAGACCCATATAGCCGATCGAACTCCGTCTCCCCGGGAAACTCAGTACATTGGTACCCAAAGACTCCGAAGCCCTTGATGGCTTCACCGTTATTGTCCTTTAACTAGACTACGCTCGACGGAGAAGGGAAGGGAAAAAATGATGCATGGGTCTGGATGAGCGGACGCGCAAGCAGATTTTTCTTTGCCAATATTTTAAGTTTTCTATTCTGCTTCTTCTGTTTCTGCTACCACTACCACTACACCTTTGTACTGTACATAGCGGTGAATTCCTTGCTTGGTTTACGGTGTTACATGAGCGTAATGAGCCCACATTGATTTACTGCATCGGTTCCTTTTTTCTTTTCGGCTTCTTTATTTTCCTGCTCTCTTCAATTCCCCACCTTATTCTGAAAACATATGGAACGAATTGGTGGCAAACAAAATAAGGGAGGCTGCGGTGTGGTGGGGAGGTATATTGGGTTGGCAAAGGAACAACAAATGGCGTTATCCACCAAAATGATCAACCAAACCATAGAGCTTAAAATACTTGCTGTTGACCGATTGTATACGGAGAAGACATCTATCTTAATAGAGAGGCTTTTGTTTGTCTGAGCAGAGATGTCCTTAGCGAATGAAATAATAGCCCACACAGTTCATCACTGCCTCTCTTTTTCTTTTTCTTTTTTCTTTTTATTTAACCTTATTATTTTTCGCAATTCGGATCCGGAGTTAAAGCCCTCCGTCCGCTAAGTTCAGCGCAACCCGTGGGATGCGACCAACAGATTATCTTCAGACACGCCGTATATTACCGGTCCGCAATCGAATAATGATTGTCCTTTGGACGATGAGATCATTGAGTTTGCCTTGCAATAAACTTCATCTGCTTTTTGAGTTATTTCGGACTGTGCCCATTTGCTACGGATACGTAAATCATGCATTCTTCTCCGGACTTAAATCCAGGCTCGAAGGATGCACTTTTTTTGCTTTGGAATCTTGCCCCTTGCCACTATTCTTCCCCGCATATACTGCGAATCGCATGTCACCCTGCGACGACAACAGAACAATGATCGAACACTCGAGATAGCCACTCCTCGGACGTTCATTTCGCTAGCCGGAAGTTTATTATGACGATTGTTATCTATTTTACTCCATACTGATTGATCAAACTCTCGGAGATATCGTATATTAGAAAACACAAGCACATCAAATGCGGGTAGTGTCGCGCTACGCGCAAAGCGAAGCCTCTCTTGGTTAATCCCGTGGACTTTTGGTTTTTGTCCACTACTGCTTCACCAATGGTTCAGGGATGATGTGACGAGACGCTCAGCTTCGATGACTAGACCGTGTTGAGAAATAATAGCGAACGCCCTCAAAAACCGTCTCGTAATGATCCCCCTTGTTATTGGAAGGGAAAGCGATCACCATCCACGCCACGCCAAAGCATCGAAGGAACGAAGAAGATTCTTGTTGGGTTTCTCCCTCTCCATGATTTTGCTGCAGGAGCAGCAACCTGTTTGTTGTCTGCGGGGGCGACAAGCTAATATAGAGTTATTACTGCGTATACCCCATGTAGTTATTAGATTTGCTCTCATCGTTCTGGATATGGCTTGTCCTTCGTCGTCGCTTGTCGTTGAGAGGATGGCGTGTTGATGAATGCCCACTGACCGCCTTCTGGAACCTCGAAAAAGTGTCCGAATGACCATCGCAGACAGCCCTCTGGCACTTGGCGCTGGTAGAAATAATTTCCCGCAAGTGAAGGGCAGGTTGCACTTCGCCCTTAAACGAAAAAAAAAAAAAAATGCTGCCGATTGGTGCCAACCAAGTCGGCCCCCCCAGCACAATCCAATCTCCTTGAAACTATTCCGCCTGCTTCATCAACATAGTCTAACATTTGTTGTTCCAAGGTCGCTTTTTAGTGGCCGTCGGGCGTGCATCATGCAGAGGACGAAACTTGGAGGTTAGGGGAAGGAATATTCCTTACCGATTCCAACCATGCAGCTTTCTCTGTTTTGGCGAAAGTGACGGAATGATGATCCAGTGGCCAATAGCAGGCACATTTCTGTTGGATTTGATCCGAATTGGCCGAGGTTCGAGGAGCTTCGGGAGACAGCCGGCTGCGTGGCTGGGAATGGAAGAAAAGAAGAATCTCATCTGTCAGCACTCAAAATATCAACACGAGGTTTAGTGGCAGCATGGCTCCTTCGCATCCGCCCAGGGACACGGCACATCGGAACGATCAACAAATAATTCATCTCTCCTTTGGTTATTACGGCTGGAAAATTGTTTTGGTTCAGAGCAAGGCCGTAATTATTCTCTGCAACGGTGCGGTTGGGTGAATTCAGTATGGCTCCGCGTCGGAGATCTTTTTTTTAAGTCCGCGGGCTTTTTCACCACAGCTGGAGCCTTCTGGAGTTCGGATGCTTTTTTTTTTTTGCAACCACCAGTCTCGAGTACTAGTGGCTACACTCCGGTACTTTTCCTGTTTTTGCTGGGATCGATGCTTTCGGTAGTTCTCTGCGCCAAAAAGCAACCAAAAAAGTGGAGGCAAGCTACAGCCCTTCGTGCAAATTTTACTTGGCAAGATTTGCCTCTGGTTTCTGCGAATTTAACAACAGCGACAATATATTTCGGTCATTGCCACGCACATCATGTTATTGGTGTAATGTCGTCGTGGACAGGGATATCAAGAGTTTGGTGGAGTTGATATCGAAGAGGTGGGACACGTTGTGCAGGCAGTTCAGCCTTATATCAACAAGAAGAATGAATGCTTACTGAGATGCCCGATCACAACGATGATCGATGACGGAATGGAACTTTGCTGTTTACAAATCTGCTTGGATGACCTGAGGGGGATGCGAGCTGGGCACAATACCGAAGCAACTGAAGGGTTCAACGGCTGACAGAGAATGGTTTGCTGCTGAATCAGACCCTGACTGATGTCAAGGGGTGGGTCGTCTTGCTGTCAATCTTACTAGTTGAAATATGGAGAGAAAGGCCTATTTTTATCACGTTGGAGGCATCTTTGAACCTTCTCGCCCTAACTGCTTTAAGGGCCGTCGGAAATTAACAAGCCGTCATTCTTCACTCCCTTCATGTTCATCGCCTGGACTTAGCCGAAGAGGATTAGTTCCACGATTCCATCCTCTGTGACCATTGACCCTTGACCTTGTTGTGCTATAATTAATGGGAGTGAGAACTTTGAAATCCTCATCACAATGCAGGGAGCAAGATGGTCTGGAATCCAACACCTGGAAGGTGAGTTTGAGCCCTACCAAGGCTACCAGGTTATATAGTGGATACATTAACAGGCAGGTCATATTGTTCTGTTTGTTATTAGACATACGCTCGTCGCGAACTGCGAACTTTGAAG